AACATGGCATAACACTTTTCAATACAATTCCTCACTGGCCACAGCAAAACGTCCCCGTTTGGTAGAGAGGCAAAACAGGGATATACTTAAGCGACTAAGGATCAGTCAATGTGGAAAATCTGATTGGAAAGATGATTTATTAAGTTACTTAATGATGTATAACAGCATATCTCACCCTTACACAAGAAAAACCCCGTCCGAATTGTTTTAAGGAAGACAGTTAAGAGACAAGTTACCTTTTTTAACTGACCTTGAAAATAAATATAATGATTCGGAAATAAGAGACCGAGATAAAGAGAAAAAAAGAGTAAAATAAATTAAATGAAGACAGGAAGAGGAAAGCTACAGAAAGAGAATTAGAAGTTGGCGAGAAAGTCTATGTAAAGAATGTAATAAAAGAAAATAAATTAGCTTCTGAATTTAATCCGACACCAATACTGTTATCAGTGCCGAGGGAAGCGACATAAATGTCAGGAATGACAAAACAGGCCAGGAATATAGGAGAAATATAGTTCACCTCAAGAAAGTAGAAGGTCAATGGAAAGTAATTGGTAATGAAGAAAATTCTGATAAAGATGTTTAATTAATAATAGATAGATTTAAATGGAAAATATTGTTTTGTTGATTTAAATGAAAAATATTGTTTTGTTGATTTAAATGAAAAATATTGTTTTGTTGATTTAAATGAAAAATATTGTTTTGTTGATTTAAATGAAAATATTGCTTTGTTGTTTCTAAATAATTGTATTTAAAATTGAAATAACTTGTGATTAAAATAATTATTTAACATATAAAAAGGAAGAGATGTGACATTTAATAAAATATAGTACACATATCAACTGTGGCGCGTCACTAGCACTTCGATCTGTCATCGGAGGCGGGAGAACGTTCTCTTGAGTTGTGTATTTACTTACTGATAATTTGGTGGTTTTATTTATAATTCTGAGATATAAATACAGAACATCACAGTTGGAATAAAGCTATTACTGTTTACCCGCCAATTTGTTGCCGATTTTCAAGGTCAAACTTTTTTTTTTTGCTTATATTAACTACTACTACAATTTATTCTTATAAAGTCCTCTGCCTGCCAGTTACAATCGCATAAAACTCTGTGTAACCTCTTCAGAGACTTCACAGATGAATAAAATTATGGAAAATCGTATTTTTCTATATCAAAGCAAGGCAATTTGAAAGTAATATAATTGACAATGTAATGTTATAATACGTTAAAGTACATTGCACTGAAATCAATTCTAGCTATTCACATTCTATGTTAGAGAAAACAATGGGTTTTGTTAGTTCAATAAATGATGCGTATTAATAAGTACAGACGGCTACAAAAGTTTTGTCATCTACATTATCATGATTATATACATATTTATATACACATTACACATATATAATATTGTAATGAATTTAATTAATTAATATATATTATATGGATTTTTAAATTAAAATTTTGATGGTTTTTCTATAGCATATTTTGCATATGTATTATAATAGTTTAATTTATCAGCTACGTTTGTAAGATGATGTTTTATGAGTTCCATAGTGTATTATGTTACCGACTGTACGAACCAGATTGCCTTGGATTCAGTTGCGAGGATTATCACATCATTACAGTGACTTCTCTGGACGTTGGACTGATTTATATCGTACATAGTTATTTAAACATAAATACCTACTATTGTGTGTCATGTTGGAATCTTGAGTTATGCGTGTAAGTCATCAAATATATAAGTAAATTATATTATATATAGAAATAAGCTTATGTACCTATATTCTATACATTTCTTAATATTCCATAACTAATATTTAAGAGATTCATTATTACTATTATTGCCATATATTTTAAATTTTGCCATTTCTGTACTGTTATTAAAATTAATTGGTTATTTATTTATCTCAAAAAATAAAGTTTTATAATTTTGTTTTAAATAACAATAAACTTTTTAAATAAAACAACAAAAAGGAATTTGTACTGTAATTGTCAGTGGTCGTAATTCTCGTTATAAAATTACGCTGCTGTTTGTCGAAGTGTTTTTACATTTTACTACGAGTGGTTTTAAACGACCTTGGCGATAATAATATAATGTAAAAATTATAATCTGAATGATATTGTATCATATATGTATTAATAGGATATTATATATTTTAACGTAGTTATAGTTATTATAGTTAAAATCTAAACCAATGGTAGAGTGAGTAATCTATACTTCCAGGAAGCTTCTAATTCTTGGTATTCTCAATTGTAAACCTAAATATCTATTTTGTGGTAATAATTTCGCTTATTTTAGTAGAAATATGTAAGTATATTAAGGTATAAAATTATTTTTTAATCACTTATCTAGACTATTTTTTATGTGTTTTCAATGAAGAATAATCTAGTTTCTCAAATAACTGATTTAGATTAGAAATTAAACCCAAACCTACAGTTAAATCGGCAGTTTCGCAAGTAGCAAGTACTCAATGTCTAGATCAATACGAGACCCAAAAACTAAAATATATTCTACTCAAAAAAATACAAAAATAAAGTAATAAATATAGATTTCTTTCGGATCCGAATATAAACGAATATTTCAGTTATTCATGTAACAGGAATGCGAAGTCTCTGAAGACGTTACATTAATAATATACTAAAAAACATCGCGAAAACCTTGACGACAACAAACTATTCATGTGAAGTTTACGATTTGTTAAAAAATTCATATAATTAATCTATTTACATACAAAATATAATTTTACTCTAACTGTAAAAACTTTTTTCCGTTGTGACAGATTAAAAATATTTATATAATTAATTGTTCATATCAACGTCAAAATTAGAATAGAAATGTCATATTTGACATTAAGTGACAATACACAATGACGTATTATACATATGTGTGTGTCAAAGTCATGGTAGTGTGTGCGATGTTTTTTTTTAATTTAATTTGTTTCTTATATATTAAAAAAGCACTTCTCAAAAAAAGGGGACACAAGTTTTTGGTATAGGTTTCAATACTATGAGTAAAACTGCGTTAATTGTGATAGACTTTAAGCTATACGCAAAATGCAAGAGATCTGCAGAAAGTTCTGCCTTTTTATACGATGAGACCTATTTTTTAATATAACAGCCAGTTTTATAATTGCACATGTTTGTTTTATTTACGTCACAATATATTTAGAATATCAAAAAGTTTTTAATGCGCGTCACGTCTTAGCGCCCTACTTACACATGATTTAGTATTTAGTACTCCCAAAATATGTCTTTGGTTTTTTTAATTTTTTTCATCCGCTCCAATTACAAGCTAGAAATATATCTACATCTTGATTAATATACATATGTCTTTATTATATTTGTGGTAATCGTAAAGTATGATCTAAAATACACCACTAGTTGAGGATCGTATAGTACGTCTATAAATTTTAGTCTAATTATTATTCTCGGTACGTCTGTTTCGTTTTGACGAAATAAATTATCTTTTCTATGTGATATACTTATACTATTTTGAACTGCATAAATCCTTTATTTTGTTACTATTTCATTATATCTATGTATATAGAATATTTATATATAGAGTTGAAGAATGTCTTATTATTATTTAAGCCCGTAAACCCTTGAGTTATTTAATGCTCAACGCGTTACGTGGGCGATGGACTTTTTATATCTTTATAAATTATAAGCCGTGAGACAAACAATAATATTTAAAATTGCGTTGCATTACAATTATTTGGATGCTTATAAAAATATATACAATTTCTATTAACAGCCTAACTACTACTATGTACTACTACTGATAGTAATAGGTCAACATTAAAATGAAAAATATATATATATTTGACTTTAGACTTAACTGGCACTCATTAAATTTATAGTCATTCCTAATAGCTACGATGATTTTTAACGTCTCACCTAGTTAGTATAGTTTCGTAATAGATTCAAACCGCCACTCGTATTAGATAATTTGTGCATAGAACAAACATTGGCAGACGTGGGTGTGTTATTTATTTCTCATTGGGTCGATACACCGGCCAAATAGAACGCATCTAGTTCCCGTTTCTATATACAATACCGGTTATTTGAGACAGATTTTAAACATGTTAAAACTTTATCAACCAAGACGCTCATAAAAAGTTATATATATTAAACTTTTACAATAATAGATAGCGGTGCTGTAAAATATATTGAAAATTTAATCCTAGTTCTATATACAGATATATGAGCAATAAATCGATACTATTGATTTAGGTATCGACTCGTATTATTTTAAAACAAACTTCGTAACCTTCCGTAAATCGCAGGCCGCATGCCAAACTAATTTTAATAGTACACGTTTCCGGTCGTTTGTAGAACTAAACTCACATTCATATTACTATCACAAAATTGGTTTATATTGTTTTAGAGTCATAGACGGGTTACTGATTCCGATTTAATAAGTTGTAATGAAACATATAATGCTTCTAGTTTGATATGAGAATCTAAAAGATTCGAGTTTCATAAAATATGTTCTTGACTAGAATTATGTATTTGACAAACAGATCAAAACAACAGTAAAAATAAACTGTTACCACCCAATCTTTTCAACCTTTATTGTTTTCTTTATCATCCCATCGGGATAAAACTAAAGTCGAATATATTAATTCATTTGTACAAATTATAAATCATAAACAAAGTGCGCAGTTACGATGCTTTCAAGGTTGGTTTCATACGCAAATTTCCAGCGAAAGATGGTGTTTGTGTTTATAGAAGGTTCGGCGTGACGAACGTCATTCGGGATTGCACTTCGACATCTACGAAAAACCAAAATAGTCTAGCGGCCACGACTGCCCGGCGACCGAGTTACCCGGCGCAGTGCGTCCGCGAAGCCCTCTCACACCGGTTCTATTTCCAACCGATGTACCGACGCATATCGAGACGCTCGCGACGATAATACTGCACGCAACGGTGAAATGGCACTGGACTTTCACCGCGGGAAACACTTCCGATTGTGCAGGAAACGCAGGCGCTCGTAATCGACATGCCACACGTCAGTTCTCCTTCCCGTACTTTGGAAGGGAAGACCGGTAAGCCGATAAGTATTAAGATACCGGAACAGAGAACAAACGGCTCCAATGGAATACTCTCGCCGAATTCGAATGGCCCTCTATCGCCCCCGATACTGGATGCCACACCTAAAAAGCCACCGAAAGCCCCCCTGGGACGTGCTATACTGCCGGTGAAAAAATCTAAGACGCTTCCAATTAATTTTGAAGAAAAAGTCCCTCCTAAGCTATCTTCGGGATTTTTAAGTGGTAAGAAATTTGTTGTTACCAAACCACTGAAAGAAGTCAGAACAATACCACAACAGACGGAAAACGGAAACTATTTATCAACTCGATCTTTGAGTCCTGCTTTGAAGAGAAGCACATCGGTTTCAATAGAGACAGGTTCGATCGCGGAGCTTGCTCGTAGACATGGCTCCAATAATATCCTTACATCACGATCACCAAGTCCCTCTTCCTACGGAAGTGTCAAGAGTTCTGGAAGCCACTACTCGACTTGTAGCAGTAACAGCACTTTCGTTCCATTATCCCGTTCATCGAGCTTAACTTCTACACTCTACAATAGAACTCCCACTCCACGAAGAATGTACCCACAGACCTCTGACAACTCAGACAATGTTGACCTCAAAGAACTATCGTCTAAAGAGCAAGCGCCCGTCGTCTTCGATGCGAATTTATCATTTGTGCTTGGTTGTAAGAAGCAGCCAGTACGACAAAAATTCAAGCCGATAGCTGCTCATCTAGAAGAGGGAACCTCGTCCAATTACTTGAGTACTAAAATAGATAACTTTCTGAAAAGAACCGATCATGTTATGGATGAATGGAGAAGAATGGGCCACAAGGATGAACCAGATCTCGAAATGTACTACGATGGAAAAAAGAGGAAAATTGGTAGATCGAAATCCGCTACAAATATCATGATAAAAGGATTCACTCTGTTCAGCCGCAGCGGAAGCCGAGCTAGCAGCGTCTGTAGGTCCTCGAGAGGCATATCTGAAGATCGTACCACAGTTTCTGAAATGGATGAGGTTGGTGTTACAAGAAATACATTTGTCCCCTCGTAAATACAGAACTCATTAAATGTTGTTATATAAACATTCATGGCTGCAATGTGTTATAATAAATTAACGTTGTCTCTTAGATAGTTTCACGCTCTACCGATGGCGCTTGAGCGTTGGCTTGCTGTTAGCGCATCGCCGCGACTCTTGCCAAAAAATTTTATTTTTCATTGTTGATTTCTTACGCTAACTTTAACTAATGCGTAAGTTTTTTTTAGACGTCTATCATCGTCAGTCGTCAGTTGACATTGTCATTTACCGTGACACGGAAGTTTCTATTTTCTTTGCTGTTATGAAATCGTAACAGTATTATGTTTGTATAGGTTCGGACTGGTCGGGAATTTCCGTATGCGCTTGGCAAGTAATGTATTACGTATTGGGATGCAGCAAATATTTAAAATATATTACATTTATTAATTATAGCTCCTTAGTTATTATATCATTCATAAAGCGTTAAATCATGTTGAATTTATTTCAACAATATGCCATCTTAATATACGATGTCCAAATTACGATCTTGATTTTTTTTAATATACAATGAAAACGATGGATTGTTAAGTTCAGTATAAACCCTTCATGGGTCAAGATTTGGTAACCGAGTATATAAAATGTCCTGAAACGTCTCTTGGACATGAAATCTGGGTAATAATTATTGAAGTTTCACCTCGCTCTACTTTATAATTGTGTTGTTTAATGCCTCTGACCTGCTTCATATAAAATGTATGTATTCGTTTGATGTATCATATTAACTAGCAGCTGATTAGTTCACAGAAGCCCATTCGAAATGACATATATTATCTTCTAACATACAAATCCGAATTTACAATAGGTATTAACTCGGAGTAACAGATAAGATTACTGTACTGATAATTTTAAGTTGTGAATGATGGGGAAGTGTAAATTTCTTTTCACTACTTACTTGAAATATCGTCATTAATTAACAAATATATATAAAAATGAAACTAATATTTTTGGATATATTACGAGTTTTATTATTAAAAAAATACTCGTATTCTCTTGACGAATAAAATTTTCATCTCATCCAATGTTCCCGGTTGATGTAAAGAAATCGAAACGTCGGGAATATGTAGTTTTAAAATCATAAAAAACGGGTAGTATATCCCGAAATATTGGTTATATTTAAATCAATACACGCGAAAGTCTTAGAAATCATATATATAAACGTTTGATGAATGACATACAATGTTTCGTATAACTAAATAGACGTATGAGACTTGTTTGGCAACGATATGGAATTATATACCATTCAAAATATCTTTATTAACGATTTGTTAATTGATCTACATAGTTGAATTCATATCTTCTTTTACTTGTTACATTTATATCGTTATATACTTTGAAAAAATATTTTATCATAGACAAATAGAAACTAAGTCAATAGACTATACACATATGTATAATTTACATACCTCACCAAAAAAATATACTTTTTAAAAATGATTAGAGATGACAAACAGATTTTTTTTGGTATCGATTTTAATATAAATATCTATGTAAAGTTTTTATATATGTATGTATTGTTAACAGTTATCAGAGGTTGGTGGTGAGTTATCAGAAGAGCGTGCGGCAGCGGCCCTAGCGACCGAACGAGCTGATGCAGAGGCTGCGGAGAGATTAAGAATTGAGAGAGACAATAGAGAACTACTGGCTAACAACCAACGTCTACAACAGGTTACATAGATAATAACTACATATGCTTACAATAGGTCGTATAGCCACAGGAGATCATTCTTCCTATATTTATTTTGTTTGCCAAAAAAGATCTTTCTAGAATTAACTGTTATTGGGACATAGTTTCTTGGATTATCGAAATAGTCAGTAGTAAAGTTTATTAGCCTTGAATACAAAGGCGTACATTATTAGCTAATCGATATGTTCTTTAAAGGCATCCGAACGCTTGGAACTGGAACTCCTTCATTGGAGATCTGCGGAGAATGGTAATGCTGAACCGTCTGACTCCGAGGGTTCGGAAGCAGATGGAACTGCCAGCGGCGATAAATACAAGAGGCGGTTTGAGAGGGCCCACAGAGAGCTGCAACTGCTCAGGGCCCAGCTGAGAAGACAGCACGAAGACGACTTGGAACAGCTCGTGACAGTCAAGAAACAGCTCGAAAAGAAGGTGGGTTCAGAATAGGTGCAGCTGAAAAAATATGCTCAAGTTCTTCAAGCACTTGCGACGTATTCATCTAAATATGCTTCTCCAATCATTGTAATGAATAATTTACACTAACTTTTTTGCAAAGCGATTTTTTTGTGTGACCATCCATACAGCTGTCGGTTTATTATATTTTTTTCGATATGCTTGAATATATTCGAATGTACACTGGAAAGATTCATCAAAATCGGTATAAACGTTTAATCGTAAAGTTTTTTTAGAACCAAAAAACTGGAGTCCAATAATCTTTAAGTTAATAAGTCTTCAATGATGGTAATATAAATTTTTCCGTTCATTCCTTGTTCATGTAGCTATAGTAATCACGTTTTATCTCTCGCCCCAGTTATCAGCGATCATCCTTGATCGCTCTGTGATGCTGATAGCGTCATAGAAATTCGTCCAAGCGATAACGCGTACGATTTATTCGGTCTCCAAAATATATATATCTATTTAGTATTCGTTACAAGTGATGGTAGACGAGTCTGAGGTCAGTGTACTAAAGTTAATATATGTTGGGACTTTTTTTTATTAAGAAATCAATTGTATCAAATCTTGGCCACTCTCCAGATTACTGGTCGCCGATTAAAACAGTTTTATACGTCTCCATACATATCTGAACTTATTGTGTAATATATTTAAAACTTATAATTGTTGTTATATCTCTAAAAAAAAATTAATTCTATATTTAAATGTTTATTTTTTTTATTTTGTATAACGTTAGAGGTTTTATTTATGACTTTAATTCCTAAAGTGTCTTAATCCTTTTCGTCGCCTCTAAAGACTTATTTTTTGTCAGCATCTTTTGATATATGGCGTGACTTTATCTCAGTTCAAAGCGATTACTCAAACATATATCTGCTTTTTATGTTTTTATACGAATATTTTTTTTCATATTTGTTTATTACCTAATGGAACGCAATGCAATTGTGTATATATGTACATAGGTGTTTGTCTAAAATATTTGGGAATGATTTTGATCATAGTCCATAAAAATAGTTAAAAAGCATTCCCATATATATTTTGCTAATAACAAAATTATGTCTCTGCGATCAATACAGCGTTAATGTATTATGCATACACGTGTCATTGTATTTTAAACCTTAAACGTACCTGTTTTAAGGTTCAAGATGCCTACGAGGAGGTCGAGGAACAGCGTGCGGTCGCTGCACAATGGAAACGCAAACTGCAAAAGCTCACCAACGACATGGCTGATCTGAGATCATTGCTTGACGAACAAGTAAATAAACATATAAAAAATACTAGAAGCTTTGATACATATGTGAATCTTAGTTTATTTCAGCCAATAACTACTGACAGGATTCCTAATACATGTATTCAACACATTTATTTGGCCATATAAGTATGTAGTACATAAAAAATATTAACCAACAGACGTGTCGTAACAATCTGCTCGAGAAACGTCAGCGGAAATTCGACGCTGAGCTCCACAGTGCCCAAGAGGAATTGAAGAGAGAAAGAGCTGCTAAGGAGAGACTCTCGCGAGAGAGAGATCAGGCGCACGCGGAGAAATATGCACTGGAACAGAGTCTATCAGTGAGTTATGGAACTTACATATATGGACTATTATGTTAACTTATATGAACTTATATGGACTATTATTACTATTCTGTTAGTTGGTTATAACTAGGATTGCCATAACTGTTATATTGTTATTTCGGATAGACCTGGTAGTAAATAAATTATGGAAGGCTTATCTCTCTGTAAATAAAAATATATGACTGTCAATTGTTCTAAATATAACTTTTAGTATATGCAAGAGATTTTGTTGTGTGGCTGCAAGTGAAGATATAATTTTTTAAATTTGATTGGAGCCTGTGACTCTAGTTACAAAATAATTTTAAGTTTATTGTTCTACATATCTTAATTTATATCAACCATTAAAGGACATTCATTTCATGACGTCATTGAAAGTATTACATGCATAAAATTGCAATATATACGTATAAATATTTTAATATAAATGCTATATATTAACAGGAGGCTCGTATGGAGGTTGAGCTCAAGGAGGAGCGTCTGCTATCAGCGGCGAGGGAGTTGGAGGAGAGGGGGGGAGGGGATGAGGTGGCCGCTTTAAGGAGGACGCGCGGCGAGCTGGAGCGACGAGTGAGGGACCAGGAGGAGGAGCTGGACGAACTGGCTGGACAGATACAGGTCTCACATACATATATTACAGCTTGAAGAGGGAGAGAGATAGACATATAAAGAGATAGATGTTCCACGTATATTTAAAAATGGAATATCAAGTTTGATCCGGTTCAATCCGGTGCGAACCGGTTTAATATAGTAAGTGGTTGAGATTAGCTCATCCAGTTGATATTATTGTTAGTTAGAAGTACGATGAATTAAAATTTTACTGTTCCGAATATATGATTTTTGAGAATTCTCATCTGATGCTTGCAATGCAATGGTGTAATTGTAATGAAAATACGCAAGACGACTACAAATGTTATAGACGCTGATTTTGTATCCAAAACTAAATATCTCTATGTGAAATTCGTTCAGTGTTGATACAATTAATTAATATAAATAATATATTTTATTTTTCTAGTTGTTGGAGAGTTCGAAGCTTCGTCTGGAGATGCTTTTGGAGCAGCAGCGGAAGGAGGCTCGCCTTGAAGCGGCCGCTAGAGATGACGAAATGGAGGAAACTAGAGCGAACGCCTCTAAGAAACTTAAAAGTGAGTATACACATTCATTCATATCATTATATGTGTGTGTGCGTACAGTATTTCGTATGTGTGCATGCATGTGTGTTCACGCAAATACTAACAATAGCTGTGCATCTGTTTTCTTGTCTTCTGTATGTGAAATTTTACATATCCTTATGCATCGATTTTGTCGAATGTTCTATTTTGTGCTGTCGATTGTGCTGTTTCCTGAGCTATTAGAACTAATATGACTGACTGAATTTAAACTAATGCTTTACAGATAACTTAAAATTAAAAAAAAACTAACAAATATTAGTACTTCATTATAACCTATTTGTTTAAATGCATGTATTGCGATTTTGAAGGAAGGGTCTTTACAAATGTATTATCCTGTTACTAAAATATATGTGTGTGTGCAATGCGATTTTACCAAAATCTATGGAACATCTTTTTCGTGTTATTTAACTGCATATTTGTGTGATTTATACTTACTATATGTATCATGAGCATTGCGATTGTTTTAAAAATCTACCTCATATCATGTTACTGTATATTTTTGTGTGTCTTTTTGCGCGTGTGTGTATGCGAATAGCGAAGTTTCATTATATCCTACATAACTGCATGGTTTTGAGTGTGTGTGTGTGCTGTCGTGTTTGTATGTGTGTGTTGTTCTGACGTCATCAAAAACTTGACATTCAGTTTATTTATTTTATTGTCTAATCGGCTTAATTTTTGTAATTTCTTATAAATATTTTGAGCATTTAATAGACGATGTAATTTGCAAAACAAATTGGCCAACTATTTAATAATTAATTTATGGCAAGATGTTGTTAGAAAACAATGATCGGCTAAAAAATATATATCTCATACAATATAAACCACAACTATCTCTATTAAATGTGATGGTATAAAACAAAACCACAGCTAAATTGGTTAAGGTTTTATTAAAGACGAAATTCAACCCACCTATACATATAATTAGCCTATACTTATTAAGTAGCCATCAAATACAGTGCGTTTGTTTGTTTGTAGATATTTGAAATAAATGATTTCTCTTATTTCTTGTTAATAACTATACTTAATATCGTTTTCAAATACAGTGTGTTTGTGTATAGATATTTGAAAGAAATTATTTTCTTATGTACAATACTTAATATAATGTTTATGTCATAGTGTTGGAGAGTCAGCTCGAAAGCGAGCATTCTGAGCGGTCTCTGCTCCTTCGCGAGCGACACGAACTGGAACGACGATTGGCGGCTCTTGAGGAGGCTGCGAGACAGGAGACACACGAACAGGGACAATTGGTCATCAGGCTTAAGAGGTACGGAACCATATATATATATATATATATATATATATATATATATATATATATATATATATATACAATATATCTATATGATATATGAAATCATTTGCATAATATATGAAAACTAGCTGCGCCCCGCGGTTTTACCCGCGGATTTCCGGGATTTCGGAGATTTCCGAGATGTAAAGTAGCCTATGTTTTATTCCTAGACGTCAGCTTCCTGTATACAAAATTTTATCAAAATCGCTTCAGCCGTTTGAGCGTGAAGGAGTAACAAACATACACACACACACAAACTTTCGCAATTATAATATTAGTAGGATGTATGGAAATAGTCTTTTCATCATATTCTATTCATATCTACCTTTTGCTAGCTTTGTTGTTATTAAAAACATTTGCATAATCTAGCTGACCTTAATTAGAAAAATTAATGTATTTTCAGCGAGTCTTAATGCTGTTGCTATAAACCTCACAATTGTAATTCTCAAAACAAAATATTTTAACCCATTTTAGGAAAGTTCCTTTTGACTCTTGATCTTATAGTTTTCCCAAATAAATCAGTTTTCTAACACTGAGACAATTTTTCGCAATTACCAAGTGGATTCTACAATACAAATTTCGTTATTGTAATACTTACAGTAACTTGAATGTATGTTGAATGCTCCATAAAAAGGCTGTAAACTGCTAGATTTCAAGCTTTCATAAACATTTTAACGTTTCATAAAATAGTATTTTTCATAATGGCTCATAGATTTTTGCAGTTCTACAGATATTGATGCAACTGTCAACTTTAAATAGTGTCGAAAAATGATTTTGTATAAGAATTATTGTATTTAATCTCCTATTAATTTGTTTATTTATATATTTAAAGGGATGTAAAACGTTACCGCGCCTTGCTGCGAGACGCTCAGACGATGTTGGAACAAAAAGAGAAGGAAGGCGGAGGGAAGACTCAGATAAGACATTTGAAGAATCAGGTCAGTTTTAATGTAACTTTACTGATAAGATCATTTCAAAATGAGACATCTATATAACGGAGATACCTAGTTCGAATCTAAATATCTCGGGTCGATGAAATTTTCATTCAACATTTGTCTCTTTGAATTTTAAATAATTTCGATCAACATAGATTTAATATTTGGTTTTTAATTTTATTTATAACATATCGTAAATTTTATTTCAATTCTAAAATTGTAGTAAAATTTTCTCTAGTTTCGTTTTATTCAACATTGAAATTTATAACAAATGTAAGCCTTATTATAAGCACATAAGGTTGCTATTTCATTGACAAATGTATTGTCCAGGTTGAAGATTTGGAGCTATCACTCCGCGCTGCAAACAAGGCACGTTCTACCGCCGAGAGCGAAGCGATTGAAGCGACCGCAGCCCTTGAAGAAACCTCTCGGGCTAAGAACGAGGCTGTTGAGAGAGCTCACGCAGCTACAAGAGACGCGGCCGCCGCACGCGCAGCATTAGACGACGCTGAGGAAGAAGCCGCTGAGGTATACATACGTACAAGCTATTTTATTTTATTTGGTTAACCAACAAAATAAAACATTATTACATTAATATCATTAAAAAACTATTAACAATAACTTAAATGTCCTTTTAATTAAAGGCTATCACATCATGCAAAATATAATAATTTTAGTATATCAATATTTAAATTTAAAAAAAAAATAATAATAATAACTTCAATAAAACATTACATCATAATCAATAAGATGGACATAACTAATAACATTATTACAGAAAATACAATTTAATATTTCAATATAATACAAGCTATAGGATATATCCTGAGATATATCTCGGGATTGCTATACATGTGTGACATTGATAATTCTAGATTAGAATATGAATTAAGATTTTCAGCTTAATACTCCTGGTTTTAAAATACAATTCTTCTTTGTTAAGATGTGTACAGTTAAACAAATACTTAAAATAAATGATGTATAAGGATTACTATCTATGCTGACTGTATTTGTTGTAACTGTATATGAATTAAAATTTTGTTTTTTCTACTTAAAGCTTTAAAACATTCTAGCTGAGATCTAGAACTATATAAATATCTCAAGAAAATGCTTAAACTGGCTTTGCCTTAAATAAATGATACATAAATAGTATTTATTTCACATATTAATGTTCTAACACATAAAACAGTTGCTGAAGAAGTATCGAGCTAGTACAAGCGCGTTATGCGCCGCTCAAGCCGCCGCCCGCGAGGCTGAGTCACGAGCGGAGGCCGCCGCTGAAGAGGCTCGTCAGGCGAGAGAGAAACTCACAGAGATGACGACCAGACTAGCACACGCTGAGGCAGGTCATTCACACGAACAACACGAGGCTGGTAGACGACTTGAACTCAGGAATAAGGTACTATATTATAAACTAGTTTTCCGCCCGTCCCTACAGAACCTTTCAAAATTCTGGGATAAAAACTATCCTATGTTCTAAAGAACAATAATAAATAACCTTGATAAATCAAGGTCTATTCTAACTCAATGTAATAGACAGAAAACGTAATAGACAGAGTTACTTTCGTATTTATAATATTAGTAGGTATATTGCTATATATGGAATTGGTTGAACAAAATGACTGACTAAGTTTAACGTACTTATTTATGTCTTTATGTGTATGTCTCTGAAACTACTATATTGTTGCTAGGGTTTGGTTTGCAATATAGACACGGTATTTAATAGAAAACTTACATAGAAATATTTACTTTATTGAGATCGCAAGTAATTGTAGCTTGTATCGCTTATATCTCGCTTTACGAAAGATTCACTCAAAAACTTCATAGTAGCCCAATCCGTTTACTACAATAGAAATGTAATACAGCATTATATTGTAAACGTATAGCTAATGTTTTCGTCTACTCGTCACGAGATGGCACACATAGTTAGTATAAGGTTCATCAATCGTCCTCATTATCACCCTTTGCACTTGGGAGCTGGAGGACCGCTGTATCAAATCGCAAAAGCCCTCCAGCCCCTCGGGCTCTTCATCGTTTCATCACATAGTTTTAAGTCTTTAAACATCAATAACATTTGTTCACGTGTCTACTTTTATATCTCTTTTGTCTACTTTTTATTACCCTTAAGCAAAATATTTAGAAAAAAAAAAAAAAAAGATGGCACACATTGTCAGTCAAAAATAAAATACATATTAATGGCCCCATACACCCTAATGGTGATGCCAGCTAAAATAAACATAGTAATTTAATTAATCTATGTAATTAGTCATTACTAGCAGCCATAAACGGTCACCTCATAGAGTCTAATAATACATTTTCGCTGTAGATTAAGAAGATTGATAAATCTAATGTGTAGTACCAATATTATAATAGTCTTCAAACATAATTGACAGTATGGGCGTATTCATAAACTGTATAGGGATTAGATTAAATATTAAAAAACCTATTGTAATATGTGTGAATAGGGTTCAATTACGATTTGACTGAACAAATAGAATCTTTTCACTGATCACAAAGAACTCTTATAACCTGAAAGTTAATTCACCTATAAAATACTTTCCCTTAATGTATTGATCGCCATTTTCATACGAACACTAATTTTGCCATATTTAATTCCGTCTCACACAGGTGGTTTCAATTTATCTATCAATATCGTAAACACATTTATTTAAGTAATTCCAAGCTTACGAAGAATTTTTAAAATTGTATTTGGCTTCATACCAACCTTACATAAAGCAATTACAGCAATTCAATTTTCTTTATCACCCCAATCCATTTTGGCGCGAAAATGAGTAAACACGGTGAACTAACAGATTAAAAACCAAAAATGACATGTTGTTTTTTTCGCAACATTATAAATGGCCAGATTAAAGTGTATTAAATTGATATTTAACATCATTTGTTGTTATTATTGCGTATGTTCTAGTTTTGTTTGTTGGTAATTGAACAATATGAGATACAGATTTATGTTTTTTTCTATAATATTTTCTTGTTTATAGGAATTGGAATCGAGTTTGGAGTTAGAAGCGACGTCCCGAGCCCGTCTTGAGGGACAGTTGGCCAGACTGAGAGACTCTCACGAACAACTCGCCAGTGAACTTAGTGCAGCACGCGCCAAAGATCACCAGGCCGCTGAGGAAGTTAGGAAACTAACAAGACAACTGAGGTTAGTTAGTTAGAAGAAACGTATCTATACTAATATTATAAAGCTGAAAAGTTTGTTTGTTTTGTTTGAAAGCGCTAATCTCCGTAACTACTGGTTCGAATTGAATAATTCTTATTGTGTTGGATAGTCCAGTTATCGAGGAAGGCTGTGGGCTATATAACATCACGCTACGACGAATAGGAGCAAAGATATAGTGGTAAATGTATAAAAAACGGGAGAAATTATTTCATCTTTGAAGCCTTCCGTTGCGTCCGCCGTGAATACGGTTCAAGATACATAAAAAATATGTATTAAAGAAAAATAGCTCTTTTAATGATCTAAAAAACCGTCCGCGTATATATTGTATATGTCTATCTTTTAAGATTAACTCACAAAAACCGTTTTTATGGTACCTAATTTGGTCGAAATAATTTGTTTAAGTTGTATCAACATAATAATATTAATCTTTATTCAAATAAACAAATGAATATGTTGTTGGTTAAGAGTACTTCATTGTGAATAAAAAAAACATAGGTTTTATCCTGAAAATTCTATTGGAACTCGACCATTCCGAAAACCCCGCAAGAACGGGAACTATGTGGGAAGAACCAAAAATCTGCCGGAAGTCACTATTCCACGCGGACGAAGTCGCGGCAAAAGCTAGTTATAAATATATGAAAATCATACGTCCTGAACAAGATTCGAACCTCTTAACTTAATACAAACTAAAACGATAAAGTATACTCGTAAATATTCTGTTATTTGGTGTAACATAAGTAACTGAATCAAGGTCCTGCTTCCGGTAAATTTTTGAACATGACATTCATATAATATTATTTTTATTATGTACATAGCTTACTGCTACATAGTGTTTATCAATATGTTAACTATTTGTCCAAGTATATTAAAATACAAGAAGCTTATGTAATAGTAAGTTTTGCCACACGCTATTCTCTTGCTGTACAATATTTTTATTTAAATTGACTGTCTTTGCAATCAAATTCGCGATGTAGAATATAACATATACTAAACCTAATATATCGATTGCTTCGTGTATATAACTCAATAAATTATTTCTTTATATCCAGGGAATTAAAAGAAGAGAACGCATCTCTATCATCTAAGCTGAGCGAAGTATCTCGCGCTAAGAGCACAGCGGAGGCAGCGGCAGCGGCAGCAGCAGCAGAGGCAGCGGCAGCGCGGGACGAGGCCCGACTAGCGGCACGACGTGCGGCAGCGTTACAGGAAGCGATCGCCGGAGACCTATCAAGCCCCGGGGACTCTAGAGATACTGATAGGTAACCGGATGTGACGTCACATGATATAGTAATATTAAAAATCAGCGTAACGTTGTGTTTGGCCAGTTAATAATAAATAATTAGTTAATTAAAATAATTTGCTGAGTTTCTTTCGCCGGTTCTTCTCAGGTCAGGGTATTTTCTTTTCCGAACCGGTGGTAGTGTCTCAAGTGACCATCAATAAGAAAGTGTAATGCTTCTATATTGAATAAAGTTATTTGAGTTTGAGCTTAATGATAATAGAAGACACGAATCTCGTTTCGTGCTATATCAAAGTAACTATTCTCTATACCAAGTACTAATTTGATGAAGATTTTGCTACAGTTCCGATTCAATGCAGTCAAAAACAGTTAACCTTCTTTTTCTGAGAAAAAAAACTTGTTACAAAAAGATAAAATGTTTAGCTTAAAAAAATCGCTCATATAATTATTAATTACAACAGATCAAAATCACTTCAAACATATTTACTACTTTATATATATAGTTTACTGATGTACCAAGTCACTTTAGATTTGTTGGTCACCCTATAATAAAATGAAATTATGTATTTACTAGCTTTCCGCCCACAGCTTCGCCCGCGTGTAGTTCGATTATATCGCGTTTGCAAAGAACCTTTCAAAAGTCTGAGATAAAAACTATTCTATGTTCTTTCTCAAGGTCAACTCTATATCTGTAGCAAATTTCATTAAAATCAGTTCAGTGGTTTAGGCGTGAAAGCTTAACAGACAGACAGAGTTACTTTATTTATTTTACTATTTATATACTACTTAATTATTATTTATATCCTAACTATAGTGAATCTTATTTTTAATATATATTTTTTTATATTTCAGTGATAACGACAGTTACAGTTCCGATGAATCGATAGGAACGTTCCTCGCCAACCACAAGCTGAGCCCGTCAGTACCTTCGCGTGCAAGTCTTCATCTAGACTCACAGAAGTAACTTGGAATTATTTGTCATATTTAATATAAGAACTAAACTATGGTAGTTCAAGTAACGACAATCTTTGAATGATTGTATTAAATATATTGTATTTTCTATGTATATTGTATATTGATCTTAAATATCAGTTATTATGATAATTGTATAGGGCAACCAGAGGTTCCAGGAGAACTACGAAACTAATTTATATAATAATAAAAATTACATATTAAAAATAACTACCTATACCCAAGACTTATTATTACATAGCTTGTGTTGTATCAGGAATCTTCTGGTTCACACAACTTAGTGTTCGTTTCGCGGAATCAGGAACGTCACTTGCTATATGATATTTTATCCATACAAAGATGTTGCCCCGGCGATGTTCATTTGTTTAGTCATAATATTCTGACTCGAATACCAGGCCTCTGTATAATAACAGTAATAAATAATCCCCAGATCCCAAAGCCCGGAAGGTCGGCAGAGCAGGTCGAGCGTCGGTTCTAACAGCAAGTTGAGTCCAACGAAGGAATCGTTCGCATAACAGCCGGCCGCCGCGGGCGGGCTGCTCGCGGGCGCGCTGCCGCTGCTATGTACAGCATTATGTACTAGGCAGCGCTCGCACAACACACATAGGGTTATAGAGTAGATGGAACGAACGGAACTTGATAGACTCTTATTTAATTTACCACCTTATATGCTAGCGATAAAGTCTAAAGTTGCTTGTCACCACCGCTGTCGTGTGTCGTTTCACGTAATGACATTAGTAACGACTAACGTGTTTTGACGTATATAGTCAGTGTAGTGTTGTGCTTATGGCTTACGAATTATCGATTGAGTTTAATATACAGTTATATAGACAGCATATTGTATTATGTATGACTTGTAACAAGCGCTAGCGGTGTTACGAATGAGAACAGCGATCGATATCGTATATGGATATTTAGATTCGACGAAATAATTGTATGAATAGATAAACTTTGCATGTATTTAATATTGTATGATAGGGGATTCATTAAAAGTAGACTTGTAGTAGACATTACATTAAATAAAAATCACATTCAAATGACTTACGATAAACAAACACATACAAATTTTAAAATTCTCTTAAAATATAGACTGCTTCTAGAAATCAATTTAACTTTTGACTATAATAATCTGCTCAATATTTAATATATACAATAGCGAGGCTATAAATTTACATATACTATTTCTATGTGTAGTGTTTGACTTAATGTTCTTCGTGTGTTTGCTATCGACATTTTGACAAAACTAGTGTTGCCAAGTTATCGATTTATTTGTGAAGTGTATGCATTCCAAAATATAATATCCCATTTTTTTTCTTAAATGAACTTGGCTCGTCAAACCGCTTTCATTATAAATGGCCTGACTTAATTTATTTTTTAATTTATATGTAATTTCAATGTATAGTTGTAACAGCGCTTGGCTATCAGCCGGCGAGTCAGTATTTAGATGAAATAAGATAAACATTTTTTATTATTAGGTTGATTGTTATTTAGTTAATTAAATGTAAATAAATAGATTGCATATACATTTTTATTATTTAATTTGTAAAATTTGTGTGAGCAGACTGTTATATGATTTATTTGTTACAATTAATATGTTGCTCTATAGACGAACAAACATATCTGTTAGATAATAAACAGCTATATTGTATGGTTTGTTCTAATGTAATTTTAATATTTAGCGGAATGTAGTCCATTTTTATTATGTAATGTATCGTGATTATATATTTTATCACATCAAAAAAAAATTTTTTTCTGTATACTCTTTAGATATTGTGTCTGTAACCAAGTATAAATTTATATTAACAATTAATATATTACTTGTAATGATAATATGTAATGAGATGTTACTGCGTTCGATATTGGTTGTAAAATTAAATATTTAATAAAGTAACTACGAATATAATGCTGTTTTAATTTATATGTAAGTTTGTTAGCTGTACGGATTTTAATTATTTTTTATGTGTTATGTATTTCACGTTATTTTAAACATATCTGACCGGATAATGTATATTTTACCCCGTTAGATAGATTTCGTCGAAACAAACAATTTTTTCATTATTATAATCAGGAAATAGTTAAAAAAATAACCACGTATGTATTTTTTTTATTTATAAATCTAATCCTGCGTTTCGGACACATTCCTGCAAATAAATTTGGATTTCTAATGAAGAAATTAAATTCTCCGAATCGTGATCTATGCGGGATTCAGGATGACATACCCATATCATTTTCTTGTGGAATGTTTTCGAAATGCTGCCAAAAGAAGAGAGTTAATACATAGATTTGGCATTAATTTAGAGCATATAGGAGTCTTCAAAGTGCGTTATCCATACCAAATTCAGAGATAGCCAAAACTATTTATCAGTTCAAGTTAAAATAAGACATAATTTATAAATTTTAGAATTATTTTAGATACTTTAAGACTTATGTTTATTGTTGGTGGTGGAATTATTATTAAGGGAACGATGGGACTAACATTTAGCATAAAGTTCCTAAATAAAATCAAATTAAAAAAAACTAATCAAATTTTTGTTGCTAAAAATTATATTTCACTTCCTACACCTTATCATTATGAGTTTGCGACGTCAAATAAAACACCTACAGTTTAAAATTATTCAATCATGTATGTTGACTTTATCATGTGCAAAGAATTATGAATTAAAAAGAATGACAATAAGACATTAATAGATGAGAGACCGTCTCCGCTGTAAGTGTATAGTGAAAATATCGCGACTGTGATGTAATTCTACCGATTAAACTTCCTTATGAGAATCTTAATTAAACTTAATAAGTAACATCGGACGTGAAAAACAAACTATCATATATTATGCATATATTTTATAGCCTACAACAAGAAATGGATTATTTTTAATTGTGACATAGCAATGATACACCGGACGCGTATACAAAACAATTTCTAAAAAAAAGATTAATCAAATTGAAACAACTTCTGTTTTTCATAATTACAATTCAGAGTTTGTATTTGTTATCGCCTCTTCTTAGTTGGTATTTTTATTTAGTGCATTTCCAATACTAGCGCTTCTAGTAAGCACGCAATCGCAAAAATCATTTATTTTTCATTAATATTTTAAAAAAAATCGATCTAAATAAATCACAATCTTTCAGAAATCCTATCATAAAGTAAGGAGAAAATCTCTTGCGCTAATTAAATCCCCTCATGTGAAATAATAATAATATGAAGATCATAACAAGTTTTTTTTCTTGTTATTAGAGCTAAATAAAAAATAAAGATTGATCATTTTATAAACTCAATTACATGACTGAGAATAAAATATATGATTTTAACTTGAGATCCTCAATTTGGATTATTAGTTTTGTTTTGTCTCTCTTTTAAATTTAGCCTGTTTAGAAATCATTACCAGGTTTTCTTTGAAACCGTGAAATTATCTTACAGTTACAAATTTATAAAAATAAAAACAAATATAAATTGATACAATTTATTTTCAGTTTAAGGTATTTTTGATGCTTACAATACAGAAGACTTCAAACTATTATATAATCTGTGCATGCCATGTCTACCAGAACGATTAATCATAGACTAAAAATCTCACTATACGCCCCTTGAAGGCTGTTAAATACTGCTTTTGGAGAAATTTTGAAGAGTTTCTGTAAAAGTATTGGATTTTTAGACAAAATTTGTTAGTAATCTTTCAATATATCATACCTTTTCTCAAGTACTTTCTTCATTATTTATAAAACTAAGTATATAATTATGGAAAACAAGAAATTGTTTTAGTTATTGATTTTCTTAGGGCAAGGTGAAAAGAAGTTATAAAATAAAGATTAAGCGGCCGGTTAAGTTGGTTTTTATCTTTTAAAGAAGCCCACAAAATGACTGATTCAAAATACTTCACAACTACAAAGAAAGGTGAAATATTCGAGCTCAAGTCGGAGCTGAATAGCGATAAGAAAGAAAAGAAGAAGGAAGCTGTTAAAAAGGTAAAGAAATTATAGAAAATATAACTCACTAGTAAAGACGGTCAAAAGAAATTTTCATTTAACGTTTCATGTATAGATTATCGCATTAAGTATGGTGAAACAAGGGGGTAATTGACATAAAAATTTTAGGTGATAGCTTCTATGACCGTGGGCAAAGATGTGTCAGCTCTATTCCCGGATGTTGTTAATTGCATGCAAACCGACAACTTGGAGCTCAAGAAGCTGGTGTACCTGTACCTCATGAACTATGCCAAGTCCCAGCCGGATATGGCTATCATGGCTGTAAACACATTTGTCAAGGTATGATTCAGTCTTTTATGGTGTCTATTGAATTTGATTAAGGTATCTTGAAACTTGGTTCAGCTTTCTAGCAATATGCATGTTGTGGACTAATAGAATGAAACAGTTCGCCTCTCACTGAACTGATAAATTGGATGAGTTATTATAAGATTATTGTTTTCTTAACAAGAACTGCATAGGTGGAAATTTTAATTTACATTAAAATGGATCTAATAATTAGTCTCTGGAATAGGATATGTACATATATGATGAATTTTAAGCTAATTGTAACATAAGTTTATGTAAAATACATGTTACAATTCATTAAAATGTCTTTGGAATTGAATCAATTGACTGCGGACACAGGAATTCCAAAACATGATGATTTTTATATTAAGCTTATTACATGACTAAATGAATTATATCTGAGACGAATAAAGACGTAGTTTAGCTATGTGTGTGTGTGACTTGTCTTTTTTATCGTTTTAATGTCTACTGTACCATATTATGATGGGTGGAAGGATCTACCAACATACCAGCTTGTTAAGGTAAACATATGATCCAAATCAACTCATCTGTTTGTAGATTTACACATTTACATATAACATATGAACCATTAGTTATATAACTCATGTTGCACAAACCAACATGCATGTCGGCAAACCATTTATATTTGCATGCATAGAATGTTTGAATGTGTAAATCTACATGAACATTACAGTAATAAATATATATTGGATATGTCATGACCCATATATAGAAGCACATTGGCTATTTTGTTATATCATACTGTAGAACCTTGCTAAAATAGCAGTATAAATATTACCTCGGCTTGTATGTCACATAATATAAAAAAGGATTGTAGTCGCCTTAGTATTCTAGTTTTATATAACTGAAGCCATATTTTGTCAATTTTAATTATTGTTATTAGAGTTTGATATTCACAACATCCACTTAGAGAGCTTCAACTGCATTAATTCGACACCACATGAAAATCGAAGCTTGGAAAATATTGTACATTGTATACATAAGTGAAGTATTCATATTAAAGATACCAATATATATTATAAGCATGTATAATTCAAGTGATTAAGGTAAAGCTTCTTGTGTGTACCATCACTAGAATATTTTATAGTTAAGAAAATTATGTTCTTCCACTCTGCAGTACTTTTTGGAATCATGGTAAATGCCAAATAGGAATTGCCAAAACTTATATCAGGCAGTGTGCCAAACAAAAAAAAAAAAATGTCAAACTGTTCATAAATCATTCGGCATTGCATAGTCCACAGCTAATATTGATAAATCATTAAAACTTAGCAAGTTTCTACCGTATATGCTTATAGTCAAATTGCTTCAGTAAGGTTATTGGTATTTTTTATTACAAATGTAAAGATTTTGTGAATGCAGGATTGCGAGGACTCGAATCCTTTGATCCGTGCGCTGGCTGTACGGACTATGGGTTGCATCCGAGTGGACAAGATCACGGAGTACCTTTGTGAGCCTTTACGGAAGTGTCTCAAGGATGAAGATCCCTATGTAAGGAAGACGGCTGCTGTGTGCGTCGCCAAACTGTACGACATATCACCCAGTATGGTGGAAGATCAGGTATTGTTACATTGAATCTATATCTATACAGTTTAAATCTGAATAAATATTCCAATCACAATCATCTGATTTTGACTAACCAGCTTATAAACTTTATGTTATCTGCAGGGTTTCCTTGATCAGTTAAAGGATTTGTTGAGTGACTCAAATCCAATGGTTGTAGCGAACGCCGTTGCAGCTCTTTCTGAGATTAATGAAGCCAGTGTATCCGGACACCCACTTGTAGGTGAGAATCAAGAAATTTGTATAATTTGTACAACAACTGCTAAAAATAGTGTTAATTTTGAGTTCTAAGCACATTCCAAGGAGTTCGTGATTGCATATGATCATGATAGTAGATATAGGGTTGACAAACAGTCTATTAGTAGATATTCTAATGTGCCATATTTCCAGAAATGAACGCTCCAACAATTAACAAGCTGCTGACAGCCCTGAACGAGTGCACGGAGTGGGGTCAAGTGTTCATACTGGATGCTCTTTCAAACTACTCCCCTCGTGATTCACGCGAGGCTCACTCCATATGTGAACGTATAACACCACGTTTAGCTCATGCCAACGCCGCAGTCGTACTTTCAGCTGTTAAGGTAAGCTTATGATAGATATACAAACTTCTTAGTTATTTCCATACATTTTATACTGTATTCACATATTATTGTCTTTCAAAGGTCCTGATGAAGCTTATGGAGATGTTATCAGATGAGACGGAACTAGTGAGCACTTTGTCAAGGAAGTTAGCTCCGCCCCTCGTAACATTACTGAGCGCTGAGCCAGAAGTACAATATGTAGCGTTACGGAACATAAACCTCGTGGTGCAGAAAAGACCAGATATATTAAAACATGAGATGAAGGTAAACATGATGAATATTATAATAAAAGAATTATATCAAGTAATTTATGGCCTTTAATTCTTCTAACAAACAATTCTGTATAGGTGTTCTTCGTGAAATACAACGATCCAATTTACGTGAAACTAGAGAAGTTGGATATCATGATACGTCTTGCATCTCAAGCGAACATCGCTCAGGTTCTTGGTGAATTGAAGGAGTACGCCACCGAAGTTGACGTGGACTTCGTGAGGAAGGCTGTAAGGGCCATAGGACGGTGTGCTATTAAGGTAACGTGAAATAAATAATTAGTTCCGTAGAATAAAAACAGTTTCCAGAACAGTTTGTACAGTTATTTTTTCATGGAGTGTATTATAACTTACATTAGAAGTAATAATAATAAACAACAAATATAGCAAGAACATTTAAACAGCAACAAAACAAAAAGATATAAGTTTTAGACACTGTTTATTGACATAAAACACTTTGGATTCTGGAGTTTAGAATATGCTTAATTCTGGAGTTTAGAAATGCTTCATATATACCTAAATTAGAACATTGCATTTGAAATCCAAAGTATTTATTTGGGAGTGTTACATAATTAAGTCCATCACATTAATTTATATCTATATTTAATGCGCTTTATCTGATTGTAAGTATAGTTTCATAAGAAACATGGAGAAATTATATCAATGGAATGTAATTGGAATAATTGTATTATTATTTTGTGACTTAATGAATATGTTAATGCAGGTGGAGCCTTCAGCGGAGCGTTGCGTGTCAACGTTACTTGAATTAATTCAAACCAAAGTGAACTACGTGGTCCAAGAGGCTATTGTAGTGATAAAGGACATATTCCGTAAATATCCCAACAAATACGAGAGCATTATTAGTACGTTGTGTGAGAATTTGGATACCCTGGACGAACCTGAGGCTAGAGCGTCGATGGTAAGTAGATTTATATAATATATACCTTGAAATTATGAAATTTATATTAATACGAGTTTTATACCATGAAAAAAGTCCCATGAGCTTAAAGAACGTTATTTCTATCTCTATTTATGTGAAATAATTGAGTTATCCAACGGTATTTCTCAATAATAATACATAAGTTTTATTTATGCGAGAATTTATTTAATTATATCAAATATTCCTTTATCGTTTACTTATTATTTTATAACAAAGGTTTGGATTGTGGGCGAGTACGCTGAGAGGATTGACAACGCAGACGAGCTGCTTGACTCATTCCTTGAAGGTTTTCATGATGAGAATGCTCAGGTAAAGTAAAAAAACTATACAATAATAATAAAAATATTAATATATGTATTTAGAAGATTGTGTTTAGTATAAATATATTATTATATGTAATGTCTTTAACAGGTCCAGTTGCAGCTATTAACAGCTGTAGTTAAGCTGTTCTTGAAGCGTCCAGCTGACACCCAAGAGCTTGTGCAGCATGTACTGAGTCTTGCTACACAGGATTCGGACAATCCAGATCTGAGGTACATATGTACATACATATATGGTTATGTATTTGCTCATTGTGTTCATGTACTACCAGCATAGGTATAGATTAAAATGTAATACCCACTACTACTGCGGATAATTTTAATTAGAACTAACAAAAAAGACCTAATTTCTTAGGACTACATTTGGGAAAGTATAACAAAATTTGTATATATGTAAGTATTTATCTATATAATATAGTCCTAAGAAATAAGTGTTTTTTTGTTAGTTGTAGCTGAAATTATATGTATATAAGCTTATAGTTATGTTATTTTAACAGGGATCGCGGGTTTATCTATTGGCGTCTGTTATCAACGGATCCGGCCGCGGCTAAAGAAGTGGTGTTGGCTGACAAACCTCTCATCTCTGAAGAAACAGATCTCTTAGAGCCGACACTACTAGATGAACTCATCTGCCACATCAGCTCTTTGGCATCTGTGTACCATAAACCACCTACAGCATTCGTTGAAGGTACCATAAATATATAGTTATTAAAAATATATGGAAATCTGTAAAGAAGTATAATATTGACTATATAAACAAAAATTTGTAACCTCAATTTTTGTAGTCGCTAAGTAATACTGATACTCAGTAAATTTAACACAATTTTAATGAAGGTTTTGACTGTTAATATACTTAATATATATGTGTTTGTTTGACATACATAAATATAAAATTATAGGGTGGTTGCTAAATAATACTGGTACTTAGTACATTTGACTTACAAATGTATTATAATTTTTAACAATATGGTTTAAAATATATGTATATGTATGTATGTTTGTATGTACACAGGTCGCGGTGCTGGTGTTCGTAAGAGTCTCCCAGCTCGAGGTCACACCGCTGACGAGGCGCCAGCAGCCGCGCCCGCTGTTATACCGAACCAGGTAATATACTATTAATATATGTATTCATAATGAGCATTATCTATCTGACCGCTTTAATACGGTCAGATAGATTTAAAGATACGAGTGCACCATTAACTGGAAACTATCAAGAATTTATTACTATCCGGACATGTCTTAAAGTTCCAAATGTAAAACAATCTACTTTGAATTCGGGATAAATTCGACAACCGCACGGTGAATCTATTGAATTCTTAAAGATTTCGTCTCTGTAACTGTTTCAACTTGTAATTAAAAATTTGGATTCATATACCGCTGAAATAATTTCAAACACTACATAGAGAGCAAAATCGTGTATGATAACTCATTTCTGATAATTTTCATGTTATCATAGTATTTCATACTGTTTAAGTCATGATATAATTATGTACAGGAGTCTTTGATCGGTGATCTGCTGTCTATGGACATTGGCGCTCCGCCTGCAGCGGCGACCGCGCCTGCATTAGACTTACTGGCGGGAGGATTGGATGTACTTGTATGTATAATATATATATATCAGTTATAATACACGTATATATATATTCATAATATTTGTGTTCGTATTTTGGCGAAATTTATTTGATTTTACATGTATGTTTTATAGCTGGGTGGTCCTGAACCGACAGCCAGTGTCTCTGGCAGCGCTACCGGTCTATTAGGAGACATCTTTGGAGCGGCTGCACCAGCCTCATACGTACCACCGAAACAATGTTGGCTGCCGGCTGATAAGGGAAAAGGTATAAAACATAAGACAGAAGTTACAACAATATCTATAGCCCATTTATATTAATACTAGCTTTCCGCCCGCAGCTTCGCCCGCGTGATGTTCGGTTGTATCGAATTTCTAAGAGAACCTTTCAAAAGTCTGTTATAAAAACTATCCTATGTTCTTCCTCAAGGTCAACTCTATCTTTGTACCAAATTTCATTAAAATCAGTTTAGTGGTTTAGGCCTGAAAGCGTAACAGACAGACAGAGTTACTTTCGCATTTATAATATTAGTAGGGATTTAATTTGTTCTTTATTGTCAAGGTCTGGAGATCTGGGGTACATTCAGTCGCCAGAACGGTCAGCTTCGTATGGAAATGACTTTCACTAACAAAGCCATGCAGGCCATGAGCGGATTCGCCATACAACTCAATAAGAACAGGTAATTGAATTGTTATTTTATATAAACAGATCAATAATACTCAAGTTATAGTTATGTTTTTTGTTCTCATATACAGATAGGTACATACAAAATAATAAGCATGAATCTCAATAACAGATACTAAAAGCGAATTCTTTTGTTTATGTCTGCGATTTTGATAAAGAATTATGATTTACAATACGATACCTCCAATTTTAAAGACATTTAAACCTACACAAGTAGGTCTTGATCATTGGAATTATTCAGTAAAATGGGAATTGTCTGACAAATGAGTTCTTCGCCAATATTTATTCCTATTCGTAAATAAGAGATAGGAATATGATGATTGATGAATTGTTAAATAATTATAAACAAGATCGATATTGGCAGTCACTTTATTGTTTCAATACTGTATAATGTATATGAATTATATATATGTTTAGTTTCGGTGTGTATCCTGGAGGGGCGTTGTCTGTAGGAGCTCTCGGTGCGGGCGCAAGAGCTGATGCACCTCTACCACTGGCTACAGGGGGACCAGTACAAAGAATGGAACCTCTCAACAACCTACAGGTAGAAAAACATACACAAACACACAACATATACTAACACTTAACATATACTAACTCACAAATACATAGAATAAACTTAGCTATGTAAAGTGTAATTGTCTAGGTTACTAGTATTTTTTGTGTACATTCTATCGTTATTAAATATAGAAATCAAAATATAAATAATATGAAATCACTTACATCAAAAAAATATGAAAGTCACATAGTTTAATACTAAACATGTTTACAGGTGGCCGTCAAAAATAACATAGACGTGTTTTACTTCGCGTGTCTCATTCCGGTTCACATTCTGTTCACTGAGGACGGACAACTTGACAAGCGAGTGTTCCTCACAACCTGGAAGGAAATCCCAGCAGCTAACGAGTTCCAGCACACCATAACGAACGTCATTGGCACCGCGGACTCGATCGCACAGAAAATGACCCTCAATAATGTATTCACCATCGCTAAAAGAAACGTCGAAGGTCAAGACATGTTGTACCAATCCCTCAAACTGACCAACAATATATGGGTCCTTCTAGAACTAAAGCTTCAACCCGGCAACCCAGAGGCCACGCTCAGCCTTAAGTCCCGCACCGTAGAGGTCGCTAATTGCATTTTCCAAGCTTACGAAGCCATCATTAAATCGTAATCTCACTACTTCTATATGTATATGGTGGTCAAGTTGATGTTATCAAGTATTCTTATATGGTAAATGATAAGACTATGATTGTAAATTCCATTAGTTATATGAGCGTTCTTTAGAAATATATATATATAATGCCTCGTAGCTTACTGTTTGCGAGTTTTGTTTAATCGCTCTTAATCATATTATAATTATGAAGTTATTTAAATAAATGAACTTACGTTTAAAACCATTTTTATTTCATATCTTTGATATTCTTTAATGATATATCATTCGTTTGAATTAATTAGCGTGGTATTCAAATTAGAAACGAAAGTCTCTATAATATGTTAAGGTCATTACTTCATAAAATAAACCGCAACAATTCTTTTTGCAAAATTAACAAAAAAAAATAGAATAAACTAACAATGACTGATACGTTATTTTGAATTTCTTGACATTGAATGAAGTTGCAGATAAAACTTATTCGTCAAATATGTATATTTAGAAACTTAAACTTTTTAACAAACCAAATCCATTAAAAGCTTCAATCTCAACAAAATTCAACCAGTTTCTATTTCTTGTCTCATAATAAGTTCAACTTTTTTTACTTTAATAAAAAACGCACTTCTTTAAAATTTGCCGTATTTTTATTAAAAAAAAAAAACAAATCTCGTTTTTGCCATATGCCATATCATTTAAACAAGATGTTTGTTTATTCAAATCCCAAAATATTACTTGAATATAAATGTTTAAGCTCCAAAATAATAACATCTTTAACACAAGATGTTTTTTATTACTTATTGTACAGGTTTTAAGAACCTTATAATCACCTGAAGTGACGCATCGAAGAATAATTAAATTTATAACAGACTGCCACAAAAGAAAACCAATAAATATTACGTAAAAAATTTATTAAAAATTTATAATATTATATTTTTCAAACCATTTCTTTTATAAATGAATTTAATTTTCAATAAAATAATATAAAATTCATCAAAATTTTGTCTTATATTTAAATATATTTTTTAATCTTAACATTTATATAAACCACAATTACTACATGCAATAAAATAATATAAGTTCAAATAAAAAGAACCGATTACTAGAGATTCGAAATAAAAATAAAACCGTTTAAAAATAAAAAAACAACTAACCCTTAAGGCACGAGTAAACTACATGGATCCTAAAAATGCATCGTGTAAATTACATTCAAGATACATTAAACCATTCGTAGATGTATCCTTCCTTACATATAAATATTCTCTAAAAAATTCCGTGTACTAGTAGTTTATTTCATTGCTATTATCATTCAATCTATCTTAACAAGAAACTCTTCTATTTCCAACTTCTGTCTCATGATAGCGGACATCACTACTTCAGTGTTACAAACAACATTCAAAGTCTTATCAGACTGCAGCAGGTAGTAGACCAAGTGTAAATCGTTGGGTACGGTTAGTACTAGATAACTGTATGGCTTCTGCATGTGCATATCTTGTATGGACACATACGAGCGTCTGTTCTTCTCGACCTTTCCACCGCATAATTCTATCATCTCCGTGAGACCGGCTCGAGACGGTTTCACACATGGTGTCAAGAAGAACGTGATCCCATCAAAGAGTTTCTTCCTCTGTTCACCACACAACAGCACTTCATCTACATCACACTTGAACGTCTTATTAAAAGTCTCGTCTCTCAACGGGTATTTCGCCTCGTCAGCGAATTTATTCAGCCTCTGACTTTCATTGATCCACTCGGGTGTCACAAGATGTTTCACTGTTATCAGACAGCTCACTAGTTTACAAGTCCTCACAAGTTTTTCCATCACTAGGTGAGTCGCTTCTGAAGGTGACGATACAACCAGCCCGCCGAGTTGTCTACAGACACCAAAAAAAATAATATAAGCGTTAAGTACATCATCTTAAGACTACATATACCGTTCTATTAAGATAAACTGTAAATGTACAATGGGACAAATAGGTTTGTTTTCTACCTGACAATAGCGGCCAGTCGTTGATGCAGGTGATTAGGTAGGGCTGAGAACAGTACTCGAGGTGCGAGGTGTATGGGCGGTGCGACTGGCGTGCCAGTGGACGGCGAGATCTCTACACGAGGCCGCTTGGCGCGCCGCGGGTAACTACTGGCACTCCGCTTGGCTCGCTCGTGAGACTCTTGCGTAATATTAATCGGCATCTTCCACGCATCTACAAGGAAATTACACTTTTAATATACTCTCTGGTAGATCTGCTATGTGTTATTACCGTTGAAACTTTTTGAGCTATTTAATTTTTAAGAATTTGAATTAACACATTGTTTGTTTGGTAAAATATTACTTTATTTACTCACTCATTAAATGTGAAACTAAACTGTAGTCCATACGGAATGGACTCCCAAGATTAAATTGTTGATATTTCGCGTTTTCAATCTGAAACAATGAATAACATTTAGATTACATAAAATTCCTCGTTCATAATTAAGTGTTTTTCTAATAAATGAACCAATTCTTTTGATATAAATAATTATAACACTATATAAAGTTTTAGAAGCGATTGAAACCCTCAAATTATGTTTATTAACAGTTAGCTTATAGACCAGTGCTAATAGGTTTTAAAACATAATAGTTTTATCAGCTTAATGTAAATTTTCTGTAAATTACCTAAAAGGGGGACTATCTGGAGATCTTCCAGATTATACAACTATTAAAAATAAATTAGAAAGAGCATTTTCAAAACGATATCGAGTGTCATTTCATTAAAAGAGACATGATTATTTTATCCAAAAATGGTACTGCAAGTTAGAAACTTATATTTTTTCTTAACCATCGGAAAATATAGACGTAAACAAATAAAAAAACATATCAAATTTTTGAAAAAAACTAATATTTTGACGGATGATTTTTCGATTGAAAATGAGGCTAATTTTTCGGTATTTATTCAAAATAAGCTGAAATATAAATATTTCTACTCAAATAAATAACAGTGCATTTGGAACATCAAAAGAAAAGTTTTCACCAAATTTCGTGACAAAAAATTGATTTTTAGTTTTGCGGGAAATCGAAAAAACCCATAAATACCCACCCCCATACCCTTCCCGACCTCAGATCGCCCGTTATTTATTTTTCCTTCAATTTTTATAATATTCCCCTCCTTTTCTAATGAGTTTCATTCTACTATAATTTATTTTCACTTTTCATTAATTTTAAAGGCTTCTGCACTGGACTATTATTGGTATATACGTATATTTTCCATATTGTTATAATTTTAATTCTTTACCTGTGACAAAGCCGTCATATTCCCCAGCAGTAGATCTGTAAGCCAGGCGGCGCTCACTACCGGCAGACCCCACTCTCTCGCGCGTCTATACTTGGTGCCTTCCGCTCTCTTACAGATAACCACAGTATTGTCGCGTGTCATGTACGCCGTCATCTATATTTAAAACACACCATGAGACTTGTACGATATATTATCAATATGATTTAGTGCGCGCAGTATACAGAGTATAAATAGCCACAGATTATATATAAAATTGTAGCAATTCTCACCTTGGCCCCGACCTGTCTCAAACAGCATGCGATCCTTCGTCTCTCATCTCGTTTCCATCCAGTTAGCGCGGCTCTATGGTGTGCCGCCGGTCGTTCTGATCGCGCGTGTAATGCCGGTAGATGTAATGCGTGCCACGGCGGCATCACACTGCGTCGTTCAAGAGTATCGGCTACCCAATACGCCGTGACGCATCTCTTCGCGTCACGTAACGCCTGCATCACTACCCCGTGACGTTGTGTCTCACACATAACGTGTGTAACTCTAGCGCAATACCCGGCTTCAACTTCGCCGCCGCGACGCACTATCGCCTCCGTCCAACGAGCGACACGATCATTTCCCACGGATTGTTGGTATTCCACCTAAATGTTGAATTTATATTAATGTATAGAACACTTCAATTTGATACAGCATATAGCTTAAAATCTATATGATATTTATTTATTTATTTATTACAATTATGTTGGTATTTTTTACATTTATATCTAAGTTTTCAGTGTCTCATAAACCAATATTGGTTTTTCCGTACACTGGATCATCTTTATCATCTTTATAGACATCAACTTGAGACGAATAAAACTGTAATCTTTATTATGTATGTATGAAGACATATTATGACACGGTTTTGACTGTCTTAGCTGATAGATTATAATTAAAATAAATAAATAGATTTATTCTTACAATATGAAAAACGCATCCCAGCAGAAATAGTTCGGGTGGTAGCTTCAAATTAGGGTTGTGTCCGTAGAACTGCGGCCGCGCCTGCGCAACGCGGACGGTGCCTGCGTATACCTTACCGCCAGCGTTGGCGACGGCACTAGCTACACCCACACCGACACCTACACCGACACCTACACCTACACCTGCACCCACCTGGAAAAAAAGATTTATTTACACTTGTACATATTAACAATTCGAAATCAGCACTTCGATACCCGCTTTCAGTACTGAATGGGAATTTTTCTGTAATAGTTTTACCGACCATCACTACCACCTCATATGCAACACACAATATATATATACAAAATTGTACATATGATCGCTTGAACAAATCGAAGATAACATTTTTTTATATACATTTCAAATTCAGATAGTTATATAATCTTTAGCCATACATTTTATAGACATTAAATTTGATACTTTCACGTTAATTTGCAAATATAAGTACTGACTATAAATATTGAATACGTTATTTACCGGCGGCGCAGGTGAAGCGTGCGGGTGAGGTGGACCCAAGAGTAGTCTCGTAGGAGCCCTAGCTGCGCCCCCCGCCGCGTGGGCCGCTGTCATTAATCTGAAATATAGACATATATTTAATAATAGCTACCACTACATCACTACAGTACAATATCTTCTACCTGGCAATTTCCCAGCTTTATAGCCAGGATCTGCCTTACATGTTGTGAATAGTTTTGGCTATTTGTTTTTACGACCGGCCGCCTGCCTGACATCAACCCTACTTTTTGGGAATTAACATTAGTCAGTGATGTCTAAATAGTCTTAGAAAGTACATATGACTTGGAAAAATCACATTGGTACTTGCCAGGGCCAGGATCGAACCCGCGCCCTCGCGAACGAGAGGCGGGCCCTTTAACCACTAGGCCACCACTGACTATCACTAGTCACTACAGTACAATATACTACTGTACAACTGATTAGTAGTCCATACGTACCGTAGTGTTCCAGCAGCGGATGGCTCATGATCTGCTGGGGTCGTTGACCCCTGTAGTCTTATAGACAGCATGTTGGCGAGTGCTGTCTTAGTCTTTGGGTTCACCAACAACGCTCCAGGGCCGGCCTGCTGTTGTTCAGGTGTTGTCGGCGTCAAAAGACCGTCGACTTGTTGTTCTTGCAGTGGTGTTACGACATGCTGTGTCACAGGCGCTATCTGTTTGTATAACCAAATATGTTAATTATACTAGAGATTAATGTTTCAATAGATATATTGTGTGGTACTATTAAATATATAAACAAACGACATTACTATTTTTATTAAGAAAACACCTAATATTATTATCTACCCACATCTTATTAACGTCTAATCATATTTTCCGTATATGAGATTTTATTTATAATATTCTTTTTACTACTGGGCAGATCTGACGATATTATTGATTTGAGCTGCAAACCTGTTTAGCTGTCTGATGATGCAGCTGTGCGTGATCACGCTGTGCTTGAAGCTGCTGCAACCTCTGGAACTGCTGCTGCCGCTGTAACTGCTGCAAAGGAGTATCCGTTGGAGCTGGACCTGCCGCACCGCTTACTGATCCTACTAAACACAGATGTATTATTATCACAGATAATATATATAAAAATGAACATTTAACAATAGAACCTCCTTACAATCTGTTAGAATAAACCAAGGACGTTTGCACAAGTCATTAATTTTATGTTTCATATACAAACACCAGTTGATTATGTATATAAATTAAATAACTAAGATCTATATAAATATTACGTTAGCGATATGTTATTTTTTTATTAATAATTAAAAATTATATGAATTTATGGGCATGTAGTATGAAGTTAGGTTACAGCAACTGAATTATATAAAAAATTATATGACAATGATGGAGCATGCTGTATATAATAAATATAGTCTTTTATAAATTACTTATTTATATAAAATATTTAATACATGTTGATATATATTTATCTATCCACAACATATTCTATAAACTGTTACTTACATTCAGATTCAGGCGAATCCATGAGAATTCTAACCACGATATATAAAACTCAGTAGTATACAAAATAATTTTATTAATAAAAACCAGATAGTAAAAAATCTAAAATACTTTACAGAAATAAATTGATTTAATGTTATGATATGATATAAATTATGATATGATATAAAAAAATTATTATATGAGACGTCTATAAGATATCGTATTAGGACGCGAGACTGGCACCGAATTGAAATTGTAATTCGTCAGCAAGTCACCCATCATTATGTATGAACCAGAATTTGAATACCAAAACTTCTAACCACACGCATTCTTCGACAATTTTTCTTGAATGTTCTTTTCAGTAACCTAAAAATATATCTATAGATAAATGTAACCATATATACACCATTCAAATGTATCAAAACATTTCCTTTTATCGGAATTTACACAAATTATTACACACCTGCTATCGAATATGAGATTAATAATAATAATAATTTTCTCTATACTTTCAATAGTTTTATATGACAATTTTATTATGGGAATATTGATGTACGGTGAGAATGAAATATATGGAAGTGATGAGTTATATGAATGAATGTTTTATATTAATTTAATTAATTTATTAATAAAGCGTTAATATTTTCATAGAGTGGATCATTAATTCACCTGGTGACTGCGGAGGTTGTGTCTGTTGAGGTGTAGGTATAGTCGCAGTCCTTGCACCTTGCTGTTGTAACCATTGCACCTAAAAAATACATTATATTAGTATATATTACTCTATTTTCATAACAACAATGAATTACATATACTATATGTGCTGTTTTGGGTTTATTTAATAATTAAAATACAACTTATTATGTAAATATATATATATATATTCATAGTCGCTTGTCTGTACCATTAGTATGAGTTTCCATGAATGCTCAAATATAAATAATAAACTACTGTTTAATTTAACTATACAAACCTGCAATAAGGTACCGTATCGGTTTGTTGAACAGTTACTCACAATGTAATATGTCATTGGTCATTATAATTCAATTTAAAATATAAGCATATAATTATATATTCTTTAATTTTACTTTCTTTTTTTTTTTATTTGAACGGCACATCGACAATACATACATTAAGCACTTAAAACTGAACACTTAACTGATGTGTGTACCAATTATAGATGTACACAGCACTGCTAAAAATTACTGTCTAGCTTACAAAAATAATATGAAAAAATAAGTTAACAAAAGAAATTTCAATAACAACACTATTACGAAAAAAATACAAATGAAGAAGAAAGAATATCAAACAACAATCAAAATAAACTACTACAGCTAACTACTACTACTACTACTACTTTTACTAACAGGACTTGACAAAAAATCACAAATTATTTGCTTAAACTTCGGCAAAGAATCAGAAAAAACATTAATATTTTGGGTTAATGCACACAGATCGTTATACTGGCCACATATTCTATTTATTGGGGAATATTTAGCAACATTTGTGCGTAACTTCGCTATGTAAAACAATTTATTGTTAGGTTTTCTAGGAGGGCGACATGGGACTGAGATATTAATTTTATGGAGAGCCTGTTCACATTGGACAGTGCCATTCATAATTTTAAATAATAAAATTAAATCGAGAAGTTTTCTTCGATTTCGCAAGGTTTCCTTTTAAAAAAAATTTTGACGACTGTCGTATGGCGCTCTATGGGATATTCCGCTGCATGCAAAAGCTAGATGTCTAGTGAAAGAGCGTTGAATCGATTCAACTCTTTGAGAATTAACAGCGTATATAGGGTTCCAGATCTGAGACGCGAACTCTAAAATCCTAACAAGAGCATTGAACAGGTAAAGCTTTGTTTTAGTCGTAAATCCTTTTGTATTTCTCTTAATGAATCCAATCATTAGAGCTCTCTTAGCATTTATCATGTTAATGTGGGGCACAAAAGTTTATTTTTTATCAATGATAACGCCTAAATCTTTAACCTCGGCTACTTCTTTAACTGATTGCCCATAAATTGTGTATGAAGAAGTAATAGGGAGAATTGTTTTGAGAATTTGGTATGTAAACATTTTGTTGGATTAAGTAACATATTGTTACTATCACTCCATTGCCTAATTCCAAGTAGATCACTTCGAAGTTGTGTACTGTCAACAGATGATTTTATAGTTTTATATAGTTAAGTATATAAAAGATACAAAGCATCCAATTCACGCAACAAATCCAAAGCTTTAGTCACTTTTACATTAGGTAAATTATTAATTATCAAGTCCAAAATATGGCCTCTATCATTCGTTACACCATTATACTGATATAAATTATTCATATTTAAGAAGTCTATAAATAATGTTTATATGGCCCTATTGTTATTAGACGAACACATATATAAACCATAATTATTATTATTCCAGACTACAGAACTTAAGTTAAAATCTCCTAGAATAATAATATTGTCACAGTGTTGTAGAACATTTGTAGCCATATCTACAAATGCATTAATTGAATCCAGCTTAAGTGGAGGAGGAAAGTAGACAGCACATATTACCAGCTTAATTGGTTTTTTATTTATTATTATAATGATAGTGACCCAGAGATCTTCACCGACGGTTTCCCAACTCGATATCCTACAGGACTGTATATCACGAGATACAGCTATCAACACTCCTCCTCCATCCTGTTTGGTAACTACGCAAGGCTTATTACAATCAGAACCATTACCATTGTCTACAATTAATCGATCCCTGCGATACACAATATAGCGAGAATCAATAAATTCATTATCTTTGATACCTGAGTTTACTGCCACTAGCAGTGTCTTTGATACTGCCATAACGAACCCACGTAAATCTGTAATTCAAGTCTTTGGACTTAATGCGAGCCGCCGCATGCAGTGACTTGTTGGCTGGAGTTAAATGCTCGCCCACGTATACTTGTGAACGAGCTCCGCCAAGTCCTAGTTGATGAGAATTAAGTTTGTCTGTTTGTGGAGTGCGAAGTCTGGCAATAACGGTTCGTGGTTTCTTATTTTCCTTATTGAGTTTAGCGACGCGAGTAACTTGAACTATATCGTCATTCGAGAGATTGACGTTCACTGTCTTAGCCAACTGACCAAAAGTGTTTGACAAGGTTTTCATTGCTATGTTCAGGAAGGCCGTTTATTTCGATATTACTCTCTTTAATAGTTAAATCGTTAACTGTAGAATTCAAATGATCATTGTTCGATTTTAGCTTATGAATAGTGACTTCGCTGTCATCAAGACGCTTTTTTAGGTCTTCGTACTGTTCATTAAAAAAGGTAATAGCCTCTCTAAATCAACTTATTTCTTTCTTAATTTCCTTCAACCTTTCAGTTATCATATCGGATATGACCGTTTGTTATGACCGTTGATAAATCTGATTTGAAACTCTCCAAAATGTCGCGAAGAGATTCTGCATTTATAACAGAATTGCTGGCTAAAATATCGTTTTGCAATTTGGTGCTATTACTTCGTATAGTAACATTATCAATATCTAAGGAAGTCCCGCAATCTTTTAATACACAATCAACGTTACTGTTTAGTGGTGGTCTAATAGGCGTATTAGTATTATTTATTTTTGGCATCTTGTTACGACATCCTTGGGACTTCCAGTTAATTTTGCTTTCATTAGATAGCGACTTGAATTTATTAGGCGATATATTTGCACATAGATCATAACATAATTGCGCTTATGACACTTGACTTCTGATGATTATTAACATTCTCCGTCTGTACAAGGGATTTAAGGGACAAAAATGAGCATGTGTTATTGCACTAGCTGACTGAATACATAATGTTAAAATCAATGTACGTCGTACGTTCAGTAGGTGATTGTTGAAAGAACGACCAACATACATACTAATGTATAGTTTTTTTATGACATTGTATATATAGAGAAAATACAAATCTAAGCCATACATAAATCGTTACTACAATTGCTCTGAATTCAATCTTTGATTACAAAAGCTTTTTTATATTTAAAAAAATCTTTGAAATTCAAGCAAACAAATAGGATCAGAAATGATCAAAAGTCAGGCTGAAAGACTAAGAAGCATCTATTGGTTTGAAACCAATACCCTACTTATGATTTATATAAAATAAATATGATATATATCTATATATATGAAATAATTAATACATATGATTGTATTTTCTTGGTACATACTTGTTGTTGTTGTGTAAGTCCTGGAGGCAGCTGACTGCGTATGAACGTCACGCTCTGAGTGGGGGCGGAGCCCGGCCCGCCTGCCCCCGGTCCACCGGCGCCAGGCTGGAATAATACACCATTCATTAAGACACTTACTAGATAAGACACTTACTAGAAAATATTACTTAGACAACAACTAACTGTTGCTGTAAAGTAACCGAAACGTCGGTAGTATGTAGTTTTTAACAAAAATAAAGCACGCGTAGTATATCCGAAAAATATTAGCATCATTTAAGCAACTAGCTATCATTTATAAGTTAGCTGTCATCGGGGTAAAGATGAATTGAATTCAAGTACAGCATATGTGATTATGTAGATCAATATTTCACATTCGCTTAATACCAAAATATAGTCAGGGAAACCTTCAAATACTAGTGTAGGGTGAACAAAAAAGATTAATCATTAGACCAGAAGAGTTCGTTTATGTAATGTTTGAACCTGTTGTGCGAGTGCCGCGGCTCGTTGTATGGAGAGTTGTCGTCTCTTCTGCAGCTGTGCCACGAACATCGCCCGCTGCTGTGGATCCATCTGCTGCAGCTGTGCGTGCGTCTGAGCGTCCAGGTGTATCAGCTGCCGGCCGCCTCCAGCTGACCAAGACACCTGCAATACCTTGGCGGTCAGGTTCCAGACGTTAGGTTAATGTGCGCTATGGTTAATGTTGTGTAATACGTACATATAACATGCATTGCACTATTTGTAGGTTAGTAATAATATAAGTTAAGAAATACAAGCTATCAGAAAAACATGGGAGAGGAAAGAAAAGATTCTAGTATGGAATTAAATTAAGACTGGTTATTAAACAAATGGTTATTCTCTCACCCTCGGTCCTACAGCTCCGGGTTGACCGATCTGCTGCCTCTGCTGCAAGTACTGCTGCTGCTGCCAAGACACGTTCTGCCCTTGAACAATCTGTTGCCCGCCCGGTGATACTATTTGTTGGCCACCGCTGTGAGTTATGATTTGTTGTATCCCTCCCCCGGTCAACTGGGAACCCGGTTGAGGCGATTGCGGCACTTGCGACAGTACCTGCTGCGTCTGGCCGATTATTTGCTGCCCGGACTGAGTAACTAATTGCTGGGAGGACTGTGCTATCACTACTTGGTGCTGTTGTCCCGGCTGCGTTATAACGTGCTGCCCGCCCTGCGACAGCACTTGTTGACCGCCTTGTGTTATTATCTGCTGCCCGCCCTGGTTCACGATCTGACCGCCTTGGTGTACAATTTGACTCTGAGACACTAATTGCTGTCCACCCTGCAAAGTCACCTGTTGGTTCCCATGTACAAGTATCTGTTGTTGACCTGTGTGCTGGTTTATTAGAACTTGTTGTGGCCCTTGGACGATCTGTTGTTGGGTTCCATTAAGTAACTGTTGTTTTTGTACAAGTATTTGATGATGTGTTTGGTTGAGTGATTGCCCTTGGTTGTTAATTGTCTGTTGCAGAATTTGTTGTGGTGTCTGTTGTATTGTGTGTTGTGGACTTAACTGCGCCTGTTGATTGTTTATCATGGCCTGTTGCTGTGTTTGCATGATCTGATGTTGCAGTATCACCTGGTTCTGAGGATTACGTGACTGTACAAGTGGACTCCTTATTATTTGATGCTGACCCTGTACATTTTGCACCATTTGTATATTTTGTTGTCGCCATGCACCTTGAACGGGAACAGTATTTCCCTGTTGGTTTTGTATTGTCTGTTGCACAGTTTGTATCTGTTGACCAATCACAGATGATTGGTTATTATTATTAACAAGTTGATTCATCTGACCCCCTTGGCCGCCTTGACCTGGTGAAGATGACACCATACCCTGTTGGTTAACAACACCCATATTAATGTTCTGTTGTTGGTTGGTCATAGATTGAACGGTTTGTTGCTGAATCATGCCCTGGTTTTGATTAGACATTTGTTGACTTGAGTTTAAGAGTTGTTGTTGGTTCATAACTTGTGTAGGACCTAAATTTTGCTGATTTAGTTTGGCATTTTGCAAACTTTGTTGAAGGTTCTGTGTAGATTGTGCTAATTGTTGAGCAATATTTTGCACAGCACTCTGTTGACTTAAAGTAAGGCCTTGTTTCATCACAATATTTTGCTGGTTCATTTGAGCTTGTTGCATATTATTGGCGCTTTGACTTAACATTTGGCTAATGTTCTCTATTTGTTGTTGAGCAGAGCTCATTGATGTGGTCGGGTTTTGGTTAATATTCTGATTTTGTTGTATATGATGTTGATTATTTTGCATATGCTGCTGTATTTGATTATTAATGTTCTGTGTAATTTGAGCTGCAGATACATTTGGTTGGCCGAATCCTTGTTGGTTTTGTTGATTGCCCATTTTCTGTTGCATCATTTGCACTCTCAACTGATGTTGTTGCAACAGTTTTTGTTGTTGGAGCTGTATAGCTGACAATCCATGTGGCGGTTGTGATTGTTGTTGCTGGCTTTGGTTGTAATTTTGTTGTAGATTTACCTGCTGGTTTTGAACATTCATCCCACCTTGTGAAGCTAATGTGTTTTGCCCAAGTTTTTGTATAAATTGTGTATTTGCTTGACTACCTTGTATTTGTAAATTTTGTGTAACAATTCCCTGTGGTATTGATTTGCTTGCGATACTTGCAGAAGACATGGCCGTTGTATAACCCATGGTATTAATACTAGATGTGGCTACAGATGAATTAGCCGAAGATGGAGGATGATTCCATGGCATTCTTTGTTTCAGCTTATCCAAAAGGGCTTGAGTACTCTCATCCTTATTTTCAGTCATGTTTTGAGTTGGAACCTCATTTTTAGCAATACCTTCTTCAAAATCAAACCCTGTTATAGCACTAATACGATCCATTGGTTTCGGTGGTGGTTGCGGTATAACAAGTAATTTAGGGTGAAACACTTCGGTTACCGCTTGTATTCGAGCTCTCAAGCTTTCCAACACCCAATCTGGAGTGACAATCTTAACCTTGGATGACAGTGAAAGAGCAGCGTTGTATTTCTTACCACTCGCTGAGCCACAAATTAAATGAGTACACTGTGTATCCAAGTTTAACTTCACTTTTCCACCATTGTATGTAATGAGTGCAAACAACGCTTTCGCATCACTCGAGCTTACTTTGGAAACACAGGCAGTGACATATGAGAATATCTTATTCTTACTTGGGAAGTAAGGCTTTGGGTTAGCAAGCTTCTTCAGCCGAGCACACGCAAGCACCCAATTTTCAGTCACTGCAGGGATTTGATATATGTCCTGAGCGTCGTCTAAGTCGGTATCAGCGGCATTTGGACCACAAATTAGATGAGTGACATAATCAGAGAAATATTTAGTGCTTTCCGCGGCCCCAGACTGAAGCAACTGCATAATCTGCAATTACAATAAAACATGGGACCTGTTATACTACAATTCGACCCGTAAATAAAAATAAAAACAAAAATACATGTCAAAAACAAACCCTTTCCGAGACATCGCCAGAGAGGTAGTACTTAACATCTTTGAAAATTGGCTCTTGTATTGATAATGAATCTAAATCGTCAACAATCGTTACCATTTTCTATTTTAAAAGGTTTGTGGAAAACTTAGGCTCACAATAACATTTTAATAATTATTTCATTCGAGCGCCGAAAACTAAAAACTCAAGCAAAAACGTCCATTAAAAATAATGTTGCCATCTATTGGATTGATATTGTCAGCCTTACTCTATCAATAAATACTATTTCACATAATCATAAATATCACATTTCGTTATTTCATATTCAACTTGTCTCGTAAATAAATTCTTTTTTGTTGATTTATAAATAAAGAAATAAATATTTTTTGTGAATTTTGGAAGTCAAATAGGAAAAGCAGACTTTATTATTTTGAGAAATTTTAATATGTAACAAGTAAATGTATTCATTTATGTGATAATAATTTTGCACAATTTTTTCATATTTTAAAATATATTTGTAAAATTATATTTACAGCCAAACATTTTTTTATAATGATATTGTAGGTACATATTAGTTGTATTAATTGTCTTCTGTTTAAAATATGTGTTATGTTATTTTATAAGAGAAAGTTCGGAAATTTTAAAGATTTTAAGATAATATGAAATGAAGATCCTAAAGTTCATTAATTTATGGGTAACAAAAAAGCATAATAATATGCTGTTTAATATTAGTATATTTTAATATCTCAACAATGTAAATATCGAAGTCGATAAAATAATATTTCATTGAACTTAATTTAAAAGCTAGAATTCAATCACAAAAGTACTTTATATTGAGTTAATGTATCATAAAACCTACTTAAGATTTGGTGTTTTTAGGCTGACTACCAATTACCAAAGTTGTTTGGTTTATAAAATATGTCAAACGAATTAATAACACAGAAAAACAAAATCCAACTTTTTTTGTTGCATGAAGTTTTTCTACTGTTGTTTACTAATTTGGGTGTGCAAATTTTAAATCTACGTTAAGATTTTTTATAGCAGCTCTAGTTAGTCAGATACAGGTACCGTCTTCAATTTACATAAGTTGTCCATACTTTCTATCAATAGCGACGTAACTTAACAAGTCCTTTTATAAATTTCTTTATGTCTTCCTCAAGAAGGACGTGTTTAAATAATCCTGAGTGTTTTTGTGTTATTTGCGGAGAATATATGTTCCAAAAATGTCGTTTAAATGTGTCAGACTTTGTAAAAAAGGCATACTTCGACTCCTTTGGGGTTCCGTTGCCAACAAACGCTAAACTTTGGATACCAATTTTGCTGTGTAAAAGTTGTATTGAATCTTTGTGACTGTGGGCAAACAAAAGAAGAACATTTTTAGGTACAAATCTCCTATGATATGGCGTGAACCATCCAACCAATCATGACTGTTATTTTTGTGTAACGAAAATCATAGCAATAAACCATAAAAATTGCTCTAAGTGGACATATTCAAACTAAAAATCTGCCATAAGACCAGTCTTGAGTATTAGTGACACATCAACACCACAGCAGCCATGTAGTTCTTCGGAAATCCATACCAGTGCAGCGGACAAATCGAAAACGACCACAGTGGTAGTGGCAATAGTCCCCGATCACTAAATCAAATTGATCTAAGTGACTTGATCAGGGACCTTGGCCTGTCTAAAAGTTGATAGATGATAAAAATTTCATCAACCATATGACAGCTGTCGAGAAATGTGCATGGGAAGAATTTGTTTGAGTAGTGAGGAATTTTTGGGCAATAGGAAGTCTGACAGCTACATTCAGCACGTTAAACAGTAGCGGATACATTTCCAGCGGCTTGAATGCAACATGAATATTAATCTTCACTCTCTTCACAGCCATCTAGAGTATTTACCTGAAAATCTCGGTGACTTAAGCGAGGAACAACGAGAGCACTTTCACCAGGATATTCGCACTAGGGGGGACAGGTATCAGGGGAACTGGAATGAATATATGATGGCTGATTATTGTTGGAGCATTCAAAATAGTACTCATGATTCATCTCACTCTAGAAAATCCAAAAAAAGGATGTTTTATTTAGAATAAATATATTTAATATTTTTTTAAAACTTAAACTAAGTGCATTTTTAATTAAAAATCCTGTCACTTCATAACTCCAAAACTAGAGCTGCTACATAAAAACGGTATATACAAATGTATTTTTGAAATTAGCGTGGAAAAACTATTCAGATTCAAGTAAAAAATCTCATGTAACAGACATGCTGTTTTCCAGTGTAATTGATTAAGTTTTTAGGAAATGTGAAAAATATTTTTTTTTTTTTGGGAAGCGCAATGCTGATCATATCTACAATGACCTAATATACAATGGTATTTGTGGTTTTTGTCTTCATAATTCAATCGATATTGAGAAATAAAAAGTAGACTATTCTTAAAAGAAATTAAGAAAGAAAACACTAGGTGCTAGTTTTAACACAAAAAGATGGATGTTATAAGTTTGACAGCCATGTGTTTTTATTTAAAAAAAATATGTTTTTGTACAGTTTGGCTTCTCCGATTCGAAGTTTTAGTTATTTTTATTAATGCGAAAATTTCTATCGGATTTTTTTCTTAATTTTGTCTTCTTTGACAACCCATAACTTGGAACAAAACGTTTTTATATTTTCAAGTAAGAGACAAATTAAAAAAAGTAGGACTTCAAAAGTAACTTCATATTTTGTACCTAATATATCCATAAATAGGACATACAATTTTATTATTTCTTTTTTTTTAAAAAAAAAGGTGAGAATATCATTTTTGTAATAACGATTTTTTTATTATATATTCTTTATACATAACTTACTAAAAGTCAAGAAGACATGATAAAAGTTACCTATACATTATTTTTTATTGTTACACGACAAGTGATTTTTTCGATAGATAGAACTGTCGTTGTTTTAAAAATGTATTAGAAAATATAGGGTTATACTTAAAAGGATTATTCAATTTCTTTTAAAAGTCTAGAAATATAAGCAAAATCATAAATCTAAAGTATAAAAAAGAGGGAAGCAGATAAAAATGAATATGTATTAAAAAGACTTACTATACCGTTTTTTATCACTTCAATGAGCAGTCAATCAATTGAACAAGTGAACAATTCTTTATAACGATGTTATAAAAACCGATAAGTTAGTATGATACTATAACACATTTAATCTGATTCCCATGAGATTTTTTCTAATTTTTCATAAAAACGTTAAAGTTGTATAGAAAAGTAGGGTTGTATATTCAAATCGGCCGCGCGGTTTTTTTACAAGTCTTGAGCGAGACTAACGAATCTCGTTTTCCTGTAAAAAAAAAAATATTCACACACTATTTATATTTAATATTTATTGACAGTTGAAAAAGGTTAGGTGTAAAAAATCTTTTAATTTATAATTTATGAATATTATTAGTTATTAAACCTTTTTACTATTTGCATACTCCTTGGATGTTAATAAAAAAACTAGTTATTTTTGTTTTGAACTTAGTAAATATATATTTATAGTCTGTTTGTTTCTTACTACAACCCGTTTTATTACACGTAGAGGTTCCTGACTTTTTTAACTCTTTGCATTCTTGTTTATTTTATTAGGTTAAAAGTACTCGAAAGGAATTCCAAAATAGGTTAAGGAATATCCGTAAGCACTGGTCGATTATGACTCTATAATGTCGTTAAACTTTTCATAAAGTATTTTAATGCATTAAATTAATTTTAATCTAAATATTTATTTAGCACCTAGTTTACATCTGAGGTAATTTGCCACCTTTGTATGATTTTTAGGGTCTTAGTAAGCGTCGGAAGGACTTACTGAGTATCAAATGGAGAATTAAAAATAATAATTTCTTTACATGAACAATAATTTATAAAAAATATTAGACATTTTTGAATATTCCTGTTATTTGCTAACATTTGGATTCATCATTCAAATATATTTCTTGATTTATAGTTGCTGATATGGAGAAAAATGGGTATCAATTTTAGCAAAGCATTTGCACCTCCCAAAATTGAAATTGAAATTAAACTAATTAATAGAAATATTTATGTCAGACCAAGTATCAAATATTGTATTTATATTTTTAAAAAGAAGATTCTGCAGCAGTGGACAGGTTCTAAACACACGATAAGTTAGAATAAATAAAATGAATCTCAGTATCAAAGATGACGGAAGGATTTTGTTTACAATAAAACTTTCAGGGTATATAAAATATGAATTAATTATGAAAGGTCAGATACGTTTTTTAGTTCGAAAAACCACTTTAAAAAAACCAGGTGGTAATACGAAACTAGTTTTCTCGACCTCACTCGGACAAAGGCGATAGTATAATATCATTCAGTGTATTGCTAAGACGTCTCTCTGTAAAATGTTACATTTATTTATTTAATGACAATGACGTACCGTGTGTTCTTTAGTTTTTTAATATTAGGCTTCCTAAGTGTATGCGGACAGCAATTTAACTCACCATGTCCAGATTATTTTGGTTATAGACAAGATTCGGGGGGCGTATATGGATTAATTACAATAAAATCATTTGGAATTGTATCTTCTTTACTTGTTCGAGCTAATTTTACGATAGCAGGAAGACTGCCATCCGTAAGTTTATTTTATTAATTTTAAATGTGTATATTCTAACTAATAATAATACTTATATTGTTCTAAAATACATATGAGATATAGATGTCAATTTTATATATTTTTATTAATTTAGAATGTCTTAATATGTTATGATTAAGGAAACGCGAGAATGACAACGCGACAGGAAAATCCAATATGATATTTTAAAATCAAAAGTTAGATATAAAATGTACTCGTATTACTTAATTTGCATACAAAATCATTGATGACAGTTTTATGTTGATGCGAATTTTTTTATTTGTACAATCATTATTCCTTGACCAGCTTCATATGTTCCTTCAGAACCATCTTATTACCCTTAGTATGAGTGTCCATCGTATTATTATTGTTTGTCATTGATGAATTGATACGAATTATATTGGAAAAATTTAGTAACGGCCCGTTTTGAAATTGGCGATTGAAACTCACACTAAGATATTAATTAACATAAGGCAAGCGATCAACATGCGAAATATATATGATAATAAAATTGTACTAAAAAATTTTAATGGTAATGACAGGATTTTTTTGTAAACATTTTAGCGTCCTCAAAGTTTTTCTTTCAATGCATCTTCCATCATAGCTTTTCAGCACTGCACCATTGCGTTCAAAAAATGTTTATTTAAATCGCTCACAAGGATATGTTCCTCATAAGGGACATTATTTGTCTAAACGGACAAGATCTCACTATTACAATGGCATTTACCTCAACGGTAAACACGTGACTAGATTTTAATTGGCCTCTAATAAAAAACTTCATACGAAATAATTATGTATGAAACAAAAAATGGTAGGTATGCTTGCTTTGTATTTTTACAAATCTATGTATTTTCTCACGAAGGCGCCATTTCTAGTTTCAATATTGTTTAGTTCTATAACGAGAAAAAGAATTTGAAATAGCGAAAAAAAAATCGTCTTTTGCCGTTTGTTACGTTGTCGAGTCAAAACCAAGACAAAAATCGAAATTTACAATCACAATTTGGGGATATTATTTCAGTTTTTCGCATATAATGACCTTCATTACAATAACTAAGCAGCAGTGGTTACATAGTACATAAAAACCGGGAGACGTACAATGTAATATTTGAAAAACTTTAAATAGCTGTTTAATAATTATAATTGTATATTTCCTGTCCATCTGTGTAGCTGGCATTTGTGCTTATAAGGAAAATTGTCTGAATATTATAGTATGTATTATACCAGATAGTGTTTAACATCGTCACACATAAGAATCATAATACACACATATTATAATTTGCTAGATATCAAATGACATATACGAATACATTTAAGAAAGTTTATCAGACAAAGACAAAACTAAATCATTAGAAATATGACAATTTTTTTTTTTACAAAATGTTACATTCTTTTTGTTAATACAGATTATTATACGTTACGTCATTTATTTGTCTTTTTCTAATATAACCTTTTATTTACAATATTTTTTCTTTGTTATTCTAAATAATATTTTGCGATTTGATTTATAATTATTCTCGAATTTCGAGTATCCTTTTATTTTTTTTGATTGATTGATTAATGTTTTATCACTGGAGGATCTTTTTCTGGTCGTAATTTTTTTTATTTAGGTAAAAAGTTGGTTATTATATTGTGTGGGTATGAAACGATTAATTAAAATTGCGTATAAATATCTAAGACTCCATTTTTAATTCGATATTCAGACGATTGCACTGATTTTTGACTCATAAAGATATAAAATGACAGTGATCTGTCACTTTGAAACCAAATTTTTTTCAAAGTAATCAAAGACTTGTGAAATATTTATAAAATAATATATTATAATTTTCTAATATTATACTTAGAAATATAGTTAATTAGTTTGAAAGTACTTTTGTCTAAGAGATAAACTATTGACATGAACCCCATGATAACATTCAATCTTCTATTTAATACCGATGTAATACGTCACTGCTTTGATCTCAAATGTCACATAATGCTTAAGGATTTATATTAAAAACCTAATAACAAAAAGTTTTTCCTTTATGAACTTCGTATAATAACATACCTCACGTTTATCAACAAAACATTCATATTATATACATATTTCAACTTCATACTCTCATCAATCATTGTCATTATTTAGTTAATTTAACATACACTTATAGGTATGTGCCACTTCGTTTTTTGTCCATAACATTCAAGTTAATAAGGATAATAATAATTCTTTTATATCTTGGAAAAATAATAATGGTATTCCTGCAGTTATAAAATCTGCTAAGCTAATATTAAAAATCTTATGGCACATATTTTTTATCCCATTTTGACTATCCATTTTGTTACGAATTAAATTTTGATTCTAAATATTCTTTCAAATCAAAAACGTTACTTTTAATTTGTTAAACGATTACTCAGTTGAAAGTCATCATTACTATTTATTTATAGAGATCTTTATTAAAAGTAAAGTAAGTATTTGTAGTATTCTCCGTGAGATGGGAAGCCCCGGGGAATTGCGAGGAACTCAGGAGTGGTTAAACAGGTCCTATGTTTATTGAACTTGCTTTATGGCCGTGGTAAACAAAATGGCATTCTTGTTTCCTTAAATAAATAAACAGAAGTGTTTGGTTCGAATTTATGTGCAAAATATTCTAATGAGTAATTTCTTTTATATAAGTCGGTAACACTGTCAGTTTAAAGAAATTCATATAAAAGTAATTAAATAAGTGCAGATTCGAAATTCGCGTGATATTCTGTCTTCTTCTTCTACCTGGCAATTTCCCAGCTTTATAGCCAGGGTCTGCCTTACATGTTGTGAATAGTTTTGGCTAATTGTTTTTACGACCGGCCGCCTGCCTGACATCAACCTTCTTTTGGGAATGCATTAATCAATGATGTCTAATTACTCTTAGAAAGTAAATGTGACTCGGAAAAACGACATTGGTACTTGCCCGGGCCAGGATCGAACCTGCGCCCTCGAGCATGAGAGGCGGGCCTTTTAACCACTAGGCCACCACTGACTTAATCGCGGTATATTCTGTATACAAAGGATTTTAAATGAAAAAACTTGACTTATGTGATTATTTTAAAATTGGGATGAACAAAAATTTAAATACAGGCTTGATTAGTGTTAGACAGAAAGCATCTCTTAGTAATATAAACTCATTATTAATAAATGTATATCCAAATGAAACACTTTAGAAGAGAAAAAAACTATGTGGGTTATGTACATACGTATAAATCTACATAATATCCACTTTATTATTTTAGTATAAAATTACTAATTCCATGTAAATCAATGACATGTTTAACCCAATGCCCTCAAAATGTATTGAAAAAAAAAATTGTTGACTTTCCAAAACTTTAAGGAGGCTAATTTGAAAGCTGCTTTTTATTTAAAAGTATATTCTGTGTTCAATATACAGAAGACTTGATTAGCTAAAAATAAAGCTAAAAATATTAATACCATAGCGATGTTTTGTATAAATTACGTCTAATGAAGTGTCTTTATCAGGTTTCATTCTGTTGTTTATTTTCCTCATACAGATACTTGTATATACACTACTACAAAGTCACTACATTTTATAATAAAAAAGTAAGTTTTGAAAAGAATATTTACTTATATACAAGGGTTTTTAATTGTAATTATGCTTTTTATATTCATAAACTAATTATGTGTCTATGTCTCCTCTTTCTTTAAAATTTCAAACTCCTGTTTTAAAATACCATAGAGTAATTTGTTCTTCCAGTACTCTATATCTTTAAAAGGTAGATTACTTATAACTTTTTCAGTAATTAAAAATATTAATGTCCACACTATAGAATTATAATGTCATCAATGAATATAAATATGGAAAGTATTGTAAGAAACATGTTTTTGAACCTGTTGCAAATTCCATATAGTGGTTTCAATTTGTAATTCAAATCGTCCAATCAAAATAAATTGTCATAAAAATCTAGACTACTGTAACGGGAGTATTTAAATTTTAAAGAAGTAAAATCTCCATATAAATTATTATGGATTAAAAGGTTCTGAATTTCTGTATGAAAAATTTGCATTCATTAATTATAGATTTTAATCAGCAGCAAATGAATTCATTTATCAATTTTGAACCGACATCATTTAGTATGCAAATTTTCAACTTTTTTTTTTAGTTAACACGTACCTACAACAGATACATTCAATGTAGGTTAAGATGTTATAAAACATTTTGTTATTAAAACAAGTTGTATATTTTATTCATTTTCGTTTATAGAAAGAAAGGAAACAAAATTTATATATCAAAAGGAATTTTGCTTTATTTCCTATCTGGACAGACCTTGTTTTGTTATAGGTCACAATTTTTAACCTTTTTAATTTTTCTACACAGATAAAAAAAACAATAACGAATTAAAAAATATTCATGTTTAACTTATTAGTTGAGTATAGTACGAATATTTTAAATTCAAAGAGACATATGTAGTAGATATTAATTAATTTTATTGTTAATTCACAACTTGTGGTTTTATATTTTTGTTTTCGGTTTTATTACTCACATAGATACATCACTAGTCACCACGATGTTTTCCTGTTTGTTTAGTTGGGAAAAGTATACGCAGTAGGGGAAATCCATACGATACTATATGTAGATTTTTAAATGCAATATTTATAATATCCGTAATAAACACTTTTAAAGCAAAAGTTAAGAGCTGGCATTGTATATGAGGAACTGTAAACCAGGGCCACGGAACTTTCGTTGTAAAGGTTAAAACTAAATTATGTCAAATTTTATATATAGAGGATTTTTTACAATTTCTTTTAAATTTACTTAAGCTTAGACTATCCAAAACTCCTGAATTTTCATTTCAATTGTGTTTATAGTACGTTTCTAATATATGTGACGTTTTCTTACGCAGTTGAAACTTTTAGAAAGTAAATAAATAATACGAATTTTCATCGACAATATGTATTTTAAAATTCATTTTATATTTTTATGTCATGAAAAGCTTAGGCTATAATTATAGGGCTTTAGAGATGTACATATTTTTTTTCTCTCAAAATTACGAAACTTCAAAATTCATTTACCGCTAGAATGTGTTTTGCGACTATTGATACACTGATTATTTCATTAACTCCGTATTTAAATATCATGGTCTAAGCGAAATTTAATCAAAATAATATTACATTGAATTCAAGTGTGCAATAGACGAATTTAATATTCCTAAACATCTAAATATTGAGCTCCTGCGACACAAAAAATGTTTATTCTCGTCACGTCGGTTTAAGAACACGTTTCGGACACGCCCTCATCGTGTTTTACTTAATTTCCTTAAAAAAAAGTCACGTGTTACCTATTATCTACTTATATCCTAGCCATATTTTGAGATTTTGTATTTTAGCCATTACTGCAAACAAGTATTGCAAAAAAAATAGTCTGTAAATATTTTTTCGGTTTTGTTGTCCTTATATGTAAATAATTTCTTATATGTATGGCTCATTTAAATGAATAAACGTAACAAAACAAAGCGTTATGTTTACATTGCGATGTATTTATTAAGTATTGTGTTCATCTAGTTTGTTTTTTTTTTACAGACGTATGCGGGTAGCCTCCAACCTATCGGATCAGAGCTATACCTTCTGCGTGACTTCAATAGGGGAAAGGCTTTGGAATACAGGGTTACTTTCCCAGTTGTGTCTCCTTTACCCCGACTGACTTCTATATCAGTCAACGATAAATTAGTCTGTTATGGACCTGGGGGTAAGCCACAGCTTTTTCTTAGACTTATAAAATGTTATGCCGAAGTTCTTCACCGATAACTCATGAAGGAAATACTTTTCAGACTCTATCGGCGAAGTTCAATACATCACTACGATAAGCTTGCAGCACATGCTTTTCTACAAGACCGGCACTGATGGGATTTATGGACAAGATCATAAATTAGCTGAACAGTTGCCTGCAACACTGCCTCATACTAATGGTGGGGACGGTATATTATTTTATTATTATAACAACTTTAATGGCGATCCTTGGAATCATTGTGAGTTTAAAGTCAATTACATCTCTTAGTAGCTGAAGCTTGGAAACTCTCAAACAAAATTGGCCTATCTCTAAACTTTGGAGATGTGGGGGTTCTTTGGGATGATTGGTCCTTATTTTCCGCAAAAAAAAAACCATTACGTTTGCCATTAAAATATCATTTTGTTCAAAATCAGTTTAATTTCAGATGTGAATCCATTTACGATTGACAATTCAAAGCCGGTTTATGTACCTCCAAAACCGCAAACACCACCCCCAGTGCCCGAATATGTTGTCCCAGTGAGTACTACGACACGCCGACCACCACGTCCTGAGTGAGTATCCTGCACATACATTATAACTAACAGTCTAAACCTTCCAAAAATATCTAATATTCAGTGTATATAAATCATAACATATTTCATTACTGCTGTAAGGAAACAAATGCATTAGTGTAGTAAAACCTATTATACTTCTACTGTGATGTCTTTTGTCTTTTCGCAGACCCGATCCTCTGTCAATTAAACCGGAACCACAGAGTACAAAATGTGGTATCAACAGCAAGAACGATAACCCAGACGCTATACCTGCTGCTCCACTTATATACAATGGAGTTACCTATGACCCTGGTGAATGGCCCTGGCTGGTTGCGATGTACCAGCGAAGGTTTGGCAACTTGAACTACATCTGTGCTGGTACATTGGTTACAGCGAATCATATTGTTAGTGGTGAGTGTATAAATTGCTACCATATACGTATTAATTACGCTGACACATGTCTTTAGTGTTTATTTTAAATTAACATCTCAGTTACACCAAGAATTTATAATAATTGCTAGCATTAAGAACATAACATAGTTGTATGTATCTGTGTTATATTTTATGTAAGGCAAGATAAAACTTAATCAACCACATAAAGTAATGATTTTACATCTTTTATCAATTGGGTTGAAAAAAATTCGTAGTGTCAACTGTCGTTAGAGTCTTAGGCTGTTGAAATCATAATAAAAGAAGATTAACAAAATAAATTATTGAAAATAGTTCAATCAAGTTCTTTTACCATAATAAAATCGAAGATTTTCGAGTATTCATTTAAATAAAACTAATATGTTCTGATTACTAGACGTTATTTCATTATCCATTTTGATTTTTTGAAATTTTTCATAAAATTTTTCATTTTGTCTGCCCGTAATCACATTTGCTGTAAAGTAATCAAAACATCGGGAATATGTAGTTTAAAACATGTAGTAATCCGAAAGTATTACTTTTATTCTTTTGCCATAAACAATAAAAATAACTTTCTTTTAACAGCCGCTCACTGCATTCATCGCAAAAGTACATACACTCGCAAGAAGAATATAGTTATAAGAGCTGGAATATACGGCTTGGAAGATTGGAACGATGACATAGTTACAAGATCACTTAAGGAGGTTTACATCCATGAAGACTACAACTCCACGACGCTTGAGAGTAAGTTTAAAAGTGCTGCTTAATAAAGTTATAAATAAGAAAAATAAGATCTTTTTCTAAAAATATAAGGGACAAATATTATATGTACCTATGTATATTTTTTCAGAACAAGTTATTGAATCTGAATTAAACCGTCTTATTAGAAGAATCACTTAAATCACGTCATTTAACTTTCAATAATTTTGTATAGCATTTTATAACAAATTTCTTTTTGTTCTGTGCATAATACGAACTGAATTCATATTAATTGATGTGTAACTAAATTAAACAGTATACATATAATTCATAATGAAGTTCTATGTTAAGGGATATATAAATACCCGTAATCGCGGTAATCCTTATCGTAACAGGCCCAGTGCTATAAACTAAATAGGGTTGTCCAAGCGAACAATAATAATAATTAATTAATCAATGCTACATTGAGAAAATTATATTCAAATATATATTTTTAGGGACTGAATTAAAAATAATTAATTAAAACTTTCAGATGACATCCTTATTATGACTCTTGAGAGTCCGGTGCCTTTTAACAAAATGATACAGCCAGCCTGTCTATGGAGCGGGCCGATTGTTTTGAACGAAATTGTCGGAAAATCTGGAATCGTAAGTAATAATATTACAAATAATTTGTATCACGAAATCGTTTAAAGCAAAATATTCTATTATAAGTACATTTTTTCTTGATACGATGGATTTTGTTATTTGCTTAATCAGGTGGCTGGTTGGGGAGCAAACGAACAGGGTTCAGGTGGCAAAGGCATTCCCAGAATGGTGACCATGCCTGTTGTCAGTACAGAGGACTGTAAAGCTAGCAAGCCAGATTTTCACAGGCTGACGTCTTCCAGGACTTTGTGTGCAGGTAGAAATTTTTGATTTAAAATTATCGATATAACTACTGCTTATCCTATCCTAAAGGGTTATTAAAACATGGTCATCCTACATGACATTACTTTCATGAAGATTCTATTGATCTCCAGGTGACAGAACTGGAGCTGGCCCATGTCTTGGCGACTCCGGTGGCGGTCTATATTTGCTTCATCGCGGTCGCTGGCGTCTTCGCGGTATTGTTTCCCTCTCACTTCTATCAGATGACGAGAGTCAATGTGATCTCAAACAGTACATTGTGTTCACCGACGCAGCACAGTACATGCCTTGGATCACAGATGTGTTGTCCATCACTTGAATTAGATATCAATAAATATTTTATACTTTTATGTTTTATTTTGATTATCTACCCTTGTACATTCGTAACTATTTAAATGATAAATTTGATTACTAGGTTTTTTTCTTACAACTTTTGTATTTATAATGTTTTTGGAAGAAACAGGCAATGTTTCTCATAAGTGATTTTGCATTGGTACAGCTATTATCTTGTTAAAAAACACAAAACACCATGTTACACATCAGTTGAGAAAAATGTTTTATGATTTTAAATCATCGTATTCCTCCCTTTAAAAGCATCATTACTTTCACAACTTAAGACTGAATAATGAATACATATATACATTGTTGTGGATATATGAAAGAGGTAAACTGAACTTCATTTAAATATGAATTAACCGAAAATATAATACGAGTTTTATTAAACGAAGCAGTTTATTTTACAATATCGTAAGCATTTCATTGAATAAAAAGAATGTTTTTCTAATAACATTTTTTATGCAGAGTAACAACTCCAACCAAAATATCAAAGATATTTTAAAAGTTATACTTTGGCTACATTCACATTACTGCCAAAATGACAAATGTCAATTCAAAGTGAAAATACACCTGTTTATTGTTTAAAGTATATTTTCCCGCGCAAGCATTTAAATGTTTAGATTACAAGAAAATACATACATGTTCGACATATTTACAAATAATACTTTATAAATATAATTATATTATGGCTTGGAATAAAATAAATTGTTGTCAACGAGAATTGCAATTACTTGGTACACTTAACGGAGGACAAAGTTTTAGGTATTGTATGTTTAAAGGTAATCTTTTTCCTATCTGACTGTTTTATTTACGTTAAATAATTTTAGATGGGATTATAATAAAGACACAAATGAATGGAAAGGCGTTTTTTCAAGAACCTTATGGAAGTTACGGCAACAAGACGATTTTTTGGAATATCAAGTTTTAGGATCTCTACTCAATAAGTCAAAGGAAAATAAGTCTAATAAAGTAGATTTTGCGGATATGCTTGCAAAGTATTTTAGGTTAGATTTCAACTTAAAAGACCACTATAAAGTTTGGTCAGAGAAAGATGAACTTTTTAAATCTGTCTGTACAAAGTTCTATGGAATAAGAATGCTAAATCAAGAGCCTGTAGAAAATCTTTTTTCCTTTATCTGCAGCCAAAACAATCATATTTCCAGGTAATTATTTTCATTTTACTCAAATTACAAAACTTATTCTTTCAAAATTGTATAAATTTCTTATTATAAAGGATATCCAGTCTGGTCGAAAAACTCTGCATCAATTATGGTGAAGAAATTTGTCAGTTTGAAGGAGTGACATATTATGCTTTTCCTGATGTGGAAAATCTTATGGACATAAAAGTAATATTGTTTCTATTATATATTATATTAGTATTTTAAGTGTATACTAGGTATAATATCATATAATAAAGTAATTATCTTTGGTCTCTAGGTGGAATCAAAATTAAGAGAACTAGGTTTTGGTTATAGAGCCAAATTTATTCAAAAATCAGCAGCTCAGATTGTAGAGTGGGGAGGAGAGGAATGGTTTAAAAGATTAAAGGATATGAAATACAAGGATGCTCGACAGGAACTTATAAAATTGTGTGGAATCGGTCCTAAAGTATGTCAAGCTTTGAAACAAACTAATTACTTCATGTACAACATTTTTAATTTGTATTAAAAAAGACATCTAAGAATCAGTTGTAATCATACAAAAAAAAATTAAATGCTATTACCACATTTTAATGTATGAAATTACTCACTCAATAACACAAAAGTAGAATAAATTTGTTGATCTAAAATTAACAAATCAGAGCTATAGTAAGCTTAACAAGTCTTACCATTGTTGACATTTCACTCCCTAAACATATATTTTTTGTACTAAAACCATTGTAATGTCAAATATTTCAGGTCGCTGATTGTATATGCCTGATGTCATTGAATCATCTAGAGGCACTACCTGTTGACACTCATGTGTATCAAATAGCTGCTACAAACTATCTACCACACTTGAAAGGCAAAAAAAGTGTCACAGAAAAAATGTATTCTGAAATAGGTGACCACTTTAGATGTTTGTATGGAGACAAGGCAGGCTGGGCACATACTGTAAGTGTTAATTCATTACTTTAGTATACAAATTATGCTTTCTAAGTCTTTCAAATTGAATATAATTTTATATATATTGCTCTGTATACTAAAACACATAATTAACTTACAAAAAACATTACTGAAGATATTAATATTAAATTTAAATTAAGAAATTTAACAAAAATTCCTTTTTCAGGTACTCTTTTGTGCTGATTTGAAAAAATTTCAACAAGATGACTCAAACGAGGAAGTTGTTAAAAGTAAAAGAAGAAAGAAAAAATAAAGGCTTTGGTTTAAATACGTGTTTATTTTATATTTCATAGGCTTACAATGTAACAGATATAAAAATACAAAAAAAAATAATCATAAAGATAATTTTGGTCACTACAACACAACCATGGAATGATTTATACAGTTCAATCCAATATCACATTAGAAAACAGATTATTTATTTCCCTTAACATATAATAAAAATACAAAACAAATATAGTATAGCAAATATTATGCTAAGTATTTAAATATAAGTAACATTTTACTGAGATGAAGTAACAAACACTAACAGTATAAGCAGTTACTATTAAAAATAAATAATATAAGTCAGATACTTCTCATACATTGCACGTGGTTTTACTTGCTGCCATAGTAAATCTGTGGACAGAATTCTATGAGAGCTTGTAAGGCTCTTATTTCAAACGCCAAATCTGTGATAGCTGGTGGTGTGGCAACTAATGTTGGAGCGAAAACAGTACTCAGGTTATGAGCTGACATTTTGTTCACATCTGCATGCTGGGAAACTCTGGAAAAATTCAAACACAATAATAGAATTTTCTAGAACAATTAAACATGTTCAGTTTTTAGTAATTGACTTTATGATGTATGAACCAGCCTACAGGAATTTGGTCATAAATTATTTTACTTGACAAATATTGTTTTAGCTCATTAAAATATGTGGGCTAATATATGGGCCACAGGGACTATTTTTCGGATGGTAAAGAATTATAAGAATGTGTTCAAATATAAACAATTAAATTGAAAAACTACATTTTTCTATCATACAACTAACAAAAGCATCAAATTTGTTATTTAAATATCCTTCAATTGACAAAAAATTAAACCAAATTGTAATCTAACGCGCAAGAGCAGTTTTGTTCATTAAACAATATATTATGTGGTTTTAAATGTGCTTTAGTACAAACCTATTTAAATGTTGAACCATGTATTGTAGGCAGTTGAAATGTGCTGGAGGTAATAAATCAAGACACTCTCGCAGCATTGTCACTTGCAAGGCTGTAGTTTTCGTTTCTGAAACATATTTATTAAGATGTGACTTTGAGGTCATTCATTAAATTAACAAAATCATCAAATATAATAAAGTGTAGTATAATTTATACTGCATAATAATATAATAAGCAATATTTATAGCTTATTGCAACTCCTAATGATGTATATATAAAAATAAACTCACGAATGGCACTAATGAGTTTCGGATGCACATCATAGGTAATAAGGGGCACTGGTAACAGTCGAAGGTAAAGCTTTAGAGTCCCCGCTATCACATTTATGTTGCTAAAAACGCTCAAATCAGTTGATTCACCATCTGTATAAGAATTAAACATCCATTATCATTTCTACTATACAATATGTGCTTTCCAAAGTTGATAAACATACAAAAATAGTACACAGTAAGTCAAACCTTTATCAAATGCCATTTTCAGAGCCTCAATCTCATCAGCGAATCCTGATACTCTATAAATACCCTCGGAATCCATTCCCCTGGCTTCAATTTCATTGACACACTTCCGTACTACAAATGGCAGTGTACTGGAATGAGCATTCAGTAATGTTGTCAGATCTATACCGAATACTCCTCTGAGCTTCTTAAGATCCGGTAAACAGTGATTGGGTACTCTCTCAGAACATTTCGAATGAGCTATGAACCCACAGTCTGAAAATAACAAAATAAATAAAATACCTCTCTTAAGTCTTATAACAAAATCTGTAGCTGTATTAAAATTTAAAATACTCTGAAATCAATTTAAAGATGTATAAGAGGTGATGTTTTACCTTCACATTTAACTCCTTGCGCTGTAAAACCCCAAAGAAAATTAGCACACAGTTCACACCAATTTAATCCTTTAAATGTATGCAACTTAAAACTGTGTGCTTTCAGATATTTAAATAGTAATGGACTATCTTCTACCGTTGGTGTCAGATCTAATGTTTTCTTGACATCATTGTCAACTTCGACGATTTTGTTCTCATTTTTATGGAATATTGGACTAGATTTATTGGATGCCCTAGAATACAATATATTATTTATTTATTGGGTAATACAAACAAAATTTAATAATAAGGAATTAATTATGACAACAATTTGAGTTCTTTAAACTTTACCAGGTAAATATTACATTGTTGTTTAAGATACTAAATATGGATCTCAAACTTTTTAATAGTTTTTTTGGGTTCTTATTTATTTTCAATTTTGCAATTTTACTGTACATGTATATAACATTAGGAATTCTCTATAAATCATAAGGTATACTCACTGTTGCATTTTAGACAATGTATTCAGTTTTCTTCTATTAAGTGTAACATAGGGACTCTCTGTGTAATTTGTTCGACAGTTAATCATTTCTAGTATATGATGTGCTTTCAACTCCATGTGACAGAATATGAGACCGTCGGCAACTAGATCATATATACAATCATATCTCTTGTCCTTAATATAATGAGTCCCGTCATAATATAGTTTATAGTGATGTATTCTATCGTTGAACCTTAAAATACAGATTAAAGTGAAATATGAACTCAGAACAAACTACAGGCTACATGGTTATGAGTGATCCCATGGGATATGACTCAGAATGCAACAATTACATAGATTTTCAGGAAGATAATTAATTTAATAATCAGAATTAAATTCAAGTTAAAATTTTATATATGAGGTGATATAAATTCATTAGGCGATGATAGCAATTTATATATTTTATATTAAATCATAGAATGTTCTATAGAATTAAGAAATGAACTGAGTCGTGGAATATCTAGCTTATGAAATATAGGAACGCTTTCATAAATGTTTATTTTTAGTTTTCCATAAAAAAATGTACCTCCAAGAAAGTGTATAAAAATCATTAAGTTCATTGCCTTTCCTAATAAGAAAAGCTCCATTAGGCTCGTCTTCTAACAATAACGTAGCCTCTTTATGTCCCATGACACCGTGGTATTCTTTCCCATAAAATTCAGGTCTATTTGGACAATTTTCACAAATTATGCGCTTCGGCGTTGGAGCCTCCATCTGAATTCTGTAAACTAAAATCGAAAAATATCAAATAAAGTTCACAAAGCAGTGAATAGGCGCTCTAGTTCCTATTTAGCTCACGTTCTGGTTTCCAAATATTTTTTAGATTTTCCATGGTTGACTTTCTAAGGGATTTTATTTAAAAACGAATGCACACAAAACACAGAAAACAGATAAAATATAAACAAGTAAATCTTAACGTAAACAAATCACAAAACAATAATCAAAGTCAAGATTTCCTTTTCAGTTGTTAATAACACAGTACACAGATACAATAACAAGTGTTTACAGCTAAAAACATTACAGTGAGATAGCTAATATAAATTACAATTGTAGTGAAATTATTGTTGCTTTTGCGAATATTCCACGATTTCATAAAGATCTTTACAAACTATTTGTAGTGTATTGTGGTTATATTACATTTATTCCATATTCGTAACTTGAGCATCACCATTTGAAAGGCTTGTAATAATATAAAAACTACAAATTAAATAATTTTGGTAAATAATGCGGAATACATTGATATATTTTATGTTGGTTAATGGTTTATAGAACTCTTTGATAACATGCATCATTGTACGTATTAAATGTGGGTGCTTTCCATTTTCATTGACATTGGCTTTGAGAAAATCTTAAAGATAAAATTTTATTATACAGTTTTAATTACCAATCACCAATGAGGAAACGTATTTCCTTTTAAATATATATTTTAATAATTTTTGGTAGGATATTATGTAGATACTTATTATTTCTACAAATTACTTATTAAAGATATTGTTCATTGAAAAAATTAATAATTAAAAATTTTAGCAAAAATTTAAATTCCTGTAATATTTAATAACTTCTACTGTTAATCTTAAAAATTATAAGTTACTTTCTCTAGTAGTATAAAAAAAAAAGTTGGAATATTTTTTTCACACCTATAAAAGTCGTTTTAATTCCAGTTATAAACCGAAGGAATTACTGATCAACTTCTTTGTAATATCCATAAAATTAAACTCAATTTCACTTGAAGAAATAATAAAATCGAATTTTATCTAGAATTAAAACTTACGAATTTTTTTTAAAAAGGAAACTCCCCCACGACGAACCATTACAGTCAACATTAAAAACAGCAGGACATGTTTAAAATGTAAGGCCTACGGGATACATATTGTAATAGATAAGATATCATAGTGACAAGCTAATTATATCATCGAGTTATTTACTTTTCCTAACTATGTAGGTATAATAGAAATGTCCTCGAAATAAATCGTTTATAATTCGAGAAAAAACATTTTTCTTGACCTTTATCTTTCAATGTCGTTGATAGGTACATAATTATTGTAATTTGGATTAAAATTAGAAACAATAGCTGGCTAGCTATTTCTCTATAAAGTTATATTATATTATATATATGTCACTTTATTCATTGGCACACATTTTTAATTATAATTGTCTAATTTGATTATTATATTTCTATATATTACAACAATCGTCTTATGAATGGATTCAATCATATTAGATTTTTTCTGTTACCTTCTTCTATCGAGTAATACTCACTAAAATAATTAATTCTTCAGAGGAATAATAGGAAATTTTATATCTGAGTCTGGATTGAGTTTAGCATGACTCCTATAAAATGTATAAATGAGAGCATCGTTACCAGAACTAGCGAGTTCTTTTTACCTATATAATAGACTGTACAGTGTAGAGTATTTGTGATTCATAGGATAATTTAAAGAATTTTACATATAACTCCTTTAAAAACGATAACAAACAAATAAAAAAATATAACAAACACATATCCAAATTATGTACAAAATTTGGGGATCAAGGGGTTAATTTTACGAGTCCTCGATAACAGATTCGAACCAACGCCATTCGGCAATCTTATCGGAGTATAATAAAAATCTATCAATTTTTAATCTATATTGCATCTTAATCATCAACAATTTATTTGAACATTTATTACTATATTGTTTGTAAAGCGTTATGAAATAAGATGTGGTAAGCCAAAAAAAATATCAAATAATCATACACAGAATTGGGTCAAATTCATTGTTTATCATTCTAATCAAATATTCTATAATTAATAGATAAAAAAACGCTTAAACGTCCGCCTTGTTAAGGGCGCAACCTGAAAGGACATTCAAATTGTATAAAAGTAACGTACAACTTTGTAATGCATTGTACTTATTACTGAAGTTGTTAGGAAACAAGACGTTCGTGTAAATAGCTTCCGTAAAATGTGTTCTAAATTAGCAGTTCTCGTTGTTCTGGCTGTATGCCAATGCGGCTTAGCTTGGATCTTCAACAATATCGATTATAGAATGTTGGAAAAAAGCCTTTTGGAAGAAATGGAAGCATCTGAAGAAGATTATGACTTGACGCCTGAAGAATTAGCTCGATTAAGATTCAGTTTAATATACCCAGGTAGTTTATATGACTTGTATGTCGGTACAAACGTTTATTAAGATCTTAATAATTTCTACAAGTTAGGAGTTGGTGCATTTTTAAATTAAAAACTTACCTTTTTAAAAACTCTTATATGCAAAGAAAATCCATTTGCCGCTTCATCGATCTCTGTTAAATTGAAATCTAATTATGAATTAAGATGGTTTTTTATATAAAATTAAAATTCATTATTATCATTTTTGTCACATGTAGAGTAAGTGTACGGTTATTATTATTTCAATTTGCTTTTTCATTAAATTTTATTAAAAAAAATGTTTAAATAAACAATTATATATGCAGGTATTAAATAGATAATAATGGCATAAAATAAAAATAAAAGGATTTAGCTATGGTTCACAATATTTAGCATCATAGAATGAAAGGAAAACGAACTAAATTACTTGTAATCCTTTTAAATTCGATATAAATAATTCAGGATATATATTTCAGGTACAAAATGGTGTGGTCCCGGTAATATTGCTGATAACTACGATGATCTTGGCACATCCAAAGAGGCTGATTACTGTTGTAGAAATCATGATAACTGCCCCGACAGCATACCCGCTGGGGAAACGAGATTTAATCTCACCAACGACGCATATTACACCAGGTATGGCTGATAATATTAATAAATAAATAACATTTTTGTTATATTTACATAGAAAAATCATAGAGTACCTCGATTTTTTCCTTACCTGATTTATTCCATTGTTGTAAACCCGTCTGATATTTGCAAGGTGTTGTTGATAATTCCGCGATTTGTCACAATGATTTATATAGAGATTCGATTGCTTACTAAATACTCGGACATTTTTTTACCCATTTTTTTCATAATCTTAGAATTGTAGTAAAGTTTAATGACATTTAATAAGAAGGAAAAATGTAAAAAAATAGTAAGATAAATTCAAAATATTCATGCAGCAGAGCGAAAGTATTTAATTTGAAGAATTTTAAAATGCTCCACAATTTTGTAATTGTATAAACAAAATATTTATGATGGAACTAATTCTTATGATAAAATTGTCTTAATAGTTAATCAAACTAGGTAAAATAGTAAATTTTTACGAGTTCAATTTTATTAAGGATATTTTACTTTAATATGTTCAGACTTCCTTTATTAAGATTCCTGAAACAATATTATTTGTTTTTATCGCATTTCCTTGGCCTTACTATTTGAATTAGAACTATTTAATTGGTATTTACTTTACAATTAACTATTTTATTATTTTCGTAGCCTCAGGAATGCGATAACCAACTTCCTTTTGAAATAAAAGTTGACAATTATTTATGGTCACATCGCCTCTTACCTTGTCTCGCCCTTGCGTTACACGGTGAATTATGTTCAAACATCTAGTAATTAATGCGGGTTTACTAATTTTACAACCATTAAATAAAATACAATGTAGACAGTTTAATAAAAATAATTACTATCGTATCAAAAATACTCAACCATTTTTTAAGTTTCAAACCATGATTCGTTTTTTTCATCTCCGTACATTCCTCTCCACTTATTACTCCAATATAATCTAGGACAATTTATTTCATCATGTTTCAGACTAAGTTGCGAATGCGACGAATCCTTCCGTCAATGTCTGCGAAATACAACCACGAGATCAGCTAAAGCCATCGGGCTCATGTATTTCAATGTCATTGGAACACAATGTTTCCGTGATGATTATCCAGTCACAGGATGTAAGAGGAAGGGAGGGTGAGTTTACTGTCATATTAGCCTTAAAGATCGATCTTAAGTATACCATTTTTCAACATCTTCAATACAAGATATGTATTTTTTGCTTGCGAATTATATCATGTAAAAGAAAAATCATCTTTTGAAAGGGACAAAAAATCGATCAGTTTCAATGATTTTGAACAAATTCAAGGGCTACAGTTCTAAGTTCTTTTAGTTTATCTCTACTTCATTGAAGTTTTTAAAGTTAATTTTCCACTCCTTTCACTCTTTAAATTTAAAAGATATAGATTATCTTATAAAATTAAGTAGCTTTGCAAGAAAATGAAGAATTTCGGCTTCAGTTATATTGAGAACCAAGCCTTGCGAATAGTTCTGTATTCTCATTCTAGGTGTTTATTTTCACTAACATAAGAAACGTCTCCTGTTTCACATTAAATATCCTACGTTAATATATATATGAAGATTTAAGACTGAGAAACTGTTAAAGCTCAGTATATATCGTGACAATGTCAACTCAGAATAAGAATAGTGTTATAGTCACGAGCGTTACAAATTATAATCACGATAAAATCACTTATAAGTTAACTCAGTACATAAATATGATGATCATTCTCAAAACAATTATTGATATATTAATTGGCTATATAATGAAATAATAAAAATTTTAACGATTCGTAATCATAATAAAGAATATTGAAATAATTATATCTAAGATTATCGAGATACATTCTGCCAGTGATCATAGATGCTGTGTAAAATGACAAGTCAAATATTAATTGCTTGTCGTATATCTCAAAATAATAGTTTCATTGAAATATTGGTATATTTGAACACAATTAATGATTATATTTTAGTTGACTTGAAGTCGCTAATAGAAATAGTTGTAGTAGTTGTTTATCTTTCTCTTAGAGACGTTATTTTAATATGTATTATTAAATTGATAACTTACACAGCATGACTTTGTTATTAACTTTATTAAAATGGGTGAAATTTTATAGTAAATGACTAAAGATTATATACATTTTTTTAGATGGCTGGGCACGAAATGCATTGAATATTCATATAACAAGACAGAAGAGATGATCTACCAGTGGTTTGACGTGCCCAACTACTAAAAGAAAACTTTAGTGAAATACAACGAGGCATAACCAGGAATATACAACGCATTGTCTGTAATATGAAGAAATGAAATATTCTCTGTGATCTAGATTTTAATTAATTATTAATAATTTATTTATTATATGTACTTTGATTGTATTAAGTTATTATATTATTATACTAATCATTAATGATATCATGTGAATAAAAACTTGAAATAAAGAAGCGTCGTTTGTATCCTTTATTTAGTCGCAGAATATTTGGTACATTTCAAGAGGTTTAATACAATATACAACTCGTCGTATTAAATAATGATTGCACGATTAATATTCAATAATTATTTATATTTGTATAAATAACCATACACGTAGGTACATGTGTTAAGAGATATGGATACAGATCAACAATTTTATAAACAAGTGAACAACTTTGAACGCTGTTAGATTATACTAGAAGTATGATTAATAGAAAAAACCTCAAATCAGGTCATACATTTATAGGTAGATATGTAGCCTGTCGAGCTATATGGGTATACCATAAAGAACACGATTATGTACAACCAAAAAAACATATATATTCATACAATGCAGGCACATAAAGATAATTAACCTATCCATCAATACTATATTGCAAAGTTATGTGTAATAATTGTAACATTGAAGACACGACATTAATTTATTACAAAAACATCAATTAATTTATTTAGTTCGTTTATATGTTTCGTTATTAAAGTGCACTTGAGATCTTCACGTAACCCGCATTGTAGAACTGCCTTAAGATCAATGTGGACTAAACAGCACGGCTAAACATGTTATAAATATAAATGGTAAGTTACTAACAATTTCAAGCTAATTTTCATTTACATATATACGTGAAAAGATTAAAATATTCGAATGTCGTTGGATAGATAAGCGATTATAAGGACTTAATAGAGAATCCCTTGTACGAAGTGAGCATCGAAATAGACTACATTTGAAGCAAACTTATCGAACAATATTTACAACAACGAGATACAGGTATATAGTTTGAACATGACGCACTTGAAAGTGAATAAATATCAACCGCTCCTTGCATAACCATTGCAAGGAATTAACATTAAATCGTTAATACATTGATTTATATTGTCATATATCTCACAGTTAATTTGTTTCGTAATGTGATTGAATCGAAGTTATTATAGTACGATGATTGGGCAATGGATAGTGAAGGAGCGGTGAGAAGATATATTCCGTCAACAGATTATCTATTGGTCTTTGAATTTTTTTTCATTAATTTTGTTTATAATTTCAATGTTTGTTAAGATATATTACTGTTGACGGAGAAAATCTTAAGCAATATATTGCTAAGCCTATCAGATATCTTGCATCTGGAAATTTGAAACATTCATTAAATATTTTAATATTAGTTAATATAATATAAGAAATGTTAAAGTAATTACACAGGTGCAAGCAGTCTTATAGTGGCTCCATACATTAATTTTGCGTTTGGTTACACGTTTCTTTTTTTTTTTTTTGCTTGAATGGTTTTCAATTGTTTAACTAAATAAATTTAAATCCAAAAATATTTTAACAATTTCAATATAAAATTATTTTAATAGCCAATACCGAAAAGTAGATAACTTAGTGTTTTTTTTGTGTGTGTGTGTTTGTTTCCCTAAATTGCAAGCGTCTTTGTATCGTAGTGATTACATGAAAGACTGTGTTTAAGTTATTGGATATTACTTGTTCAATATTATATGATTGTGTGTTAAAATATCTTTGCTGGTGTATATTTAAATTTATATTTAGTATTATTCCATTTTCTGAGAGGTTATTTCAATATTGATCTCGACATTCTAAGTGACAATGTGACGCAATTAATTATATTTAATGAGATAGATGGTACCACGTCTACTATCACAGAATATTTACTTTATAGTGAAGGGAATTTCGTATGAATTTACAGAAAAAACCTTACCTTTAAAATGACTTGCTTTTGTAGTGTGATGAATCTTTTATATATAATATGAACATAGACTGATTATAAGTATTGTTACAAATTAAATATCGTGAACATCGATTATAACATTTGTTTCTTAAAATATTATATGTAAAATTTGTTACTCATCCAACATTATTATAAACATTTGAAACAAATAATCAGATCACACATTCTATTTTTTATTGCCAAGATTATCCAGGTGAATAAGGGCTGCCAGGACGGTTGCTACCCAAATATTACCTACCACATGTGGGCCAAACGATTTCTGCTTTATGCACTTTATTCTCACATCCAATTAAAAACAAATATATATTAATTTTAAAGGAACGAATGTCTAGCGGATATAACTGGTACTTTATAAAAAGTTATGCTTGCAGTCCAATAACAACGTTTCAGAAGTAATAGTCAGACAACTTAGCATACAATAAAACGTTTCGTACTTATATACGAAAGAAAATAGATTTGAAGAGTATTGCTGAGGAACCGCAAGTTCGTATTTTGCTTATGAGGTATTATATGTTAGGTACTGTTTGATTTTGATCATGGAATGTTCTGGATTCAGCGGCTCCTCGACAACATAATCAATATTCTTATAAACTAATCTAACATACGGACACAGGTCAGAAAGATAGAAAACATTACACATAACTATAACTTCAGGTGTATAATCATCAACCGTGCGTACTATCGAGACCTCTAAATATTTGAATATCCACTAAACTGTGCGTTTATTGAATGTTAATGTTTAATTATTTACATATCTTACGTTAAATCGAATAAGGGTAAATCGAATCGCCTAAATAAAAAACCAAAAATCATTATAAAACTCGGCCAAGTCGTAAAGCCCGTAACAGCAGCAGAACTCTTCGCCTCGACGGCGTTACAAATATTGGGCAATATGATCCAAACATTGGGGCTCCAGAAGCCACGACGCAGACATTATTTCCCACCGAGTCCGAACTTCATGAAGATGAGCTCCTTCCCTTTGCTGAGAATGTCACCACCGGGGGCAGTCATCTCGGAGAACTTCTGCATGAGGTTGGGCTGACTGGTAGGAGGCGGGGCTTGTGTCGTTGGCTGAGCGGTGGGTGCTGGCACGACAGCTGGCCCGCCTCGACGGGCTGGCGACGTGCTGACGGCTGTCGTTGTGCCGATGGGCGGCATGCCGGTAATGGCTGCCGATCCTGGAGACTGCACGGTCGGCGTGCTCACATTACCAGCGCTCGTGCGCGCGATCGTGCTCACCTGAGGAGCGCTCACCGCGCCTCTCCCCCTCCCCTGCACGCACCGAAACTTCTTAAGTACTGATTTCATTAGACCTACATCTTTGATGTTGCTGATCTAGATGAGACTAGCATCGTACACTGACTTCGATGCAATTTTATGAACTATAGCGAATTTGAATTTTTCGCTACTGAACTACCGAATAATGCAGATGGATAAGTCTCTTAAACTCATACAATCAATAAAATCATGGGAAATCAGTTTCTATCATTCTAGGGAAGAGATCTTGTGTTTTAATTATTAGTTTAATTTTATAAGTGTTTAATACAAACAGTAATATAGTAAGTTCATGCATAAGGTAAGATATATAAAACAAAATACATTTATACTATATTCATCATGCATTGCCATACACCAAAGCATTATAGTTTCAAGAACGTTTGTGCGGTTCACTCTTTCATTAGGGTAAAGTCTTTGCAAATCTATGGCAAAGGACTACGTGAAACAAATGCAAGTTAGGAATCATGCTTTAATCAATTTATAGAGAATAATTTTGTTAAAACTAAACGATTACTCGTTTATTTCTATTATATGATCGGATAATTATTATTATTTTTGTCGTAATCGTCTAGTATCGGACCACATTCACAAGCTTCAGAGACTGTCAACGTAAAGGTGAATGGGTAATGGTATATCTGATGTACGTGAAGTAAACGCCAGTGTTGTCATGTACTAGTTCTGTATGATATGGTCCAGTATGATATGATATCTAATGTGTATAAAACCTCGATGATTCGTCCGTATATGTATACTATGGACCAACGATATTATTATTTCGGACGATACGCCACTTTGCTATACACGGGGCGTAGATGAAACGCAATGAAATAATAGAGAAGAAAATAACAGAAAAAGAGAAGAAAAAAAAACAAAACAGTGAAAATTAAATCTAAAAGTATGACGTGGTAGACGAACTAAAGAAAATGACTAGCATTGTTGCATAATCTGAAAGTATTTTTGTGGGGTCAAACTGTATATAACGGTAATTTTTTACCTGAGAATTCGCCTGTTCTGGAATACTGGCGCATGTGTTGTGGTCTAACTGAGAAGGGGGAAGAGGGCAGGCATCTAGCAAACAGACAATACACACAACATATATAGTGACCACAGACAACCACTTGAATCTTGGATCACACCTCACGCACATCGTGGGCTCTGTGCAATGCTATGTTGCGTGTATTTGACCAGCCTACCTCGCGTGAGCTAACGTGACTAGTACGAGAAAACAACAGGGAAGTTTCGATAAAATAAAAACAAAACAGACAGTCAGAAAAATGCAGACAGAAAATAAAATAAATTTGCCCTCAAAGTAACGTAAAGTAAACTTGTAGTTCACTTTTGGTTTTCGTGTTTGATTGTATCTTCAAGTTTCGCGTGTGGACATCGATGTCTGTGACTGTGTAATCCAAGATAGTGTTTATCAGCAATGTGTACACCAAGAGTCTTTGTGCTCCGTGGATTGCAACCGGACTCGCTATACAAATATTTTCTATTTAAAAAAATTACAAATTAATGTGAGCTGTCGAGACTGCGGTAGTTTAATTATAATCTATTTAGTGTTAGAAAACTCGCAAAGCGAGGCCCGTAGCAATCTTATGACCGTGTACAGAGAAGATGATAGAATTTACCAGAGCGAAATAGCGAGCGTCTTTCAGTAGTCACACAGCAAGTCCAAGGTGCAAACATGAAACACTCAAAGCTCTCAGTAGTCAGATCTGATCATCGCCGCACTTACCTAACCATATTATTATTATCTTTATCTAACAGGGAGAGTAACTATAACAGCGAATATCGAAAAGCCTTTTGCGGCTCTACACAGTACATACAAGAAAAACTTGAGAGGCGTACCTGTTTTGCGATGATGGTTCCTGGGTGCAGGGGCTACGTTTTCACGAGGTGGGGGAGGAGGACCGCGAGCCCCAGGGCCGGGTGGTACCCCTCGCCCACGGCCTTGGCCCCCAACAGGCATACTTGTACCCGGAATACCGGTTCTGCCGCCGCCCACCATACCTATGTAAAAATAGTGTGGAGGATTCCTATCATGAACATAACTAAAATACATACAATTTATTTTCCTTCATGTTTATTGCAAAAATTCCTTTTAACTAACCTTGGCTACTTTGTCCCGGTGGTCCATAATTGTCATTAGCATCCGTGAGGAAGTTGCTGGGCACTAGACCCTTGACACCGTCGATCTCTGCCATATAGAAACCATCGTCGTCCATTTCTCCATAAACGTGGATAATTTGACCGGTTTGAAAACTCAGCTCCGCCTTTACAAACTTGATTTTTAGCAAAAACTTAAAATATTATTTAAAAAGCTGATTATCATGTGCATTTTTTTTAAATAAAACAAAACTTACATCAGCATCGACATTAGGGCTGAGCTCCTGAGGATCGTAGTCGTACAAGGCAACCATTCTTCGCACGGGCTGGTTAGCGTACGCTTCCGTCCAACGATCCCGAGGCTTGGCTGCGGCCTGACCGGTGGCTTCCTGTTCAGAAACTTCCACTACCATATTGTGAGGTACATAGCCCCGTCGGCCACGACATTCACCCCAATAAAATCCATCTGCGTCCTTGTCACCCCAAACCTAATCATAATAATTTAGCAACTACAGTTAATCAACCTTCGAAAATATCGCTGCCAACCCTATCAACCTACCTTTATCGTGTCTCCTTCGCTGAAGGGCAATTCTTCTTCGCAGCTCTCGGGATTTGGACTCATAGTAGCCGGATCATAGTCAAAAAGAGCGATGAAAAATCTACTTCTTTTAGATTGAGGGTGTCCTTGTGGAGGACGATGACCAGGTTGGGGGCCTCTAGGAGCCATTGGAGGACCTCCTCGTGGACCATATTGCTGCATAGGGCCTTGTTGCATAGGCGGTTGTTGTACTGGCTGCTCAAAGAAATTTTATTTTGATATCGAACCCATTGCTGTGAATATTTATTTAAAATCTACCAAAACTAAGCTATGGAAATTAAAAATAACCTGGTGAGGATTTGGAGGGCGCCCTCTTTCATGATGATTTCGGGGTGGAGGGTTCTGGTACTGCTGCGGTTGGCCGGGATATTGGTTTGGCTGATTACTTGGGAACTGGCCTCCCTGTTGATAGGGGGGTTGCTGCGTGCCATGGTAGGCTTGTGTATTCGGGTACTGCTGACCCGAAGGCGGTTGCGACGCTTGAGCAGGTTGGGACGGCTGCTGCTGACGTCCGTACGTACCAACACATTAATAAGGTTAGATTTTCCATAACAAAGCCCACAGCAATTTATCAAGCTTCACAGCCATATATATTGGCGTATGCGATCGAAAGCAATAGATACTTTACCTGTTGTTATAAATAATACATTCCGTTGACTATTCAATCCCCATGCACAACAAAAGCTAGCGTGCAGCTCTTATAATTTTTAATCACATCGTCCATAGCATAGAAATTTCCAGAAAACTTTTTCAGCTATAATGCGCATTAACAAATTTTTGTATTCCGTAGTTTTAAACAGTATTCGCAGTACCGCAAAGATCCTTGTTTAAACATTAGGAGTGAGTTATAGTATTTAGAACGAGTCTAAGCCAAGACAGCATGCAGGAACAGTCATACAAACACGTAGCGCATGCTCGGATGGTATGGTTCTGTATCGAGTGCTCTGTGGGGAATCTGTTAGGTATAACCTAATCCTCTGTCGGGGTAGATAGTGTCGTGAACCTGTGTAGTGTGTCAAACATCCAGGATGTGAAGGTAACACAGAACAACGAATAGTGAAAACATGTGAACGGGAAGTTCCGCAAAAAGTTGAGAGAGAAGAGAGCAAAGTGAAAAGTGCTAGCACATGAAGAGAACATCGATGACAGCAAGAGATCGCAGACCTGCGGGCGGCGGCGTGGTTCCTCGTCCTCGCTACTCGCCTCCACGGCTCCCTCTTTAGTGATTTCGATGGCCGGTATCCCCGATTGCTAACAGGTACACGGTCATTCAATATTTAACAAATCGATTCAAAATACATGACATTGAATGGCAGTGATCTTGATACAACATTAATTTTGAGATAGTATACCACTGAAGCTTGAACATAATATTAAAGCCACCGACTTTTTAGAAGGCCGATATACAAAATAATATATATATGTATGTACCACGAAACATATGCAGAATACGTGAAGCATGTAAAGCTGAAGTGATATAGGTAGAGTTGCCGTGAAAGCGTTTCCTTGCTTCCGTACACTCGACATCGTATATCTTACTTTTGCGTCTTAAAAGTAAATAAGTATGCTAATGATTGATGGATGGCGTGTTGATGATTGTGACAAAACTTATACCCTAATGACATATTTGAGTTGTGTGGAACGTATAATTTAAACAAAACTGTATATTTGATAAAATAAATTGTTATAGGCGTTTGGCTGTCCTGCTTTTGCTGTTTGAATTGAATCGTTAATATACAAAATTACTTCTAACATGTAGCTGTTATTTATATTACTTTTGTTATATATCTATTAGCTATATGTAACCTCTACGTATATAGCTATTACATGTATGTCTTGATACTGTTGTATATTACTTGCGTTACGAGTTACGGTTAGCTAACACGTTCTCTTCTTCTACGTATAAAATTGTGTTTGACTACTTTATACGTTCTAAAGCATACTTAAAGAAAATGTCATCTTATATCACAGACCATATTTATGTCTACGTTAGTAAATACGTATATAACGATACTAAAAAAACGAGCACACTGTGTGAAATAAATAAGATAAAATAGAACTAAGAATATAACTGAGTCCACACGAAATAAAAAATTAAATAATAACTAAATCTAAATAAAATGTGTTGGAAGATTTTAAAGAAATAAAAGTATATTAAAACGTGTTAAAATTCCTTACCGAAGGGGTTATTTTGTCGAATATACTCTTTAGAAGGCCTGTGCCGAATCCGCTCGTAGGCTATGGAAAGGTGTATAATAGTTATGTGAGAGAGAGGTAAGGTATTCTTTAAGTGAAACGTAACAAAATGAGCTCCATGGGATAAACTGTCTGTGTCACAAAGTACAGGCTCTTTATTTGTTCTAAGTATACAAGTTATCTGTAGGGTGTCGTGCGCTGTTAGGTATCGGCCAATAGCTCTAGAGACTACTGAACTAGTCGCAAGCGGAGAATGCATTTAATTTTGACGCTGGAGCCGAGTGCATAGCTATACAATAGACGATGGCGCGCGTGGTTGTGTTGGAACCGATCGGCAAGACTACTCGACACTTAGAAGATGCCAGCGACAGATCCACAGAAGATAGTATAAAGAGTGCAGTTTGCAACACCGAAGTTACGCGACAAGCCTTTTTTTATCTTCGATGTATTACAGATATTCGTAATTCGATTTGCTAAGGATTGAAAAGAAGAAAAATTAAAAAGGCTTCTTGCGTAAAAAGAGAGACATTGATAATATTAACGACAACTAGGATTCACAGATGAAACTGACTTAAGACTAAAACAAAATAAGCTCACACATTTTAAACATGTCGATAATAATAATTAATTCAAATGAAATGCAAAATTATTACACACAACATTGATTTGCAAACTAAAATACAAAGTGCTGTGCCAACAATTTTTTAACGGTTAAATTAAAATATAAAATTTTAGTACAACGATTTCTGAAATAAAGCCTTCATTGTACATAAAGTATATACAAAGCTAAAACTTTGGTTAAAATGTTAGAAATATCTTGGGTTATTACTTTCTATTAAGATTAATCATAGTTATAATTTTTAAATATATATATATACAATGATATTACAAGCATTTCTTTACCTGAGCTGCTTGACCCTCATGGCGATTTGTTGTTGGAAAAATTTCCTTATCCGACAGATTTTCGTCGTGTTCGATAACTTGCTGGTGTTGTTGATATGGCTGAGGTCTTTGGTTTCTGAAACCGGGAGTTGGCTGATTTGGACCTGGAGTCGGACCTTGACCTTGGCCACGTGGCACCCTAGATGCCACTCCTCGAAGCACAGCTGGTGGTATCGGTGTTGGAGCACTGTCACTAGATTGACTGTCCCGAGACTTGGTTCTCACCTGCGAGAGGAAAACGTGTTTATATTATACACAAAAAGAATATCCAATGACGAGAGCAAGATAATAATTAGTTTCATTGACCAGCACACACCGTTCGCGGTTATCGAGTGCATACATGTTTAAGACAGCGCAGAGGTAGCCATTCTAAGCATTACTCAGTACTCACGGTAACGCATTTGGGATTGAGGCCGATCAATTTGCCGATGTCGATGAGAGCATGATCTCCGGTGGGGGAATCGACGTCGGTGACCTTCTTGCCGTCAGCGTATACCGCATAGCCGGTGACGGGCCCGGAGGCGGGTGGCCGCAGCACGGGTTGCCACGTCACCAGTAGAGTGCCATCCTGTGGCCCGGCCTCCACCTGCGACACCGCACCAATCACCACCAACAATCCAGCCATTTCGTTTCGGCCAATCAGTTTTTTTTATATACTCTATAAGCCACATCGAGGGAGGGTTCGACATAACGGGGAACGCTAATCTACCAACAATGTGAGCGGATCTGAGAAAAATTTGTCCTGGCGCTGGATTAATGGTTGCGATTGAGGCGACTTCCTCGAAATTTTCCATGGTGCCGCGTGCTTTTAGGTTGTGAATATAGTTGAAAAGGACGGGGTTGTGTAATGATATGTGAAATTTTAATGACTAAGAATTGGATCACACACTTAGTGAGCGTTTGAAAGCATTCTTTAAGTGCGTACTAACGCTGATAGTTAACTTTATAATAGTTATATTCCGAAGCACATTTAACTAAAATTAAATTAAGTAAGTATTTAATCAAATCTCATTAAAATATAAATATATCAAATATGAACTAGTAAGGAAAGAGAACTTTTATTTAGGCGAGCAGGAATCGTGATTGTGGAGTGTAAAAAAATCAACATAAGCATGCTTAGTTTATTTCATGCCATAAGGAGTAATCGTTTATCAAATCTATGTACCATTATTTCGTTTGGTGGATCCGGCAGGCCTTTAGGTAATGTTCTAAAATCAGTGTAAGCTCCAGGTGCTTCTTCAATAGGTACTCCTGGTGGACCTGCTCGTAAATGCTTAGCTCTGACTGTAACTCGATACTGTGTGCTTGGGGACAAACCCGTTATTGTATGTCGATAAACACCCGGCTTCACAGTTCGGACCTAAATCATAATAAAGTCAATTAAACCAAACTTTCTGCACAATTTCTAAAAGAAAAATCTTATATTTACCCTTACCTCGACATTATTGACGCACACGACGTGTTGGTGGTTTGAGTTAGCTGGAAGCCAAGATATTACAGCTTGAGAGCAAGTTACTCCACTCGCTCTAACACATGTAGGTCCCATGTTTCCAGTGTCTCTGCCTATGACCATGGTACATGCGGCGTCCCTCGACGTGCGTCTAGTGACTGTTACTGATCGGACGCTAATGCGATGTGGCTTTAAAATCGTCAATAAATATATCAACTTGCTGATCAATAAAAATCTTTTAGCATTAAATACTTTTCATTATGTGTAACATTAGAAAATAAAAAACAAATTAAACACTGATGAGAGTGATCTATAGATGATTGTAACTAAACAGTGCAATCTAGACAAAGTTTACAAAAAAAAAAAAGAAACTAGATAATCTTTCAATTCCTTACTCGATTCGCATCTACTCCTTCGACCAAGGCACGAGTTCGCTCGGTTGCCTTGACTGTTGTTTTGAGCACGCCGTCGACGTACACATGGTAGCTGTCGATGTTGGCTTGTTGCACACCCTCGGGCGCTGTCCAGCCGATGAGCACGGACTTGTTGAGTTGCCGCTCCAAAGTCAGCTGCCGCGGCGCCGGCACTAGCGACGAGAAAAACAGCTCTGCTGTTCAGGTCCGCAGATCGCGAGTAGGAATCAGCCAAGCAGGCGAAGTGCGAGTGATATGCCAAGAAGCGTGCAGCGAATTCCGACGTATAGGATGGGTCGAATAGGAAAGGGCAAAGGTTTAACTATAGATCTCTATGACTACATCAAAAGTGTTAAAACCGAATATTTAATCTGCTAGAATGCAAAATTTCGGAGATATTAATTCTCCAAGCTTTTCAATGCTTTCTATTTTTATTAATATTTTTAACCAAACCTCGAAGTGCATTAAACGTGTTACATTAAGGAAATACATGCATTGTTTTTATATACTCGTAAGACAAACTCGCGAACGTTGTTGTAAAAATACTAGGTAAAAAAATAATCATATTAAATCAAGATAAAACAGGATGTGAAAGTGATTTCTAAAAGGATTCACTCACTATGTGGGGATTTTTTTATCAATGAATTCTCTATATATGTGATATTAAATCAAAATCTCATTATTGCGTAATAATCACAAGACAATATATTAACCAAATAAAATGTTACCATTGTCATCATCTTCTGGACCATCGCTTATATCAGCCATTTCACTGAGACGAGCCACATCCCTACTGAGCGACATGTCACTTATTGCTGTTGTAGCAGTTTCATCGGCATCTCGTAAAGTAGCTACAACGGCCTAAAAATAAAAACAAAACCATCCAAACAATATGTTAGTTAATTTTAAAAATATGTTTAATTTTAGAATGGATGTCAAAGTTTAACCCTTTTATCAAGGAGTAATTGTAGACACTATTGCATTCAATTCTTAATATACTCATAGCTTTATTAGCAAAATATTCATTTACTTATATAGTTATGAACATTAAAAGTAAATAAGAGACTTTATAAGAAAACTACACTTACTTGATGAAATTCTAAGAGATCGTCACCAACTAAACGTTGTACAAAGTTTGCTGGAACAAGACCTCGACGACCGTCTAACAGCTCAGCATCAAGCATTGTTGCATTCGGATCTGGTGGACCCCAAACCAGCAAATAGTCTCCGGTGCAAATAGATAATTCTCCTTCCGAGGTCTCGACACTAAAAAGACGCCTAAGTTTTACACTCAAAGGAAAAGAAAGAAAACGTAATCACATACCAAATTTAACAAATACACTCACTCTGGCGGATCATAGGAGAATCGAGCGATATAAACACAGCAACGACCTTTTCCTGGAATGTCTAGCATGTCAACTTGTGGCTCAGTGGGTGCGCCTCCATTCATGTAATGCGTGTTTCGGACTGGAATTGTAGATATAATTAGATATACAACGAATCTAAGGAACGACAGCAACAACAATTTAACATACCATCTACGTCCAACATATTATTTGGTAAAAGTCTTATGGCTCTCGGACCTCGATCGTGAATAAAGGTGTCCATATTTCCTATTCTATCAGTTCCAAATTGGCTATCTAATCCTAAATTCCAAGAGGGTTGGTGCGGTGTTACAGGTGTAGTGGCTCTAACCAGAGGCGGATTAGTGCCATATCTGCTTAAGCCAAGGTCTATTTCATCAATGGGTTTTAGTTTAATATTCATTGTGTTTGTTCCTAACCCACCGGATAGCAATGGATTCGTGTAAGTCCCTACGCCCGTTCCATATGCATTTGTGCCCGTCAAACTTGTATTAAGATTTCCGATTTGTCCAGTTCCTGTGAGATTAGATAGTGGGTTTCCTAATGAACCACTCAAATTTGATTGAATTCCAGCAAGAGTACTTGTAAGACCTCCAGATAAATTTGTTTGCTGATTATTAAGACAGCTAGAAAGTCCTGCTCCTGTTAAGGTACCACTAATCGCTGGGCCGACTAATGTGCTACCCAAATTCATCCCGGACATATTGCCAGTGATATTTTGTAAATTAGATTGAAGCCCGGCAAGAGTGCTCGAAATTTGACTTATATTGTTTACGAGAGGAGCAGTTACAGGATTCGTGAAAGTAACTTGATGAGCGTTAGACAGACCGTAAGTAGCGGGGACTGGATTGGAATAGGAAGTAGGATTATGAGCACTCATAGAATACGCCACTGTATTAGAGCTGGGAGCGGTGAAGTGGGAAGTGTTGTGTAGAGAAGAGAGGGTAGGCATGGTGTTGCTCTGACAGAGCACCACGTGGCCAGAGGTGCTTGTATAGGAGTGAGGCAAAGGAGAAGGTGTCGGCGACTGAAACTCTCCCAACGCTTGATTAGATCCGCTTGTTTGGATTCCTGCAAAATAAAATATTGACAAATATAATAATTATAATAAAGAGTAAATATCATCTTCGGTTTATTCAAAAACTCTTCATACCGTGAGTTGTTGATCTAGAATGTTCCAATTCAGCTAAAATCCGGTTATCTTGTTCGATTTTAGCCATAATTCTCTCTATTTCAGAAGCTGGCTGAGTAACAGGCGTCGACCAGGTTGCCGTGGTTGTAGTGCCACGAGCACGCATCGCTGCCGACAGCTCCAACTGCAGTTCTTCGCAACGAACCGTTTCTAATGCCGCCTAATAACCAATATGACATCAACAAAAACCAAAAGTAGATTTGGTGACTTTAATTTAGTTAAGGATGTGATTTGGATATCCATTTTAAGTTACAAGAATGTACCTTTTTCTCTAGTTCTCTAACTCTAGATTGCAACTGTTCTACGTTGTGTGAGTCGTGAGGCGTGCGTTGTGCCGCCCGAAGGTGTGCCAGTGCGTCCGCGTGAGCTCTCTCAGCATCAGCCCGAGCACGCTCCGCCTCACGCAGCCTTCGAGACAGCGTGTCTGTGTCCCCACCGCTCGACATACCGTACCCGCTCATTGTCTAAAAATTTCATACATATAATGACAGCATAATTGTCTTATTGCATACTATAAGACTACATCGCACACGACTAACATAAAGAGCCTTTGACAAGATGATTACAATATTATTTCCATCATTGAAAACCAATGTACATAATATAGTGATATGTTTCCTGCAATTCTAGTGAAATGCTTTCTATGAATTTTCTCAGCTTTTCCGGGATAACGTGTTCCTGGTAAGAATTCAATCACGATACCTATAGCGACAATGACGCGATTTCAAATTAATTAACGAATATTCCCACACACGATTTTAATTAACCCGTTTTAGGTTAATTAAAATGACCGGAATTTTACAGTAAATCTCTATCATTATTTAATTAAATCATTATAGCACTAAATTAAAACGCGACCAAAACCCAGCGTCCAATATAATGAGGGTGTTATAATCTATAAATAAATTACCAGAATTTGGACGACCATTTTGCCAATCGAACACTTAGCGGTATTAATTAATTTTAATTAATCCTTTTAAATATAAATGATATAACAATTTATTACTTTATTAATGCAATCATTGCGTTTGAATACTCGTAGTATAATATTTTTAACAGTGTTATTATAAAACCTATAAAAATATCGTGTGTATAATAGCATGAATATATGAGTAAAACAACATTTAATCGAATAAAAAACGTTTAAAATTTTTGTAAAACCTTGTTTCAACGCGACCACTCAAGTGTAATAAGCGGGTCACGTAACCCGAGTATCAATAATTTTTCGATTTTATGTTAAAATCGGCTGTAGCAAGCGGCGGTTTGACGTCACCGATAAAAGCTGATATGCTTTAGTAAATTGACGCAATAAATACAGTTACAATATCAAAATAATATAATTTATAAAAAGTGTCGTTCTTCATAGTTACGATAAATTAATAAATGTTGGTACAGCGCAAAGCGGATAAAGTAATTTTCTCGCACATTTTTATCTATAAACAATTTTTCACATCAGATAATCTCATAAAGCTTTAAAAAAATATATAAAATGTTGATTTAAATGAAACTGATATTATCGGCTTACTACTCCTTTATAATTATATTAACATTTCGGTTACCTTTCAGCAACCGTGATCACGTTCAGACGAGATGTGATAATGTCGATTGTCAAAACTATCAAAAGAACTATCTTAAAAATATCGCAGTACAATATTACCAGATCGATAAATGTACGGCGGGGTTAAGGCAAAACGAAAATCACCAGACTCCGCCGCCGTCACGTCTGGAACACGAAAAAGTGCGGTGACCTGCTTTAAGCATGCCCAGACTTAGAGAGGGGGAGCTTGGCAGCCTCTCTGGCGACGAAACTGGGAATCCAGCCAGGACAACGCAATACGCCAACAAATGTCTATAGTAAAGAAAGATACATTGTGCCGCCGTTGGCCGTAGCGCAGAATAGGACTTTAAAGGGTTATATAATATCATATAACATTAATTAGACGTACAAAATTATATTACTTGGGGCTTTTTAGTATGTATATGATTCAATTACTCTCTTTGAAGAAGGGCTGGGTGATTATTGGATAACTTTTTTATACTACTAATAGTAAGATAGATATCTAAAATTAACTAATCGTGTTCTTTTCCACAACAGCATTATATGCACAATATATAATATAGTGCGCGTCTGTGACCTTCATTATCTAATATTAGAACAGAAAACTTAATACAATAAAGGATTTCAATTAACTCGACCCTGAGATTGCGCCTGAAGAAATGGACGGGGTTGAGCTATTCATAACCGAAGTTTCATTACGAAGTACGACAAAGTCCATCAAGTTTTCTTTTTCTTTATCTCGAACAACAGAAAGAAACCGCAAAAAATTACACAATATCTAAAGAGTGACATTTACATAAAGAATACGTAACGTGTTTACGGATGAAATTACCAAAATTATTTAAAGTTTTCCAAACTGCTTATGTTTTTAATGAAAATTTTTATTACAGACATTTAGAAAAATTTGAAATACAAAAAAATATATACGTAAGTTCCTTTGAATCACATAAATGATAATATATTTATAATTTTCTCCAAGAACGTACGTTGCAACGGCTCCTTAAATGATATTCAAGAAAAGTACTCAAGTATTCAGAGTAAGAACTTATTGTATGTGAACCTTAATTCTGAACTTCTCCGCGGTTCACACACAATCTGTGTTGCCCACTGTATACTTTAGTTTATCGGACAAAAGCCGCGAGTACTCCAGCTCCACAAATTAATGAATTTGTGAAGCCACAGACGTACCACTCAAGTAGAAAATGTATTGTGCTGTTTCACATCGGAAACAACAAATTTTAGTTTTTTAAAGTAAATATTGCTTTTTCTTATATTTATAAAAACAATTCTTACGCTTTCTGTTGTTTTTATATTATATCATTCAATCCATGATAAATAGTGTCTGGCTGTTGTTACTAGTATAAAAATAATATATATTTCAAAACGCAATTATTTAAAAATAATATTTTTAATGGATTGAAAAACGATTTGAAATATTTTTAATGCTTATGTTATAGATTGATGGAAACATTTTATTCGATGATTAAAAGAATATTTTTTATGCATTCTATTAAAGAGTTCTGCGAAGTGAAAAAGTTAATAATATGTTATTAGTAAGTACAGGTTATAAACGCGTTAAGTTTTGTAATATGGCAAGTCAGCGCCATATGTCACTTATTGCAAAATTGTCTTTTCTTGCTAAGGCTACCGCTAACTTTTTATACTTCTTTAATGCACCTTAGATATCTTCTAAATCATATTAAGGTTATGAAATAACATACTAAACTATACTTTAATATCATTAATATCTTAATAAGCGTATTGAATTTTCGTGTATTATTAACTAGAATTTTTTTTAATACAAAAAATATTTTCAGTTTTATACTTTAGACTATATTTGAATATTTTTGAAAGCACTCGCAACATTTTACATTGTAGTTTTCAATGACCACTTACCTTCAGATGGACTGTCTACTCATTTGCAAAATTAATTAATTAATTTCTGTATTCCCAACAAAATATAGCGAACAGAAACCTGTTCGATGAAATGTAATTATTGACTGCGAAATAAAAATATGCAAAAACGCTTTGAAGTCCAAAATACTATTGAATACCGTCGAAGTAAAATAATTTAATAAAAAATTGTGAAAGGCTCACAGTTTTTTGCGGATGTAATCCATTTTTATTTCAGTCGATTGTTCGGAGAAATTTTATTTGCTCGATCAAACTCAATAAAATATTTTTTCGGTAATAAACAAGTTCCACCCTTTGTCTAGCTAGAACACTACACAATGTGCATTCAACACGGTCGGTATGAACTATGAATCAATCATCCGCCGGCATTGGAATGGAAAGCCTTTGATCTAGCCGCTGCAAAACGCTAGGGATGCTTTGTGCAAGTTATTTGTAATAAACATTTCACAGCAGCATTCTTTTCTCATGTCTATATATAATCACAGCCTTTTAATGTGCACATAATTCGCTCATTCGCAAAACAAAACATAAATTATACGCTTAAAATTCGTTCGCAATTCCACTGCATTGTTACAAAAAAAATTGAATACTTACTTTGTATTTTCTTACTGATGTATTTGCAGCATCTTATAGGATATGGGAAATGGGAAAATAGTATGAACAAGACATAACTGTAAGAGGAAATTTGTGAGCGTATTTCAAATTGAAAAATAAAAATAAAATTGAAATACATTTCGTTGCTATATTTCTTTGGAGTATTTTTATATTGATTTATTTCAAACCTAAAGCTTTAACAAGTTGAAAGCTCTCTTAAGTGTAGTCTTTAGGTTTCATATTACAGAATCTTCGTTTTGGCGATCAATCATTTATGACGTGAGCGCTTTTAAAAGCATCGATAAGTTACGAGAAATCGATCTCTTTCAACATAACCACTGTAAATATTACAGAAGCATGACCTCTTAAGCGATTTATGTTCATTCTACTATTGATTGTAATTGCTTCATAAATTATGTACAACTTGCTAGAAATTAGACTCATTTCGCGTCATCAGAGTACCTCGTAATGTATTTAAGTGTTTAATAATTAAATTTCGTATTTGTTGTTAGTTTATTTAATAGGTAAGTATGTAACTATTCATTTGGTCTTTTTGCGTCAATGAACAATACCCAGAACTAGATACGCTCGTTACTTTGTAAATGTAATACGTAGCTGTACTGCGGTGTTTTGGCAGCGACGTCGCGTGTATCCACAGAATTGAATATTTCAATACCAACGAGCCAAGAGTACAATGAACGCTTTTTGCCTGATTTCTGTGTAACCAACATACAGTTTTTTATTATTATTCTCATTGCTGGTAAAATTGCGCCTCCGTTTCTTCCATTGAAAAGCAAATGAAATAGTCAGGATCTAGATATGAAAATAGGTTGGTAGAAAATTACATTTTGATTAATATAAGATAGTTTGAATAGTTACTGGTTATAACCTTGCCCATCTTGTTACCTTTTAATTAATTATACTACATAGAGGTATAGAAATGTCGGTGCAGTTTTTTGTGTTCCGTAGGGAAAACTTGCACACGTTATATGTAAAGTTACCTCCGCCTATCTTCATTTTAATTATAAGGGTTGTAAAAATTCATTACTTTGTTGTAGCTGACGTATATTTACAACTTAATATTTAAATATAGCTCATAAGAAAACGTCTCTAGGAAGGCCATTGAACATCTTGCGAGTATGTGGGTTAAAACACCAGGGACTTCTATATAGTTGCAATAACAAATTAACCATGATTTCTTGAAATTTTTTACTGTAATTTCTAGAAACCAGGTATTCCCAATCGAGAAGACAAAGGCAGCCAACATCTTTATATAGACTTTAACTTTATAATTATAGTTTTTTTAAATTTATTTTTCTAAATTGATGACTTATAAATGGTAATATTAATAAATACATATATTATATATATTTTCGAAAATTTCTACTCTGATTTAATCAACAAAATGTAATACTATGTAATGGGAAATTATAAATCGTACAATCTCTTCATCGACGATTTCAAAATGGGTTTGTAGTTTTTGTGGGTGACTAGTGTGAAATTATAAAAACCAATACATATATTGTTTAAATACTAACTACACGGACATATGTATAACATGCAGAAATGTTAGACGAAGCAGAAATTCTTACACGGTTTCTTTGTCCAACACATGTGTATTTTTTTAATCCTATATCATTTAAATTGTAAAAGATCGATAAAATTTGTTCGTGGGGCAAAATCGTGTTAGCTACGATCTTATTGGAGTGCCGATCATCGAATTATAAAATAACGAAATTAGGGCTTGAAAACGAGCTTTAACTTATAGTCATTAATGCAGCCTTGATTGATTTTCTTTTCTGAACTGAAAAAAATACGGACTAACGTAGTATGTTGTGGAAATTACTAAAGACTATTCTGCTGATTCCGATTTTCTTTCATGTGAAGATGGTAATATAAAAATAACCTCGTTAATACACTTATATTGGTGAACATTTTCTTTTAAAGAAATGGACAGCTATAAAAGAGACAATCTTTAAACGTTACTTAATAAGAAAATAAAATGTAGCCACGTAAAAGATATACCGCTCATATGGTTTGACGCAATTTCTTATATGTATTTCTAATCAATACGCCTAGACGTTTATATTTATTTAATGAATGCTGAAAAAAAAAAAAACTATTGCTCACTTTTAATTATAATAATGTGTTTTCTTTACACTTAAACCATGTAAAATAGGTCATGAATCATGTAAGAAGGGTGACGGGGGAAAATGGAGGACTGAATTGAATCAATAAGATGTTGAATAAATCAAATAAAGATATATCATACATAAAATATTTTCGCACAGCACATAGAATAAGAAAGTATATATATTAATGTAGCAACGAAAGCAACTTGATCAATAATTCTTCGCAGATGATCACGTACGTAGTCACGTTCTTTAATAGTCGGTATCGACACATTTACCCATTATTATCTATATTTTGTTACAGAATCTAATCATGGACATCCCACCCCTTATCTTTACTATAATGCCACTAAACAAAGCGCTTAATTTCAGGAGCTCTAGATAAAGTGTCGATCGATAGAACCGACTTCGTGTACGTTCGATTTTAAGGAGTAAAGTGAAAGTGAAATCGCCTATAACTACATATAATTGTAAGGTATGTAAGTTGTACTCACGTTAATGGCAGTCCGAGTACGTTACATGGGCTCCAAAGTTCACTGCACCGGCGACGTTAGTGGACGTTACGGATGCACCTACTCGCGGTCACCGTACCGAACTTACATAACATTCATACAACGAGACATATACCATCCGAGACCACGACCGTCCGGTCAGAGTATGGATCGCGCTCTGTTCAGGGATCCGTACGATCCTGCCATTTTGGATACGATATTAAAGTGTATTAAGTGAAGAAGATCTGGGAGTACAATAGACGAACGGGACGGTTGTTATCAGGCGTGCTTTCAGTTAGAATTGGGATGTCGCCGTGCTACGTTCGGAGGGAAAATAAAAAAGAGTGATTCTGTCGGGTGGAGCGGTCGGCTGCGAGTGGCACATGCCGTTCGATAGACGGGCGCGTGCGCGAGGCGCGGCGCCTTGTAACGAGACGAGGCCGCGCGCCGCCGCCGTGGATACTGAATGGAACACCGCCGACACTCGACTCGCACATTATTATTGAGCCGACACCGAAACTACCCTTTCATATGCCACTAATTAAACACCACTCGACAGACATCATAAATAACGTTAAAAACGACACTCAACTATCATATAATACATTCTATATTTACGTACTCACTAGCTACAGCCTCTACTCTAAACTAAATAAACAGTTTAACTAGCCGTTTATTCAGAAACTAGCACGTTATAAGTGCAGAATAACGGATCCGTCTTAAAAAGTGAGTACGCAAATGCATCCTCTCGTAACGAGAGTCTAGAGCGTTACCCCCATTGCTGATCCACTTGACACGGCTAGGGCCTTCAACCTAGCACAGATTTAAAATTTGCATTTTCAATAAAACCGCATTGATATTGTAAATGATATGTCTAACTAAATAACAACAACATATTTCATAAAATACATTCTCAACTATGCGTTAAATTCTTTTTTACTTGAACTTACCTTTACATTTTTCATAATTTTAAATATACTATCATTACTATTGTAATTTTCATCACTATCACCATTGTATTGAGTGGGATTAAAATTTTTCTCGTTATAATCACAAAAATCCGTCTGTACGTATACCGATTTCAGTTCACTTCTCTTTTTCAACTTCTCTTCACCTAAAACCGATTTACTTTTGATACCAAAAAAACTACAAATAAACTCGCTTAAAACTGACCAGAATAAAACAAAACAATGATTAAACATGATATATTTATTCCAGAGCAAATGTACTTATGTGCAATCGCTTCCCGAGTATAATTCAATTATTGTGATAAAATACAGCGCTATCGTACAATTGATAACAATTGGCTTAATTAAATACGTGTACAAAAGTTAAAACGGATCAATGTTTATATACAAAACTGTTTTAAAATTCGCTTGATATAAATCCTATGGGATAATTGGCGATTCATTCGATTATTGCTAAATACAAAAGCGTCATGTGAAAGTAATTGATTTATTTATAAGCGTATCAATTTATAGCATGTGTTAAAATTTATAAATTATTTAGCGTTTTAAACGGTTTATGTAAATTTCACGCTTTATTATACATATTTTGTTTTATCGTTATAGCCGGTTAAGTTATATAAAATTGATATTATTTTTTTATATTATTAAATAGAAGAGTGTGAGGTCATTCTTTTTTTATTTGTTTCTTGGGCATTTTGAAATATAATTCAAAGACAAATTAGTATTTCTTATACTTTTAATTATTTGTTTTTTCTATTCTTCCGTTTTTCCGTTTTCAGAATTTTTCTATTCTTCCGTTTTCTTTCCTTTCTTTGTTTTTTTTTTAATCAATAATATTATAAGTCAGAGGCGGCCTAGTGGTTAAAAGGCCCGCCTCTCGTGCATGAGGGCGCGGGTTCGATCCTGGCCCGGGCAATGTGATTTTTCTTAGTCATAAGTACTTTGTAAGAGTATTTAGACATCACTGATTAATGCTGATTCCCAAAGAGGATTGATGTCAAGTAGGCGGCCGGTCGTAAAAGCAAATAGCCAAAACTATTCACAACATGTAAGACAGACCCTGGCTATTGATGGGAAATTGCCAGGTAGAAGAAGAAGAAGAATAATATTATTGATTAAACATAAAAATTAATTTAGTACTTTGTGATATATCTCGTTATGTGTGTCTTACTCTAAAAACTTTGAAGTTTTAAGGTAATATAAATAATAATTAGACAGTCATTATTCGGTTTTCATCTCAAAAACTACATGCATATACTAAGCTGATATTATCACTATATTTATCTAAGAATTACTGTTAATAATACAATAGCAGAAAAGAGCCTTTTAATGTTTTCTGTGGCGATTTATTTCTAGAAACTGCTCAAAAATTATATGTCTTTAATGGTTACATCGTAACTGGCTCGAAATAATGTCTGACCAATGGCAATTAGCCTGTCCTGAAAGGAATTTAATCATGGCACTTACAGGCTATAATTAAATTTGAAGGTAGATGAGTAATCAATAACAGTTCTCAGTATAGAGACGTATGACGATGATTTTACGAGAATTTCTATTCGACTTTTTACTTAAAGTCTATACATATTTTTTTATGCTCTAGATAAAGAAATTCTTTGAATTTGTTTATGAACTAATCTGGTACTGCAAGCCTATCAACATAAATGCGATAAATTTGATGTAATCTGCGAATAATTATCTTTTCCTAAACGGTTACAATACGAAAATGGTAATATTACATACACTGATGTACATATGTATTTCTTCGTCCCTGCCAAATTTCTTTGCAACCCTGCCAAATTACCCAAAGGCCCAATATACACGTACATGTATTAAATAAGGATGAATATATCGAGGAGGATATTTGAAAAACTTTGAAAATTTCTTTTGTTGCATACTGGGAAATAATGCATTTAACAAATAATGTCATTTTAATGTATAGAAAATCTTAGATATGACAGAAAGGTACACTTGCAACCTCAACAAATAGCAATTCCAGCAGATATCTTGTATTTAAAGTGTAATTTTGCAACGGACGCTGTAAATGCGAGACGTTGATGTTATAATTGATGTTCACGATTGCATCGAAATCCTCGCTTCGACCGCACGATTGGGAACTCAGACGATTACAAGAAAAGCGCTGCGGTTATATCTGTGTCACATCTCAAATTTAACTCTACGCGTTCGATCATAGAGTAGAAATTCGCCTGTCCATGATCTAACCCCATTTTTAAGATTAAGTATTTTCGAATGTATTCCAAAGTTCGATAAATACCGCTTCAATAAGTTTAAAAATGAAAGACTTGTAATGACAGATAAAAAAAATTTAATACATGTTTATAAAGTTCAGAAAATACATTCGATATAAAACCTTATCCTATTATATTTGGATGTAAAAAAAAATATGACCATATAAGAAGACCCTTGGTATCCGATGAAAAAGTAAATTTCTAATACAATTTACAATAGGAATTCATACTTATAGGTATAAAATATTTAACTTAAATATATTTACATGCAATACTAAACACTAATGCTGATTTGAGCAATCGTAGGTGCAATATGATAGGTTGGAGACTTATTGATATTATTTTATGTGTATTCCACTAAAAGAGTTACTTTATCGGCTTACGATTCAATCAGCCTAACAGTTGGAAGCACGTGTGTAAGCAAATTGATTAAAATAATTGTCATACAAAAATCCTTTAAAATTTTTTTGCTAGTGTAAAAAATATTTTAAAATAACTATTGTTAGTTCACCATTATACGCTCCAAGTCCTCAAAATTTTAAGAACGAAGACAATATCAAAATAAAACTATATTTTTAAGTTAAGTCAAGTACGTTTTCGTTATAATGTTTTTTTTGTTCGCTACTCACCCATTCTTACGATATTTTTATATGAACAGTTAAAAGTCGTGGAAATCTTAAAAACCGTAAAACAAAACCTAAGTCGCTATATGAATTATTCTACCGTTGGTGTGTATTTACATTGGGTGTTTAAATATTGATGATCAGTCGATGTCGAGGCTTTTAAAACTACTTGTGAAACTGGCGAACATTCCTTTACTAGGTTTCTTGATGCGTTTCTTTTCGTCCACTTTGAAAATCTCCGATTCTATCAGCCAGTCACGATAATTTTCTTCCATATTTTTCCTCTGTTCTTCGTGCAATTGTTTCACGGGTGTTTGTGGGCCGCCGTAATCTTCTGGCAGATATTCAAGGTCAACGGCAGAAGCCGGGCCTTCAGAGGAGAAGTTGAGCAGATTGAGGAGATTGGAATGTATGAGAGGTTTGACGAGACACATCACTTGGTTTATGAAGGACACCGTGTGGACTACGTGGATCTTCTTCAGACGACACGGATGTGCGTTCTGAAATATAATAGAAATATTATTAACATTTTAAATTTTAAATATGAATATTTCATAGTTAGAGTGGAATAATTTTATTCTGGTTAGTATTTGAATCGTAATGTCTAGTCGATTAATCTATCAAAAGCGTATTGAATTCGAAATCTGCGAATCATTATCGGGTTTGCCCCGAACTAAAAATAGATTAAAGGTAAGGTAACGTACACACTGGTATAAAGTTATAGAGCGAAAACATTAAATTCAATAGCAACGATTCTTATTATTTCTATGAATCTTATTATAGATAAAATATTTATATGTGGAGTAACCTTAAGTAACAGATATCATAATTGTTTTCTTAATAAAATTTATATAATGTATTTAACAAGTAGCAGGCGTTGCGTTAGCAGCTTTTTAATGTTTTAATGTTTCCTGAAATCGAGCGGAACACAAACTGGGTCGCATTTTGCTTACAATGGCTGAGCACACTAGCTATGTAAAATACTCTATGCAAATCGTCCTTAATGCGGACGTTTCGAGGGTTAATTAGCAAATTGTGTTTTCAATGGAATAACGCTATGTTATTAATGGTAAGTGCTATTTTTATATTATGAAAACATATTTTAATCTGTATTTTATACATATTTCTGTTGAAATAATTACGAGTATTATAACTACTTATGTTTATTTATATATTTAATAGCTCTGATTACCTGTATGTAAACCATGAAAGCTCTCAAAGCGGGTAGAGTAACTCTAGTCAGATGTCCAAGACTGCAGCCCTTCATATCGAATATGACTATGTAACCTTCTGAAAGCCGGTCCTCTGATAGCTTGATGTCATTGAACATACAAAATACTCGTACAGCATCAGCGAAGTTCAGTTTGCTGTAGTCGGTGTCAGCGAGACGGTACAGCAAGATGTGATAGCCCTCCGGAGATAACTTGGGCAGGGCTACCATGTGACTGGAGTAAAGAAAACTCATTGTATCCCTCTATTCAATGATAGTTCAACCTAAGAACTACATAGAATCGTGCTTATATAACAAAGCATTTATTACATACATCATTTATTTCATTCATATAACACAGATATACTGGCAAAGTCATGAAAAAAGATTATACATTATGAACTTACAAAATATATATCAAAATATACATATACATAAGCGGTAGTATAAATAAACGGCAGATATATCTGTAGATAACAATTTTAGATACTCTTAGTGTCGATTCTATGTTTAACTATGAACATTCAGCCTCCGTTAATTCAGACGAGATAAAATAAAGGTAACCTATTTACTATATGAAAGGCTAGTGAAAGAGCTGTGTCAGATACATTAACTTTGTTAACAAACTTGTAATAGGGTTACAGATACAATGTAATAACTTTCTATTATTGGATGCGCTAAATAAATATTACAATGCTGAATTTCGATTTCACCACTTAATACCATCTTCGTATATTATTTACGTTCATTTGTAGTCGTATAGTCGTTGAATTGTTAATTTGTATGCAAGTGTAATTAATGATAGCAATATATTAACATTTTAAACCATTGTTTAAAAGTTTTTTTTACACAATTACATATAACCTATGACATACATATTTTAACACGTTGGAAAATGACTAATGAGTTAGTATAATTTTATTCTTCGTTTAAAATAATATGTTATAGTATTAACAAGGCTTATTACATAATTATTTATATCTCTATATAAGGAATAATCTCTAAAAAAGGAAAGTTGTTGTTTTATTAGAGTATAACTTACGTCATGTCCAATATGAGTTTATTCTTTGGCAGCAGAGGGTCCCGGTTCATGAAGAGATCTGGAGAATTATTCCTGAGAGTAAAATAACACTCGATGGTATCCTTGGTCTCCTTCACCTTGTAGTAGTTGGAATGGAGAAACAGGATCACATACTCGTCTGAGATGTAGGGAAGGTGAGGCTGACTTTTCATCCTGAAAAATAATAAATACGGTTATTGACTTTAATTCGAACAAACTAGAACATTCTAGAAGAATTGTTCCATTGCTTCTATGTAAATTATGTATAACAATATCAACCATCAAAACAAATGTTTCAAGGACGTATAACTTTTAAATGAATTAACAAGCAATGCTCGAAGACTCAACTCGACTAACGAGCATTTTGACGAACAATTGTTAACTTTTTTGTTATTATACCTTTAGAAAATAAACTCGGAATATATAATAAAATATATGATCGGTGAACAATAATTAAAAACCAGTTACAATTGACCTTAAACATATTTTAATACAAAAAAGACGTAATGAATCACAGAAAACACAAAGACCTGCACTTGACCTATTCTGAATAAAATAGAACAATTTAAATACCCGCCTAAAAGCAGCCATCTCGACAGATTAAAGCATGGTATAAATAGAGAAATAAAAAATGAAAATATCAGTTAAAATTGTGTTTCATTCAAAGTCACAGTTTCGAAGTCAGAAAGTATACAATCTTTTTCTTTCTTACTACTGTACAAAATTAAGCTTGGATTCACATCCACAAATGTCCAATTTAGGCCGTATATTATCTGTAAACATTTTTTACGTCATTGTCTAACCCTGACATATATGTGATATCAGAAAAATACTCGGAGAAATTTTAAAATTTTACGATTTCTCTTTTATACAACTTAAGTGAAGTGCCAAATTATCGTAGCATAGAATATTAAAAAAAGTCATAATTTTTTTAGATCTTTTGTATTTTACGTAAATAGTCCAAGGATCTACTTTGTTCATATACAATATAAGATATCACGCAGTAGAGTAATCGATTTTAGGTATTCAATTTTGTGCTTAGATTATGGGTTAATTGAAACACATTGTCTAACAGTAGATAGCAGATTTACAATAGCTTTCAATCTCTAATACTATATAATTTATGTACATCGAAGGCTTAACACTGCATTCAACATAGTTGAGATGCATGATGGGAAGGAGATAAGAGAGGTGTTTATACCTCACTTACCTTGACAAGTTCCTAGAGCTTAGTTTGTAGTTTACATAGTTGTTAGATAAGACAAAAATAGTTCATAAATTCTTAGTATACCTGACCTTAATCTTCGCTTTCTATCAACCCGCTATAAAACATTCAATAATCAGTCATATAATGAATAAGACACGATAGCAAAATAATTTAATGAGAGCCTCATTTATATTTCATTCAGAACCTACGTAATTAAAACAGTTTTTTTTTTTAAAGAAAGTTTCAAAGAATGTAAAATCATTATCTGAAATGTAATTTTAGAATCAGTGGTCATGCCATATGAAAATTACGGAATAATTACAGCATGACGCTTTCTAAGAACTGTTGAGAAGTTTTATATTAATTTTCATATATTATGCAATTATATGAAAAAAAGAAATTTATTATTTTGCACGCCATTAATGATTTTTTCAACCACTGATATTATTATCAATTTAAAGGTTTATAATTTCACTCTCATAGCAGTCTGGATTTTTAATTAAGAAAATCTTTAGTATTCGATTTTCGTAATCTTATTTGATCCCAATTTATAAAGTTGGAAAGTTGCGAATTAAAAAAAGAGTGGTAATCATTTGGTGCAAGATCTTTACTACAGTTAATGAATTAAAACTTCATGAGAAACCAGAGATCGCTGAGTCAATATCGACGTGTGACCTGACGTATAAAATAAAACACCTCTTCTGTGTGCAATCCCAATCATTATTGCAAATTTTGTAGTTCGGTTGTTCACTGCCCATAACATGTGATATATATTAATCGACTTCCTTTTTAAAAATAATGCAAGAAAAATATAATTATAATAAACTTGCAATTAATTACGATACCTTACAAGATATTACTAGAGACATCTACCGAAAATATGTGTTCTCTTTCAGCAACATATCGTCTTGTTGTTTTTTTATTTGATTATAAAGCAATAAAAGCGTATAAACGTTTTGTGCTTGCGAAAAATATTATTTCAGTGGTTCTTTACTAATCACTAAATACTTCATACAACAATTATTAAAGAAGTACCTAGTGTTCCACTTAAATGGTTACTTAGTACTACAATACTTATAATATGCTACAAATATTATAAAATTATTCATGAGTTAAATTGTCTTCTATGCAGCATAGTGCGATCAGTAAGTGACGATTATAAAGTAAGAATAGTTAAAAAAACATAAATGCTAGAATATATTTTGCACCATCTATGAACTTTAAAATAATTATATCGCACGTAAAACCTACAGTTTTTAGCTTATGAATCTTAATTACCTCAACGATGGTATATTTTTACTTAATATATGCTTACTACAGTTACAATTAACGATATTTATTTTGACTCCATAGCTACAAAGCAGTCTTAAACTAACCGCATTCGTAGAAAAATTAAATTGATTTAAGTAATTAAAACACTAGTATAAGTGCATTTTTATACAAAGAAACTACAAATTTAGTGGGAAACAAGAGACAAAAGAGCATAGTATGACCGTCAAATGACACGTCGGAATATTTAGAAGTCAAGTGCTTCTGTACTCGGTATGCCGTATTTTGCTTTCTATGGAGAGAAAGTGACCGTGTCCGTTGGAATGCCATTTATGTTTATAAGCATTTTAGGTGTTAATTTATTTGACATGGAATTCGCTGACTAAGTACTCTTATGGTATCCAAAATAAAATGTTAACTCAATCAATCAATAGACGCTATAAATTCTTATTGATTGACATAAAAATCTATCCGATTTCGGTGTACGAATCAAAAGGATTGAGGATAGTTTGAAATAATACTCATGGGTAATAATTACGCACAATGAGTTACAATTAAGTATTATTATATATTCAATTTTGTTATAAAAATTTGAAGGATACATTTGACGTTCTTTAACCATCGCTACGCTACAGTGAACACGACAAAAATAAGAAATACATCGTCTACGTAAAATTATTAAGCTTTATATAAAAAATTTGAATTTTACTACATTCGAAACATATTTGACTTACACTCATTCTCTAAAGTTTAAAAAGAAATGTATAAAAATTACTAAGCTCTTTCATAGATTGGTTTTTTTTTTGTCCTCAAAGTTTTAATACTGTTATTAATATTTTTATAAAGAATACAGACAACTTTTTCGATCTTGTATAATTTATTGACAAATATATTCAGTGTATTACTATATATAAATAATAATAATAATTGTATATTACTTACCATTCTCTTATTTGTTGTATCTCATCATCATATCCCTCGGGAAGTGATTTCAAACCGTTCAAAAACGGATGACAATATTTAGTCGCTGACATCCCTATTCACCCCTTTACAACCTGCAACATAGAACATAGTTTTACATAAATTATATCATTATTTCCATCACTTGTTTATAATTATAAGCATAAAATATATATAAAAAAGAATATCCTTGATAGTTTGTATGGGAATTGTATTAAAATTCTCAGCAAACAGCACGCCCTATTATCGTTTGCACACATAAAGGTTACGTTACAAAGTTGATGTAAATCAAGTTATACTTTGATGTACATATAAAGGGATATTAAAATATTGAAGTTTAATTATTAGTTCGATAGAAACCAGATTTTTTCTTGTCTCAACTCCGTAATAACACAAGTACTTAATGAAAAAAAAACTTCCTCATTCATTTAAATAATATTTTGTACTTGTCATGTTTTTCATTGATCTGATTTATGTTTTTAAATTTTAGTTATCTGCATTGAAAATTATAAAAGATTATATTATGTTAACAAATAGAATAAGGTTAAATTCATATTATTTAAATATAAAAAAAATATATTTTAAAATAAATTTTATATTCATCACACTTTATCAAATTATCGGTGACAACGGCGTTCAAAGGCGTAGATTGAATTATTTTTAACCTCCGACGCAAAAGAGGAGTGTTATTAAATTGACGTCGATGTATGTTACATAGTAGGTACTAAAGTAACAATTTCGACGCGGCTTCTTTCATTTGAAAGCGATTTTCAGGACATGATTCTAAACCATATTTGGATAATATGTCTAGCTATATAAGAGCACCAGTTCCAGTTAAGACAGTGGTGGCCTAGTGGTTAAAAGGCCCGCCTCTCATGCATGAGGGCGCGGGTTCGATCCTGGCAAGTACCAATGTGATTTTTCCGAGTCATATGTACTTTCTAAGGGTATTTAGACATCACTGATTAATGCATTCCCAAAGAGGATTGATAGGCAGGCAGCCGGTCGTAAAAACAATAAGCCAAAACTATTCACAACATGTAACGCAGACCCTGGTTAAAGCTGGGAAATTGCCAGGTAGAAGAAGAAGATATAAGAGCATCAGTTCCTTTCCAAAAATATGTAAATCATTTCGTTTATACGATTACTCGATTGAGTTCTTCAAACGAGTAATACCTAATTATTTAATGACAGTTAATACGTTGGTTTTATTTAAATTCTAATAAAATGGTACATGATAATGGTATATGATAATAAGTAACGCTAAGGATCATTATATTACAAACAAGTATGCAAAATAATGTAAGCTTAGAGCGATATTCCAATATATCTCATATCATATCGAATTATGCAGCAGCGATGCATAGTAATCGAAAATATGATAGTGAGAAACTTTAGTGTGAGTTGTACGTGTAACGAGAATACTTACAGTTTATATTATTCCGTTCATTTAGTTTATAAAGATTCTTTATTTTTATAAATTATACGTGAGTTTGTAAAACGGGCATTTTATGTATTTGTTTAGTTAAAATAAATAATTGTACGTAATTATATGTACTGTAGTATTAACTGCTATATATTTAATCCTTATTATGATATTGAAATATGAACATATGGTCTGTTGTCAAAATAAGTAGACAATTGTATTGAAGATTGAGAGTATAAGAAGGCATGAGATCTGAAAGTCTTTTCAGTAAAAAGTCACCATACAAAATACTATTTGACATAATATTACTTCTTCTTCAGGGAAAGCACCCAATATACATATTAACTACCCAGGCTACAACGTGTCAACTCATAAAAATATTTATTCGTTCTAAAGCTTTACTAGTTAACATTTTCATTATTAATTTTCAATAGCAAGTTTTCACATAATCTCGATTCAGTACAATCCCAACACCTTCCTGGTCGAATCTAATTCATTTTGTTATTAATGTTTCTATAGAAAGTAATTAATTTATATTCTTATACAATTTTAGTTGCGTTGCGTGTGCGTGGAAATGCAATGCAACGCGTTTTATTTGTGAATTCGGGTTTACGTCAGAACCAGCGATGCGAATATTCGTTCAGGCGGAACACACGGAACACTTTCTTTGGTAATCGGTAATTGCATAAATGCGTGTGCCAAATGTTATGTGTGCGTAACAGTTTTCGCACAATATTTTGTAAAAAGCGAATACATATATTACATAATGCGTAATATTTTATATAAAAAAGCAATATACCAAACATATCTATACTATTTATTACAAAATATAAATTGCATACCCCTTAAATGTGTTGTTAACTAAATTATATAAATATGTCTTACTTACTATTGTTTGTATATAAACAATGGTTCAAACAAAGTTTAAACATATAATAATTTAAGATTATTGTTGAATAATCTTCATAAATGTGATTGTTTGAGGCATTTTGTTTTACACATACAGCATACAATGGCATAATACCTTTAGGTCATGGTTGCTCTTTGTTTAAAAAAAAAAAGATGTGCAATTTAACCTGTCATTATGGGTGTTCATATTTTACAATAATTTAAAGTTTGTCCTCTCATATGGGATGATAACAACTCGAAATCATCTTACGCACTTATAAGGAATAATTTCAATTAATTTTATACATATACTTGCAACACAGCATTCTTTCGGGTTCTTCGAATTTTTTTTTAAATATTGGTTGCGCCTGTTTATTTTGTTAACTTGATTTTCTAGTTTAAACCTACTGTTACGTAGTATATAAATAAATCGCCTTTGTACTGAATCGAAGAAAAATTACACGTTCATTCAACACAAAATTCGTTACAAAAACATGAATTAAAAAATAATTATTAATTTCAAAATTTTATTGAAAAAAAATAGTTATGGAAAACCGAATCAATTTCGTTTCAAAACAATCAAAGATATAAGAAAGTTAGGTGTTTATTTCGAAAAAAATCCATAGGAACTTAAATCAACATTAATTTTTTTCCATGTATTGTTCCCCGTCTTCAAAAACTGACTTAATCGAAATAATAAATACATCATATGTTTGATACTCTCAAGTTGTCTGTTTAGAAATCAACTCCATTTTAACATTACTACGATAAAACGGTAAATCAACAAACGTTAAGTACATAAGAACGCATTCCATACTTGAATAGCATTAAAAATATAATATAATATCCTATAGTAACGTTATGTAGCATTTTACAGCCTAGCCAGAAAAATTAATTTAAATAACGTAGGTACGTAAATTCATTTCAATTATTCGATCTCATTGATATCCAATTTTCGGTTTTGTTGCACTTTAAAGCTTAACCATTACAATTTTATCATTTCAAACGATAATTCAATTACGAAAAACCTAGCCTTTTGTTGCGTAAAATATTTAAAATGTACATAGCTATCAGTACAGCCACACATAATTTAAATAATTGACAACAGATACGTAATTGATCTCATAGTGACACAATTAACGTATTCAGTTCAATAAATTGAGCCAATGTCAATCGCTCCGTACAATAAAAAGTTCACATCGGTTCAGACATTTAAACAATACAATGTCGATTGTTTTAAAACGTACACAATTATATTTCGTAATTACAAAAAAAATGTCAAGTAAAAATGACAGTCACAATTGATCAATATAATTTGATATTTAATTTTTTTTTAAATTTTTACGTTCAACACATAATTCCTAATAATTCAAAACATTAAAATCTCACTGGTCATTTGTTATAAATAGTCTAGATGGTAATTAACAATCAATCATTAACTAGTTCTATATATATTTACCTATTTAATCTGTAATACATTTATAATGTTGTGATGAATTTATTGTTTACGAACGGCCTCTAAAACCGGACGTTCAAAAATTGAAGATCGTTTGTCTTTTTTTCTATATTAGAAACAAACGAAGCAAAACCGTAATTTGGTAATTTATTCTATCGTACTATGATATTAATTTTAATAACTATACAAATTGAATTCGTATTATTAACATAAAAAATATTAAAACTGGCATCTACTAATTATAACCTATATTGGATAAATAGAAAAAAAATGAAAAACATGTTGATAAGTTTCTAGAGCATAATGATATCCTTTAATGTACATATATATATAACACAGATCATATAATTTTTACTGCTATTAAATCGATATAATTGTTTATTATAAAGTCAACATATAATTGTAATATAAAATGACGTGTTAAAAACTTTATATATACGTTATAATTAATACGATGTTCGTGATATTTATCATTAAAATGACACAGTAATACAATAACAAGACGTAATTCTATCCTATGAATATTTTACCTTGTGTGTATTTCGTCTGTGTGTAATAAAACCATTAAAAACATACAAAAAATATATGTTTTGTTTCTACTTAGTTGTGTGGCCAAAACAACAAATTTTAGTGAAGAATCTGGTAACAAACAGTTTTTTGTAACTGGTACATCGATGTTTTTTTGTCAAAATTTTTTGTTGTATGATTCAATACGATTAATGTATTTCCATAGGCTGATATTTAATAGTAAATAACTATTAAGATTTAAGGCTTTCTGTAAGATTTTTAGAGAACATAATCTTCTGCCATCAATTTTGTTTATAATTTTATAAGTTAAATATTCCCTATACCAACTTATATTAATTAGGATACTCTGTGCTTTTGTGCTTGTTTTATCTTTGACCAACTGTCAAGGATCATATTATTATCATTAATTAATTTATACTTGACATATTTGCATTGCCTTTCTGTGAACTTTAAAGGAAAGGGCAGTGATAAGTTCTCGATAAGGGTTAATTGTGTCATTACATTTTATTACATAAAATATAAAAACTTTTTGTGTTTCCTTTACATATTGTTCAAATGATTTTACAGTACTTCATCCGTAGCGTGACCAGTACGTGTAACTAGCGCGTAACTGGTCCTATTTCCTTGTTAGTGTATCATTTTATGAATGCAATCGCTATTATTTTATCATTATTGTACTTATTTGGCAGCATTTATGAAATATTATGAAGCCTTGCTACGCTGAACTTATAAATTATACCTAGTTATTGTGGCAAAATAGACGAAAAGAAAAATAAAGCAGTTGAAACTTCAATTTAACTTTCCTGCAAATATTTTTGCTTTATGCAAAATCTATCCCTCTACATTCCACTATCGGCTGTGTTGACACACGTAAAAAAAAACAAACAAAGCCAAAAGTGAAAACATGTCGACGCTAGCGTTCGAAATTCGAAAATGTGTTACATTTACTTTTGGTAGAAAGTTAACATTAAAGCATATATGCACAACGCTTTTATGCCAAAATAATAAACATAATAAAAAAAACATGACTCAACAAAGTTAGTTTTTTGTATTACCTTAACTTAGGTTAACCTTCATCGTGGTTCATTTTATGCTGGACATTTCGAACATACGATCTCAAACTTGGGGTCCCTGACCGCTGAGCATACCAAATATTTTTTTCAATATAATACAGCCTGTATGAAGGTGTATACAAAGACTTTTACGTTTAATCTTAGTACATTGTTATTAGGTCGTCGGAACAAACTAACGCTGTAAAGTCCGGTATTTTAAGCTAAAATACTTCGTCATTTTCTAATACTGGTCATAAAGTTTTACTTCTTACAAGTGTGATAATTTCAACTATGGAAGCAAATCTTTAATTTTTACTTTGATTAACCTTTTTTAAATATATTATAATACATATAAGAACATCTTGTTATCATTTTCAGATCAGTTAGAGTTTGTGTTGTTAACTCCATACAGATTGTCTAACATTTTTTTTATATAAATTACCAGTATATAAATCAGATAATTTATAAATAATAAAGCTTAATAATTAGTTGAAGACGAAATCTCGCACTAAGGGCCGTACGGCGTTTTTGTGTCTTGGAAAAGAAAGTTCGATGAAAGTTCTGGACATAAAAATTTAAACACATTTCATTAAAACATAAACAAGAAGGTTATACTACAAGCTGGTGTACGAAACAACTATTACAGACACATATTATAAATATAATTAAAATACATATTACAAGTATATATATTCATAAAATCGCTACAGCCATGCGTAAGAGTCACTGGGTGACCAAAAAATAACATGCGAAGTATTCTTACCGTGAATAAAAAAACCTCGCGGCAAGATCGAGTCCACTAACGGTACTTAACACTATAGCAACGGCTGAGGCGTGTGCGTTGTTTGACACACAGCTTACGACTGTACAACTAAACCTTATACAAATGAATGCCGGAATAAAAAGTTTACTTTCTATCATCCGATTCGCGGATATCAGGTGCGGTGTGGACGTCTTCGTACGCGATTTATGGGAATTAGGAAGTGTTTACACTGCGGTCCATACTTCAACGCGGTCTATACAAGCGTACCTATTGTATGAAAAGTCTTCACATAGAGATCTACCAATGTATACTTTATAATATAAAAGCAGTAGTAGTAGTTTGTAGTTATCTTTTTTTTAGGATAACATGTAACTTAGCTTAAAATCTTCAAGGTCAAATCTGTAATGTTTGTGATGGGACCTATTTTGATCAAGTCTCATTAAAGCTATTGTCGTTAATTCAGTGAAAGTCATCGGCGCTGACAGCACATGAAGATTAAAATATTGGTGAAAAGAAATATCTCTTAAAAAGTTGATATGATAATAAAAAAATACAATTATTTTTTTGTATTAAACAATTTCATCCAAAACATTGATATTGAGATTACAATAAAACAATAAACAAAAGAAAATATATTAAAATTAACAATTAAAATTATAATTATTTTCTTTATTGATTCATCATATAATTTTGTTTCGTCTTTTGTATAAAATCTCAAAGATGGAGTCACAGAGAAAAGTAAAAGATTGTAAGTAATGACATGACATTAAAATAAAAATAAACGTAAAAGAATATAATTTATTATCATCTGTAAGCTGTTAACGACTTGCTAGAGAGAAAGATTTATTTGAATATTTATTATATAAATAATATACAGCACTAAAAATATGCTCATCTGAACATAACGACAAATAAAAGAGTAATATATAAATTATAATATTTTTGTTGCGAAAACACATATATATATACATGTAATATAAAATACAAGTAGTTGGATTTCGTAATAAAATTTAACGTTTTATCGTAACTATAAAATATTATATGAATATTCAGCTGCAAATAATTTAAAACTTTTACATTGATTTATATTGTTAAGATGAGGTATGCTTGGATAGCGTTATTTGTTTGTGCGAATTCCTTTTATTTGGCAGAATGTTTTATACCGATGCTAACTGTCCGATATGGTAAGAAAATTTTGAAATTTAAAACACTTCATAATCATTAAAATACGCAATTAATCTCATCACTCTAATCATAAACAGAAAATGTTCATACTGTTTATAGTAATATTTTTTGCAGTGGACCAAAAACTTATCGATAGAAAAAGGCAGGACACTTTAGAAATTTGTCGATTATTTAACCAAGAAACAAAGTACCTTGAATCCGTCAACGCCACGAATTATACAATAAATAATTCAAGTAATAATAGATCTAAAAGAGAGATAAGGGCAGATGTAGATAACCCTTTGTTAAAAGATGAAGATATAGAAAGAGTGGAAAGTATAGTTGACAAAATATACGACGACATGGAACAAAATGGCAACCGAGTGACCTACAGGCGAAGATTAATTAATGAACAGGTAATATACGTTAAATCTTTACAAAACTTTTACATTTCAGTCATTTCTAGCAGTCTTTAAACCTCTATCATATTATAGTACTCCATTTGTGAAATCTTTTAGCAATTTTGACAATATTACTCTCTTCGTATATGTAACAGATATTAAAACATTTGTAAAAAATATATTAATATGTTGTAAAGGATAAGAAAAATATAGAAAGCAGAAGATTTAATTTTGCACCAGCTGAACTACTTGGTCCCGACCCAGAGAAGCCAGACCATAAAATTTTGAATAGGGATGAGGTTAAAATATCTTGGATTAAGAAATGGAAGCATGGCATTGTACCGTTTTTTATAGATCCTAATACTTACGGTGAGTATAACAAAATAAGGGAACAAGTTGAAATGTATAGACTGTAATAATAAACAAGGCACGAATATTAAGACTAAACGTTTTAAGATTTGAGAATTTTTTACAGGCAATTTAAGTAACGATTTAAGAATCTATTATATCAACGACATAATTGAATAAAGCGGAATAATTTTACATATTAGTTTAAAATAATCGAATTATAGAAATTATGTTAAGATAGAACAAAACTTATTATGCATTTTTTTATATTAATCATTTAAATGATTTTTTTCAAAAATAGAGGAGCTTTTCAATTCGTCTGTATTTTTTAAAGCTTCACGTATCTTGATGGCTTTCAGATAAATTACTGATTTTAATCAGTCCTCTGCCAATACAGTGCAGCAAAAATCACACCTATTTCTGTAACTTTTACGTAAATAAAAGCAAAACAAACTTTGTAACAAATCCTAATATATCAAATGTATCACTTTAAACTTATGTTATAGATTCTATATTAGCCGAAACAATTCTGAAGTCTTTTGAATATATTGAGAAAGTGACTTGCATCCGTCTGCAAAGACTCCGTGAGAGACCGACTGATATGCAGTCGTTGCAGAATGTTGAATGGTTGTACATCAGCAACCCTTTAGGGTTACGACAATGTGTTCACAGCAATGAACGGAAACCAAACTCAGGAGTTCAGGTGAGGTGGAATAAGAACTGATTCAGATAATAACATTGATATTAGTATTGGAAAGTATTGTATTGTATTTTGAATTATGTACCTTACATATGTAACTTCGAATGAATATATTTGAACACAAATGTTCTTATTAACACAAGAAGTTGCTTCCAAGGATAGAAGTATACTTTGACGTAAGTTGATCCATGCTTTTCAGATGGTAGTTTTTGGATATGACTGCTTGTCGCAGGGTGAAGTAGCCCACGAAATAATGCACGTTTTAGGTTTTTCTCACGAACATACACGGTCTGATAGAGACAAACATATAGACATCTTATGGGACAACATTAAACCCGGTACTTTTTTCTTAATATAAAATATTGGAATTATAAATAGGTGAAATTTGAATAATAACATTGGTGAAATTTATCTGCCACACAAATGTGGTATTTTTAAATAACTGTATTGACAATACAGTGTAAACTCTATATAACGACACTGAAGGGACCGTGCATTTTAGTGCGTTATAGAGAGTTGCCGTTAAATAGAATGAACAAAAATCAGAATTAGAAAAAGACAAAGTTTATTTCAGACTGGTGTTAGTACTTAAGTACATAAAAAAGAATGTTATAGTTTGAGATTTTGTGAGCAACTTTTTATGTTAAGGTATAGGTAATACAAGACTTCCTACTTGTGGTCAAAAACCGTCGACACGTTTAAGCAATTTGTAATTGTAAACAAAAGAACGAATTTCTTAGAAAGTTCGGTATGCATGATTAGGACAGTCGAGTTTATTGCGGGCTAGGATAACAAAGCGACAAAGGAACGTACACAGCTGCACAGTTTTTACTAATTTTAGCAACTTCAAAGGTACTTTTTATTACTTAATTGTTGTTGTTGTTCGTTATTGAGAGTGGGTGTGCCGCTATGTAGAGTGTATCATTGTATGTTAGACAAGCGAAACCAACCAATGCCAAATGATTTCGACGCTTTAGAGAGTTTGTCGTTAAATCGAGTGTCGTTATATAGAGTTTACATTGTATATTAAAAATGCCAATTCATAAAAAAGACGAAATTTTTTGAATTTGTGTGGCGCTAAAACTGATCTAATATCCTCAAATCCTTAAATAATGTGAGTCGGTAATTAAATTTAAGGATGTTTATAAACTTCAAGCGCTAAATCAAAGGTACTTTTAGGTTACAAGAAATATTTCGAAATAAGAAAAGATGATCCACTCCTTGTTTTACCATATGACTACGAAAGCGTCCTTCATTATCCATCAAGGGCATTCTCGAAAAATGGCCAACAGACACTTAAAACGCAAGTTTGTATTATATATTATTATTAATATTCCATTATACATTGCATTAAATTTCAGTGATTTTATTACCCATAAAAATATGTATTGTAAAAAAAGACTACATTTTTATCCCAAAATGCTTTCAAAAACATACAATGAGCACACGTACAAAACTTTTGTTTTCGGTAGGCGGCAGTTAAAATTGGCCAAAGAGAAGCTCTTAGCGCATTGGATGTAGAAAAAATTGGTATGATATATGGAGCTGAATGTGTAGATCGTAATAAAGATTATTTGACGAAAACATGCCCGAGTGCAATGAACACAAATCTCAAATCTGTTGTTGCAACACAGGACGAAATTGATAAATACTTCGAAGATAGAATCTGGCCGTACGCACTTATTAATTACAAGATACGAAATAATATGGAATTTAGTAAGTATTTATATTTTTTATAACTTCAAAGTAGGATTGCTTAAATTCCAACTATACACTTCTATTATGTGTGCCTTAAACCTAATTCTTTCCTTATTATTATAAATTATGTCTTAAACTTAATTTAGAATATTTTTAATATTAATCCAACTTAATGAGCTTTGAAACATCACACTTTTCATCATCTTAAAATCCCTCCTACAAATTCTTTGAATTCACAATAATCCTTATCTAAAAAGGTTCAATGAATTATTTTCCTCTTGATTAAAAGTCACTTATGTATTTCATATACCAGCCGCTGAAGAAAAAGATAACATAAAGGCTGTTCTAAAACATATTGAAAGGGAAACTTGCATTGAGTTCAGGGATGTATCTGTAACCGATGAGAGTTTAGACAAAGATGACGATAATTATGTAGATCATGTGCCTTTGAATGAAACGGAACATGTCAGCAAAAGAAATGTAACCGAAACAGCGCAGAGTAATGAAAACACGACAGTTCTCGCCGAAGATGAGGAATCTACCAAGAATCCTGAACATAAAATGACACATGTAACTGAAGACACCATCACTGTAATGCACATTCTGAGACACAGAAACGATGGACCTTTAAAACGTGCCCATAAAAAAACAACATCTAAAATAACAAAGCGTAAGTATTTTACATGAAATCGTCATAGAATAAAATTATTTGTATAATGCCAACTAAATTTTGTTTCTCCGTTTAGACACTGCGAAGCGTCATGGCAAAAAAATGTCACGTAGTAGACCATCGAGAAGACATTCAAACAATATATTGATCTTCCAACGGTCTTCTCAACCGGGGTGCGATTGCCCTACACCTGGACGGCCTAATGGAAAGACGGTATCAACAAAAAATAATCTCAAACTAAAATTTCAAATTAAATTTTATAAAGGCTCTATCATTTTCAATCGTTATTATTTTACGAGCGTATTCTCAGTCTACATTATCCCATTCAGGTACTGAATTTGAATGCAGACTGTTTCAACTCGGTCAATGATTTACTTCATGTATTCGTGCACGTATTAGGTTTGGACCACCAACACAATATGTACGACAGAGATTCCTATTTACACATTCTATGGAATGAACTCACTCCAGGTTTGTATGATCATTGTTGTCACGTTTAAACACTAATATAGAGTAACAAAACCATAGATTATAATACCTACCACAGATATATTATTATTATTATTATGATTTTTTAATCTTTAATTTTACAATAATCTGTCAAAAAGACGTGTGTTACATTAAAACCTTCACGTTGCAAGTCAACGGTGACCACTCAATATCTTAATAGACGGAACTTACCCTTAATAAAAATAATACTCAATAAAGGAACCAACGTTATTATTTTTAATAGCCACTGACAATATTTTTTCTATCAAACGACAGCAATAATTGCTTTATTACATAGGAACTATTAATTATTTATCATAACGAATCATTTCATCGGTAACGTCACGTTGAATAAATAGCGTTAATAATAGCTTATAGCACGCCAGCGTGGCTTGAGTTAACTCTATATATCATAACATAGAACTTGACATCTTTCATACTTGAAGAATAATTTTAATTACGCATAAAATTGTCTTACAAGCGATTAAAATTTTAATCCTCACGGTATAAAATAAATAAGATTTATTAAAATAATATTCTCATGTTTTCATTAGAAGTAAAACAAGATATGGAAAAAAAATTGCCACCTGCAGCTTCGGTGGGATTTCCATATGACTATCAAAGTGTCATGCATTACCCGTGGTTACAAATAAAAAATGGCACCACCAACATCATGTACCCTGTCTGGGTGAGTTATTTTTGTTTTTAATAAATTTTATTCATAACTTCCACATACGAGTATAATATAGTTCGGTCAATATAGAAATTTAAAATAACAAAAATTGCCGGAAAGCCAAATATTGAATTGGAAAGTCAAATTGGTGGAGTTCTGCGGTCAAAGGTCAAAAGAGGTTTTTTGGATTGTATTCGAAAACGATAAGTTTTAGAGATATAGAACTATTTTTACGATAAGTAATAGAACTATTTTTATGTCTTCAGAATTGATTTCGGAAAATAAGAAAATGTATTTCTATACAAAATTATATATGGTATGCAATGTCTTCAATGAAAAAAAAATGGATTTAAATAAAAATTATAGCCGACATGTTATTTCCTACGTTTAATGATATTATGCTATGTTTCTTTTAAACTTTTAAAATCGTGTCATTTTCCTATTCATACAAGTAATAAAGACTTTGTATTTTATAACATCAATGGGTTTTATATGTATAAATATTTATTAATTTCAGAACGACGGTTGGGCGATGGGACATTGGCAAGGCTTAAGTTTGACAGATGTTAATAAAATAAATTTTCTTTACAAACACGAGTGCGGAAAAAGACGACAAGAAGCTCAAAAATAATGTTATTGTAAAATAAATGATGGATATGAAATTTATAGTTTCATTTATTCAAAATGAATTAAACTGTGTTTATGATACTTGTTATAGATTATTTGAAAATGAGCTTTTCTCAAGATATTAACCCAGTTTCACCAATCAATGTTAAAGTTTCACCAAAAACCCGCCTCTCATGTATGAGGACGCTTGTTCGGAACCTGGCAATTACCACCACGCGCTAATGTCTGTTTAAATGTCTTAACAAGGCATTAATATTAACTGCTGTTCTAGAGATCCGTCAAATGCCTTACGGACTGTTGTATGATCAAAACTCAAATACCCAATCGCACCCCTGATTTTTGTAGCCATACTAACGGCATCTGTTTTATCAGTTGTCGACTTTTTCCTTGTATTAATTAAAAAGATTTGACATTGCAAATTAAGTTCTCTTTCCATCTCTTATAACTTGAACACAATTTATTTACAACACAATCTTGACAGGTAACACCTAGTAAACTGAAAAGTAAGCTTTCAGTGTGAGAATGTGCAAGTGTGCAATCAACGATAAATTAAATATGGAGGGATATATACGATCAAGGGATGAAGTGGTGGATTATAGCAGACATGTATTAAACGTGATTATTTTTCAATTTGGTCGTCTTATAACGTGAACGAATAATTTGGTTGTAGCTCATTTAACTTGACATTTAATAATGCGTTGTTAATTTTTCATCGTGGAACGTAAATATTTTAACTGACAATTATATTTTTGAAGGTTCGTTAGTAAATGCCTCGTTTAGATTTAACAAACAGAGTTTGGTGAAACTGGGCCTTAAAGTTGGAGTTTAAGTCTAGCAATAATATTTTTTCTCTCCTTTTTCTGACTTCTCAAGAGGAGTACTAGTAAGTAAGGAGAGGAGCTTGGATAGTAGAGGTGAGCGTATAACGCGCGTTAGATAAGGGCCCCTTAAACCTACACCTGGGTCACAAGTCCCAGGCACTGTTGAAGCTCCTCTCCTTGCAACGCAATGGCCCCGGCACCCTCACGGTGAATTCATGGAATGCTGAGAAGTTTCGTCTCTGAATGTAATCATTAATAAATTTTGTTTTATTTAAAAAAAATATGAATATAATGGCAAAGTTTTTATTAATCAGTATAATTATCATAATTTAAATTGATTCCAGAATTCATTTTCTTTTCCGTTGCGGAATCCGATTCCGTCAACTGATTTACGTTACCGGAACTCGCGTCAGAGTTTGCCGTAGCTATGACTCCGATTACTGCAGGAACATATCTTTTTTCTGTTTTTTCTTTTGAATCATCAGTATTCTCGTTATCAGTATGAGCATTTTTCATCCTTGGAGTGTTATCCTCTTCTGTGTTTTTTGTTTCTTCAACGTCATCATTTTCCGCAAGTTTCGTTTCATTTCCGTGTAAGTTTTTCCCTGTAGCATTTTCATCTTGCTGATCCTCATTTTCATCTTGCTGAACATCATTTTCATCCTGTTGATCCTCATTATTAGAATTATTCTCTTCTCCATTAAGATTTTCTGCTTCTTCTTCTGGTTCTTCACCTGTTTCACCCTTTTCAAGCTTATTAGCTTCCTTCGTAACATTTTTTCCCTCATTTTCATCGTTTTCATTATTATCATCACCTTTTTCTCCTGTAACATTATCTTTATCCTTTCGCTTCTCACGTTTTTCATCACTGGCCGAATCTTTTTTACTCTTTAAAGACATTTTACATGTTTCCATGAGGGAAACAAATTTCCTCTTATTACATTCGTGTCCAAAATATATATGTAACTTCATTTTGTCCAACTGTGATAAGCCCTCTGAAGGCGAAATCCTTAAACCTGTCTCCTACAAAAATGATTGCATAGAAAAAAATTTTCGCCGATGATCTAAGAACATTGCAAAATTTGAAGTTTATAAAATATTTTCATTAATTTGAAAGTTACCAAAGGTAGGATTGTTGCTTTGCCATTAATGCTGAAAGCTCGATCGTGGAAATGCATAATACTCAATGGGTCGTACTCAACTATGCCTCTAGAATTCTCTACTGGTTGGGTACGGTATAGGTGTCTATAAGCTGTTAAAATATTTAAAAATTTAGGCTATTTTGCACATAAAGTGCTCCTAGAACAGTAGTAAAATTACCAAGAACTTAAGCAACGTCATTCACAATTTTAAATTCATTAATCTAAACGTATTTGCATTTATATTATTCGAAACTAATTACATGATGGCTATTTAAAATTTAAATTTTATCGCAACTATACGTTTTTTTATAATAAACTTTAGAAGTCTATCTATGAGTGAATTACGAAAATAAGTATTATCTGTATGTAAATTATAACCTGTAGGACATTATATTCGCTTATATGCTATTTCAAATAGCGAATTATTGCACGTTTACCAATTAACAGATTCTAAATATTACCAGGTTGTATATTCTCCCACACAATTTTGACATAGTTGTCTCTGTGAGGATGCGTCACTTCGTCCTTCAACCCAATACCGTGGAGCAGAGAATGTATCAAATCTCTGGATTTAAGGCAGTCATAACCAAGTACTAAAACCTACAAAAATGGATTTATTAACAAGATAATAATTTTATATTAAAAAAAGATTTCGTACACTAAATGATCGGGTTACGATATAAACTCTATACACTTCATTTTTCTTTATCACGATGATCCAAAAAATTTCATTCAATGTACTACATCGAAATTTAATTTGACAATGACATTGAAATAGTCATACTTAAATTAAAAAAAAAACTGTATAGTTATTTCTTATTGATGGCAATTTCTAAAAAAAACCATGTAGCTACAGAAAAGGTGTTGCTATCGTCAAACTATACACTGCGTCTTTCCTTCATATTATTAAAAAGTTATTTTAATGGACGAAATACGAAGCTCTTAGCTTGATGATTCAAATTAAAAGACATACTGCTTACAATTTCACCATTTTCCAGGATCTCGGGTTCGTGGACACATTCTCTTTTCTTTTTTGGGTTCGTGATGTGTAGCCATGTGTCATTGCCGTTTGGCTTATCCTTGGCTGCCTTGAAACGTATACAAGCTGACGATTCCAAAACGCTCATCGCAGCGCGTATAAGCGCATGGATAGATGAATCTATTGAAAAAACATTAAATTAATGGTTAAATTTTAGACTATAAATATTATGTGGATATGAATAACTTTTTACATTTCACTTAAAGTTTACATACAGTAATTATATGTGTAATTTTCAATGAATAGCGCTAGAAAAAAATGCAAAAAAGGAGATTCTCTATTCAAATAAAACAAAAAGAAAACGTTTCAAAATTAATTAAAATTCTAAGAGATAACAATTTTTATTTCAATTTCTAACTACGCAGCAGTTTTTGAAGTAAAATAATCGGTTAAGTCAAAACTATTATTTAAAATTATATTGATTTGACAGATTACAAAGATGTGATAGGTAAACCAAGTTAATATACGTAGTAGCAAACTATAATTCTATTTTTACTTTAATCTCTACCGTAAAAACAAAGCAGTTAATAAAAATAATAATCGAACCATAACTCTTTTCTTCCACATAATAATTTATTATTCCTTCAGGCCAATTGCTTGTAATCTCTTCTTGTATTTTCTTTACTTTTTGATCTCGTGCAATGCTGACTAAATGAAAATAAATTAATTTTCTTAACGTTGAATAATTTAAAATAAATCGTATACAACGTGAAACTTACCGTATGGAGCTTGAATAAAAGCTGTAAAAGCATTATTTAAACATATTATAAATTTCTGAAATACTAATTAATAACTTCCAATGCAATCATTTAAAAAGGCATTGTTAGGGTACTACTCTGTATGTTTTAACTAAGGAAACAATATAATCGAACTACACTTACCAGATTTACTTCCATCTTTATAATTTTTTAATGGAGGCTCCAGATCATATGCAAATAATTCTAGATTTAATAAATTCAATACGAACAATTTCAATAAAAAAGTCATTGCTATCAAATACTTATATGTGTAATAATTTAGACCTGAGTAGAATATGGCGCAACAAATATTTATGACTAGCTATTCTGATAACAAGCTTTATTTCTAAAAAGTAACTATTTCAATACATAATAAGATGTAGAACAAAATCCAGAGACGATTTCTTGCCAACGAAATGTCTTTTTTAGGTTCCTTAATTTAAGAAGTCCTAAAAAATTAAAATTATGTAGTAAAAATAGGGGGCAAAATACTTTAAGCAAGGAGATTTAGGATTGTTTCATCGATTCTTATTGATTGGCCAAATTTATCATTTTTCTAGGAAATACCGAATATTAAAGTATTAATAAAAATATTTCCCATTCAAATAATTTATTAGATCGAATTTATTAACAGAGTTTTCTCACTTTATTTTTAAGTATAAATCAAATCATTTGAGATTTTATTATAATAATCTTTTATGTTCAAAAAAGGGTATTAAAAACAAACCTTTCATTTATTGACCAATCAGATACATCCACGGCAAACACTTAAGCCAATAGATTCTACGTAACGTTCATTCAAAAAATATGTTTTATCTTCAATAAAGGAAGACTTTGTTTTAAAAGAAAATAATTTTGATTCAAACATTTAATTTAAACCATCTTAGCTTCTGATACAAATCTGATAGTTTTTTGCATATTTTTATCATTTCATTTCGAAATTAAAATCTTATGACGTTTTATATCGGAACAACAAATTTGAATCTGGTTGTTTGCTTACACCGGCTGTCAGTTGTCAATATAAATGCGATACGAGTGAGCGAGCACCTCAGTAAAATAAAATAATTAGAGATATTTAAGTGGATTATTGATTGCCACAAACGCGTTTTGATTCCTATAGCTACCTTATAATATTGACTATTATTTAAAGTAATTTGAATATCATTTATGATGAGGGGTTTAATATTTCTAGCTTGTGTTATTCTTGTAGTTCCTTCAACGTACCAAGAATCTTTAGGCGGCTTGGTAGAGTTAGATGAAGTAAGTTTCAACAAATTAGTGCCTAAATTCGATGCCACAGTAGTTAAATTCGATGTGGCTTATCCTTACGGTGATAAGCATGACACCTATGTGGCATTATCTAAGGAATCAAAAGACGTAGATAATCTGTTATTTGCACAAGTAGGAGTAAAAGATTATGGAGAGAAAGACAACGAAGCATTCGCTAAGAAATATGGTGCTGATAAAAACAACTTCCCTGTTGTTAAACTGTTCCTTAAAGATAAAAGCAAACCAATAACTTTTGAGGACTCTGAAGAATTTACAATTGATCGATTACGCCAATTCGTTCGAGAAAAGAGTGGAATCTATCTCAGTCTCCCAGGCTGTATAAGAAGTTTAGATTTATTGGCTATTAAATTCAAAAACTCTGATACTGAAAAAAGGAAGAGCATTGTGAAAGAAACTGAGAATGTTCTAGAAAACTTGTCAAAGGAGGTAAGCTACTAATATCTCTCTTTACATGAGCATATTTATTTATATCTGTGATTTTTATACTGACTTTGAATACTTCATAGGTGGCTGGCAATGGAAAGATCTACAAAACCATAATGGAGAAGATATTGGAAAAAGGTGATGACTTTATCCAAACAGAAATAACAAGAGTTAATAAATTACTTGCTGGTAAAATAAGTAATGAGAAAAAGAATGAACTAAGCCAAAGAATTAACATCCTTAAATCATTTTTATTACCTCTCAAGAATTATAAGGAGGAACTGTAATAATAAATTTATTACATTGAAGTGTTTTGCAGTGTGAAAAATTTTTTCTGTAACTATAAATTGCAAGTCTTAAGCACTGTTTTGTGATAGAGGCACATTCCACAATATTGCAATGAATATGGTTTCTATTTGCAATTGATTCAATAAATTGTGTGTGGTTGTAATGTATCTTTTTTTTTATTGCCAATGAGAAAAGATATGTATTGTTAATGAACACAACTTGATAGTATTGTATCAGACATTTCAGGACAGGACAGGACACAGGAAGAAATTTAATGAAATTTTATCATCAAAATTAATTCATTTTTTTTAATAATATTTTATAAATGACTACACAATTTATGAAGAAGTGTAATTTATTACAAATCTTATGAATGTATCTCAAAATATCTCATGTTCCACACATTTCTTCAAATCCATCATCAGCAATTTTGACTAATGTTAACAAATTAGTTAAACTGTAAATATGTACTAACTATTAATGTATTGTAATAAGAAAAAGAAAGAATTTAAACTATACTCTATCCTTATTTTATGTCTAACAAAATAGATTGAATCTAAACTAACTAGTAAAAAATCAACATACAAAATATAAAGAAAAACTAACACTTCATATTAGCCACAGCATAGAATCAACAAACATTCTTGGTCTTGACAAGAAATGTTTAAAAAATTGGAATACTAGTCCTTAGATATTTCAAAAGGATAGTTTAAATTATTATCTCATACATAGTATTGAGAAACAAATCACACAAATCTAAGAATCACTAGTAAAGTTTAGACTAATTAAAAAATAAAACTATGTCTCAGACTCTCTGAAATATTGACCTTTAGACTTTATACAGAAAAAAGAATGGAATTGTCTTAAATATAATTTTACTCTGTTTTTGCACTTTCCACTTTGAGTTCTTTCAATTTTAGGACAACTCCATCGGAATCTTGATCAGTTATTTTTTTGTTTTCATCATCCGGTGTTTTATCGGTGCCTTTGGGATCTGGTGTTTCTGTATCCTCACTTCTTGTGAAACTGCTCTCATCATCGGAAAACTGATCTTGGGTGTATAAAATGCATTTTGTTCTCACAATTTCTTGGGCCTCAGCAAATTTTGTTTTCCACAGCTCTGCATCTAGAGAGTAATGAATATTAGGACAAATATATAAAATTAATTATTATCATCATCATCAGCCTATCAGTCGCCCACTGCTGAGCAAAGGCCTCTTTCTCACATGGAGAAGGTTTGAGCATTAATCACCACATTTGCTCAAGACGGGTTGGTGATTATTAATTAAAATAAATACTCACTTTGCGGATTGCCGAATTTTATAGCAAGCATTTCCTGTTTACAAGTTTCATCAGCAAAATCAGCAAAAACTGACCAATTAAATGCCTTATCAGAACCGCAATGCACATTCATTCTTATGTCGGGGGTTATAAAGTGATTGGCGCAAACTTTCAAAGTCTTATCACGCCTCATAACTACCCTCACAGAATTATTGACAGTGTGACGTAGCAGTTTTATATCACCGGTTCCCCGTTCCTGAAATTAAATACATTTTCATATTAAATATATATATATTTAACTACACAAAACTTAATAGACCGTGTTGTTTCTTATCAGTACTCGACCAGCCATTAATTATACTAACAATTAAGGCAAACAAAAAATGGACTACATTGACCTTATTTTGATGTCTGGCAATTTAGATACTATCCAACACTATACATTGTGGTATATCAAGTTGTTATTTTTTGATATCACAATATAGGATCTGGATTCACCGATTATAATGAACTATACTAGTGTATCTGAATATCAATGTTAATAAATAAAACTGTTAAAATATAAACTACCCACATAAAATCAGTATATATTTACGACAGCCCAATAAAGAGTTATATTAGACCTCGGTATTCGCATTAATATAAACGAAAAGTTAAAAAAAAACTATTCAACATGCTGGTATGTATTTCAAAAATGGTTAATGATTCACCTTCCACTCATGATCTTGAACGTCATATCTGTAGAGTCTCGCTCGAATCTTCACGAGTTCCTCTTCTTCTTCCTCGTTCGTTGGAATGTCTACAAGCGGTAGAGAAACAATCGGCTCGTAATGCGGATCATGTTCTGAGGATTCAGTATCTTCGCTTTCGCTGTTGCGTTTTACGCTCTCCTCCTTCTAGATTTAAAAAAAGAACATTTAATTAAATCATGTGCTATTAAATTATATGTATTTGTTTCCTATTATTACCGGTGAAGCCATTATTTCTATGAACAGTTTAACTGTTTAACGCCCTGTTTAAAACAATGCGGTTTCGTTGTAACAATTGTCCTATTTGAAGGTATAACAAAAAATAATATTATAAAGAGTTATAAACTAAGTTGGTTAACTGTTGCTGTCTTCCACAGAAAATAATAAATTATTATTTTTAAGATAGATTAAAAAAGAAACAAAATTTAACGGATCGTACAGATAAATAATAGCACGTTTGTTATTTTTAAATTAAACAATGACAACACCTGTGAGAAAATAAATGTATGTAAATTAACTTGATACAAATATTATAATTATGTCCATACATTTTAATGAAGGGCCCATCTCATTTCCCTTAAAAAGGTAAACCCCTTTTTAAAAAGGCAGGTGATTTTTAGATTTCTTATATTATAGAACTTAGAACGAAATAACACATATTATAATAAAATCAATAATTGAACAGATAATAAATATGCATATTATTGTAATATCTTGTAATTCTGTAATGAGTAGGAAATATTTTTTCCTCTACTTATTATTTATGTGATTTATCATATATGGAATGTAGATAATATAATAGAGGCCATTTACTCATTTACCTTCAATAATTCATTTATAGTAAGAAGTTGGGACCTATTTCATGAATTAGTTATTATTTTGAATTTATTTTTTATAGAAAAAAAAGAAATGTAGAGGGTTTCCATCATTGGGCGAATATGGTGGATCCATATAATCGAGTCCGTCGATTCAGTTCGTTAAATCATTATCATAATCGAATGAAGAGTGTTACAATATCTCTTTGTTTTCATTGAATATTTTTCGTTTATTTTTACATTAGTGTTATTTGTGATATTTTTCTTATCTAAAAATTATATTTTAAACCTCATTATTTATAATATAATGGTAACGTAAATTATTGAAAAACACAACATTCAAAAGGATAATGTAAATATTTTTGTTCACATTAACAATAAAGTATATATAGATCATTAAAAAATAAGAAAGTATGATAAAATATTCAATTAATTATAAAACATATCTATTAAGGTCTTTAATGTAATAAATAAGCTTCCAAATGCAAGTCAACTAATTTGCACTTTTGTAGTTCTAGCTCCTTATTTAAATAGAATAAAAAGCTCTGTTCCTACATTTTGTAACTCCAACTTTCTTAAGCAAATTTAATCTGGTAATTTATTTATCAAGTGCATTGGCATTAATTTACGATTAATAATGAAATTAAAATCGATCTATATCGAGATATCATCATAATCGAACGATATGATTAATATACTTCATAATTAGCCTCCGCTACTTTGTTATTATAAATAATTATTAAGTAAAAAGTATACAGAAGATAAAAATTAATCAATATTAAGGAATAGAAACATTTTTTATTGTATTGGTTAACAGAAGTCAAGGAACTTTGCTAGAATACGACCTATTTTCCCGGTAGTTTATTTTGAGATTTCTTTTATTTTCAACGCTGTGCCGGATTAATACTCTACTAATTTTTCTAGAGCGGCTTCAATTTTTAAACATCCGGCAGTGTTCTATTTTTTATGAAAAAAGGTTTTTGACTCGGAGAAGTCAATCTTTAGTTAGTCATACATATATTGTACATTGAGACCCACCTACTTATTATTTAAAACAGCGTATTAAATAATATTATTATTATTTGAAATACAATAAAAACAAATAAAATTTTAGACGAGGGAAATATTTTTCCATAATACTGGGCAGAACAAGCAACAAGATTGATAGAAAAATGCAAAACATAGCGAAAATGATAACAGAGCAACTAAGAAATCCCAGTGAGTTAGATATCAGCTTAAGGATGGAATTTGGGCCATTTGAAACAGTTCATAAATGGAAAAGAATGTCTGAGTGTTATGAATTTGTAGGGGCGAGGTAAGCAGTGTCACAATAGTCATGCTGTGTATGGAATTCATCAAAATTATATCATTTAGGATTGTAATTTCTCATTTATATCTACTTCTAGGCGAAGTAAGCACACAGCAGTGGCATATAAAGATGCAATATATGTATTTGGTGGTGACAATGGGAAGTCCATGTTGAATGATCTGATAAGATTTGATATAAGAGAGAAATCATGGACTAAAACAGGAGGTATGGGGACGCCACCAGCACCGAGATATCACCACTCAGCCGTAGTAAGTAATATAATATGAGCAATACATACAGATACTTTATTAAGACAAAAGTAATTAATAAATAAACTAATACACTGCCTATTATTTAATGTATGTTTTTAACCATTTTTATTATGAACAGGTTCATAGATCTTCAATGTTTGTGTTTGGTGGTTACACTGGGGATATATTGGCAAATTCAAATCTTACAAATAAAAATGATCTTTTTGAATACAAATTTCAAAGTGCTCAATGGGTTCAATGGAAATTTACTGGCCAGTAAGTAAATATGTGACAGTAAGGAACTATTCTATTTTTGAATTTAATTTGCTGCCTGTGTTATGATTTGTATTGCTATGACAAACATTTAAATAATTAAGATGAAAAGGAATTCAAAAAGGTTCTATATTCTGTTAAGTATAGTTGTATTTTATTTTTATTGTGCACTATCCAAACTTTATATTTATATTACATAACTATAAATTATTCATATTTAATTGATATAACAAACAAAATATTGTTTTACATAAAACACTTAAATTATTCTTTATTTTTTATGAGAATTGCCCAAATCTAAATATTAGCAAGAAGAAATTATTTTTATATAATGTTAGTTCAAATTTTCTTTTCTTATCTCCATATAAAATTTTCTAATTCTTTTAACAGAGAGCCAGTACCTCGTTCTGCACATGGAGCAGCTGTTTATGACGATAAATTATGGATATTTGCCGGTTATGATGGTAATGCGAGATTAAATGACATGTGGACTATAAATCTAGTGGTAAATGAAAAAATACTTTATATACATAATGACTACAGTGAAAGGGATTCATTATTACTTTCTCGCAGGGTGAAAATCATCAATGGGAAAGGATAGAACAAAAAGGTGAATGTCCACCGACCTGTTGTAACTTCCCCGTAGCTGTGGCCCGTGGGAAGATGTTTGTTTTCAGCGGACAAAGCGGCGCTAAGATCACCAATGCACTATTCCAATTCGACTTCGAGACTCACACGTGAGATTCGATTGATCTGCAAACGATTTGTTACATTTGATTTTGATTGTATTAGTATTATTTAATAGGTGGAGTCGTGTGTGTACTGAACACTTGCTAAGGAGTGCTGGGCCGGCTCCCGCCCGACGCTATGGCCATGTGATGTTACACCACGCGAGACATCTTTATGTATTCGGCGGCGCCGCTGATAGTACTCTGCCCTCCGACTTGCACTGCTATGATCTTGACACTCAGATGTGGTGAGATATTTATGAGTAATACTTACATAAATGGCCACCTTGCACGCCGGCCTGAGAACTGCGTCGGAAAAATTGACCTTGATATGTCTGTCCCTAGAGTAAAACCCCTAGGACGCCAAAGAAGCGATAGCTGGATGGCTGAAGGCAGTCCCTGGCTAAAGCTGGGATAATTGCCAGGAAGAAGACTTACATACAGTTATATATTTTCCTCCCGTTTTGCTCAGGTCCGTTGTACATCCGGCTCCAGATTCTCAAATACCTTCCGGTCGGCTGTTCCACGCTGGTGCTGTGGTAGAAGACGCGATGTACATTTTCGGTGGTACAGTCGACAACAACGTTCGCAGCGGTGATCTGTATAGATTTCAAGTAAACATTACGAATAATTTAATTCAAAATAAACACCCACACATACATTTAAAAAAAGAATTAAACAAATATACATACATGGAATTAACTGTCTTCGAATCGTGTTTGAAGCAATCTTGCAGGGCAAAGGACGTGATTCGCTTCTAAGATCTGGTTATTCTCATTGCACTCTCTAACAATCTATGAATGAAATATCTATTCTATTGGTTTATAGATATCGTCATCTGATTGCATTTCCTGTATGAAATCGTCCCAGCAAAAGATTTCTATAGTTGACTCTGATATTCATCACCCAAAAGATATAATTTATTCGACCTAACATAGCTGAGTTTTGTGTTTTTATAATTAATTGTTTCTTAATCTGATGGCGTTTATGTTCGTCGTTTATCTGTACTGAAACTAATCAATAATTTTACATCCTATATATGACCTATTATATAACATATGACCTCCTTCCTTCCTTAATGAATTTTTCAACCTTTTTTCATGAAATCTTTTTAATTTTTTATTTGTTCTAAATTCTCATTCTAGTTTTGCGTTGTTAATAATACATATTATAAGTGTTTTCTAATAATGTCTGTGAGACGTTTTTCAATTTCTTAAAATGATATATACTTAATACAAATATTTCTTGTCAATAAAGAATTCATTCAGTGATTTACACATAATAAGCAAATATACGACGATCACAGTGATCGTCCATTACACTAATATCAATGGACAAATGTGTGTTTAGAGCTAATAAAATATGAAGAATGGTCAGAAAAGTTAAACGTATTACAAAGGATACTCCGTCTCGCTCTCGCACATAATACACGAAGACGCGAATCCATGAAAGCCGAGCGTTAGGCTTCCGAGCAATCTCCGAAGCTGCGATCGTAAATTTGACAAATTGTATGCACTAATATGACAATGTACCGCCACTTAGTCACAGCCATTGAAACCTAATAGGTCAATATTGATATCGCGTAGACAGATAATGCCCTCTTCAGGGATGTTCCGATTCATACTCGATATTAAAAAAAAATTGCAATCGACGCTATTCGGAATGTTTAAAGTATTAAAAAATATATATTTTATAAATGTTTTAGGTTTTTTGTGATGGAATTTCGCGATATTCGTAATAATAATGTTTTGAGAAAAATTTTATACGTATTTTGAAAATTTTTTTTTTTAAATAATTTCAGTCCAAATTTAAAATCGACTTAATTGTGTCGTAAAAATAAAGTTTTTGATAAACTTTGTCAAATATTCTTACGCCTTTTAATATATTTATCTTAATGAGGGTTTGTTGAGAATTTTTAAAGAAAGTAAAGTTTCTTAAGTCAAGTTTTTCAGGATTTTTTAATGATCAATCTTACACTTACTACACAAACACCTAGTCTATTTTCTTATTGTATTACTATTTTGTCTTTTATGTGGCTAATTAGTTGCAAGAGTGTTTTCAACGCGAGTTCTTGAAGAATTAGAATGTTTATGAAATTTACGACGAGTAAGTAATTAGAGAAATGGAGATGAGTGATGAAATTAATCAACTAAATTATGTTAAATTTTATTCAAATAGATTTCACGATACTTTACACTTAAACAACATCATCATTTGACATTCATTCATTCAAATTAATTTCGAAAACACTAAATAAAGTAAACATGATAACCGATACAGAAAGTTTACGAAAAAAAATGTTCGGTTTTTGACGTGGAACGGAACCTGTAATTTCGTTTCGTCCTTTTGTCTTTAGGGATGTAAAATAATACACATATGTCACTGACATATATTAAAGGTACATATTTATTTCATAAATACATTTTAGCTTTAATAATATCACAGATATATGTATGTTTATCATGAATAATTATATGGATTAATTAATTGAAAATAAATATATATTAATTATTAACCTATAATACTTTCGTATTAATAGCTCTCCAATTATCCTCGTTGTACGTTGCACGACGATTTCGGTCGTATTCTTCGGTCGCAGCAGTTCTGCGATGTGACGCTGCTCTTGGGTTTCGACCAGGTAGCTGTTTACGCACACCAAGCTATGCTGGCCGCTCGTTCGCAATACCTACGGATCAAGATAAAGTGAGCTCTAAAACTTTACTATAACTAATCACATATGTCACTAATCATAACCAGTTTAACGTGACCTGTGATACAAATAGGCGGGAATTCATGATTTTTTGTTCTAATTTTGAATTATAATTGGCGGGAATTCATTTGTTTTTGTTCTAATTTTGAATTATAATTTTGTTTAGGGAAGCCAAAGAGGAATTATCGAAACGTATAGCCGCTGGTGAAGAAGAGGCTGCCGAGGAGTTCTCATACAAATCAACTCCTCAGCTGACTGTGAAGTTACCAGAAGCTACTCCCGAAGCTTTCAGGATGGTACTGAACTATATTTACACGGACAGAATCGACCCCACAGAAAAGGGTGAGGCAAAATAAATTAATAGCAATCATAATAATTGTATAAACAAAACCCCTCCAATTAATTAATTGCTCATCATAACTCTCGTCATGTGATAAAGCTAAATATAAATAATTCCTAAAATAGTAATACATAATATAAAAGTTATTATACAATTTTATCTTTAATCTTTATATATAACATTAATTTTGTGATCTACTGTTAATACTAAGTTATACATACATAGACGAGAACCCGGCTTCGCCCGCTACCATCTTGCTGGTGATGGAAGTGTTAAGACTTGCTCTGCGTCTGAACATACCGCGTCTAAGAGGTCTCTGCGCTCGTTTCCTTCGAGCGAATCTCTGCTATTCCAACGTCCTACAAGCGTTACACGCGGCTCACCACGCTAACTTGATCTGCATCAAGGAATACTGCCTCAGGTGATGAACATATATTATTAAAACATACATAGTCCATAGATTATTATTTTTTCGTAAATTTCGATGTATAGGATATTTTTCTGTCGAAATGGACCATTGAATAGAATTATGGAGAAATTGCTCATTTTTTCTCCGTTAATATTTCTGTTTAAAGAATTTATTCTCAAAAAGACATAGTCACTTACATGAGAACATACATACAAAAGTGAAAATACAAAAGTAGTCGCCAGATTATTTGGAACTCAATATTTAGTAAATTGCAGATTTTTCTGTCATAATGGATCGTGGAATAGAATTATATGAAGTTGTGTGCTAATTAATAGTTGTTATGGTATATTAAAATGCTTTTGAAAATAGAGACCCATTCTAGAAAGTTACAGACACGGCGAAGGGCTTTTTAAAAATAGATTTCATTTAAATACAATGGTTATTTATTACTTGGTCTGTCTCTGTTACTTACTTCGACTGCTTGTTAGAGACTCAGCTTGATAATAATATAACCTAATAATATTATAATGTTAATAATATTGAGTCAATGATTAAGTTTGCACAAACGTAACTCCTCCCTACACAAGATCGAAGTTTTTAGTGAAGCAGGGTAACTTCTTAAAAATTAAGACACTTAAAATTACTGTAACTATGACAAGCACATATTCCAAATATCCAAACACTGGTATTTTCATTATTTCAATATTTTCACCATCATCACTATTTTCACATTTCTTTCGAAAAGTTTCAGATCTGTTAAATCAATTCCCTTTATGTAAACATGTATTAAAGATTCACTGTAGGCACTTTCGAGAGAGTGTCATTTTCTTGAATTATCTTATGCATTTTCAGGGTAATAGATCTAATTTTCACTTCACAAAGTTCATCTAGGCTGTGTAATTGTGTATGTAAGTTCCTCTAAATCTTGTGTCGGGATATTTCATAAGAACAAGTTTTCTTTAACATTTCTTTTCTAGTAAAGAGTATACATATGTTAGTTTGCAGTTGTTATTGAAGAATGTCTTGAGTACTTACAAAAACAGGTGTACCTAAAGTGTTTTCAGCGTAACTCATTACTTCGGTGTAATAATCATAACTGAATTGTAGAAGTTAATTTTAGTAGCATAGGAATAAGGAATCTCGCTTTATCAATCTCCTTGCAAATTTATAAATTTAATTTTCAACCTCTTTACTATAATGAAAGGCTTTTTAATAATAACGATAACAGTGGAATTATGGGATAACACAAGCAATGGGAATAAGTTTGTTATATATGTCATTTTCAATAGGTATTTCTAAAAGATAGGTATTTTTTTGAGATAAACGTTTATTGATATCGTCTGTTCTAATCTTGCTATGTTTTTAAATTTTTCTAACTTATATTTTCTAAAGTACTTAATAGTATCTTAGAATTGATTATCGATAGATGTATGTAATATTCCTAATCTACTTAATGCAAAACCAGTTTCTGTGTCACTTAATTTTGAGTAGATAGTTTGAAAATTATGAATAAACCAATTGTATGAACTAATGATTTGGGTTTTTATACGATTGAGAGTATTCATTTTAATTAACTATTTCTGTCAGATTTTGTCTTAAGCCTTGAATATCTAAATTAATACTATTAATATTATAATTAAGTTGCAATATAGAATTTGTTTTAGTATGCATAATTTCAGTGTTCAACTTTATATTATTTTTATTCTCGTTTTGTTCGAATTGAATTAAGCTTATTAATTTTTCGTATTTAAAATGTCCGTTTTTATCTAGATTTCCTGTAATAACTTTAATTACTGATCCTATTTTATTCTCACAGTTGGATAAACCTGCTCTGATTTTATTGCTGTTACATTTTTTACATATGTAGTTTGCTTGAATCCCAACATGTATAGTTTTCAATAAAATTACTATCAAAATTATCAACTAACTTATCGTAACTGGGTGTATTAATGAAACTTATCTTTTAAACTTTCTATTAAAGTTCTTAAAACTAATGTTTTAGTTAATGTCTACTTATCGCTGGTCACAATAGCATCATTTTTCCTTAATGGTAGGACTTCAAGATTATCTTACAGTTCTTGAAATTGAAGGTCTGGGACCATATTATAGAGACTAAGACCAGAAACAGCTGGTGGTAGCTCTGGAGATAAATGAATATTAGTTATTGTTTAACGATCGCTAATATGGAAATTATCAAAACGTACGATATTATTGCTTGTTATGTCATTAATTTTTTCATGAAAACTATGGTTATTTTTATAATATTGAGATTCGGGATATTGTTGAGCAAGAATATGCTAATTTAGACAAAAACCTTGTGGTTTAGCAGATTAAGCAGTTCTCATGCATGCGTCTGTGCAATACATTGGTTGTTGAGGGCTTATGACCAAAGAGTTATTGACCTTGATTTTGATTGAAGTCAGTATGTACCCATATGAATAGTTTATACTGAGGTCAATGTCCAAATTGCTTTTAGTTTTGCTGAGCTCGATAATCTAAGTTATTTTTATTTAATTTCATTTGTTTACTTGGAGGTATAACAAATTTGAATTTGACAAGTTACGAGGGTTTTATTTGAAAAGTATTCAGCCTTTTAAAGGGTTTCGGCTGTAATTGAGGTTTAAACTGAAGATTAAAATTATTTCATTTCAAAGTATCATAGAACGGTGTCATTATATTTTAATCAAGATATGGATTGGATGTAGCATGTCCCGCATTTGAGTGAGGATACTTCATCATTTTATTCCAAGAGTTATATTAATGCATGAAATTTACTTCCTCCTACACTTAAAGCATGTTCAAGTGAGGTGCATAATTTTAAACGAACAATTCTTAATGAATCTTCGGTTTAATTATATGAAGACACTTTCATAGCTAAATTATCCTAAATAATTATTTTAAATTGTCGTAAGCTAGAATTGGATAATAAATTGATTTTAGTAACTAATGTACTTTTGTTATGTTGTATTGTTACAGAAATCTAGATATGATCCGTTACGTCCTATTATTAAATTTTTCAATTAGATAGCAATACATTTTGCGGAACTCGGATCCCCAAAGTGGTTCTCAAGGGCGGATTTAAGACTAGGCCATGTATACAAATCCTCTCTATCACTCAATAAGCGGCTCGTCCCGTTAGTTTTGATGTTATAAAATGAAATACATAAAGATTTTAATCGGGATTGCCTCCCACTACGTTTCCATAACATATTCGCGCTTTCTTATAAATATAGGTAATCTTCATCACAATCAGTTTTATAAATAACATTGACAATTTCTAAAGATATTTTAATAATATTTTTAAATTTCAAAATTTATACTTTATTTTATTCTCAAAGTGATAAATGAAGTTATGCAAAATTATTATTATTATATTGTCACTGTTTAATACTTCAAATACATTAAACTTGTTATTTTTATTTTAAATCAATTAATTCTTATCCTAATATGCTTGCTTATCCTCCTATAATGCTTGCTTATCCTAATTATTACAAAGAGGGCCTGATAAAGGTATCTATAATTCTTTACAATATGTTCCTGGAAAAGGTTTTAGTTGCGAAGTCAGTGATACGCGATGATGACTTCCTCGTTGAACGGATGTAACTATCTTAATTATTATTTCTGTACCTTTATAAGAGGAAATAGTTATTGCTATATTTATCCGATTTATATACAGATTCAATCAAAAAACATTGGATTTTTTTGAGCTAATTACGTTAGTTTTTGGTAGTACAATACTTTATCAATGCTTGAGATAGTTCTTTAACTCTTAGTATAAGGTTTAGTTTTGATAAAGTTACAAAGAAATATCACATCTGCACTGATCCGATGGAACTAATAATTATTACTGATGTTTTCAAGTCTCGCTTGAGTTTCTAGTACATATAATGTGGAGACGTGGTTTTGTTATAAACCAGATATTTTCGACTGTTCTTTAACTAAGACATCGTTAAGCGAATAACTCACAGGTTGCATATATGTATACATATTCTTAAAACATACGAAAATATATTTATAATTTTTAAACACTTTGTCGGTCAATGAGTTTTTTGGTACCTGAAAATATACTTAAAAAAAGAGGACATTTAATTTTATATCGTCTTAATAACATTTTATTTTATCATACGGAGTTTTAAATATTTTTTACCTGCCGTTAATATTATTAAATATTTCATAAGGAATTTTAAACATTTATTTTTAGTTATCAAACAAATTCTGTCCACGACAGTTACTTTTTTGTATTTATTCTGTGTTTGCATTCACGCCTGGTTTGTGGAATGTTTTTTTTTAAACTTTTAACTGGTCAAATGAAAATGCGACATTTTTAAAACTTCACTCGTATTTTCACCAGCATTTAAAAACACAGAAATACAAAAACAATTATCAGAGTTAGTATATTCAAAATTGTTAAAGTAAACTAAAGTTTTATTATATTTATTAAATTTTACTTTGTTGAGAGAAAGCAACTAATAAAGATTTTCTAATTTCTAAAGAGCCAACACGACAAAAATTCCAAATTTAAATTTGACGATAATTCTAAATTTAAATGATAAAAACATTCTTCTCTATAAGACAAATCCATCATACATACAAGTGATATTATGTCAATCCCATCTCAAAAACTCAAAAACGTTTTATATATGACAATTTGACACAAGTACCGCGATATATATATATATATATATATATATATATAAATAGTGTTCAGGACCAAATATAACTTACAAGGAACAAAAACATCCAGTTAGAAAGACTTAAATCAATAGTTTAGTTCATTAAACTTATCCTCGACCTAATAATATGTCTTCTTCTTCTTCCTGGCAATTTCCCAGCTTTAACCAGGGTCTGCCTCGACCTAATAATATATATTTGTATGTAATATAGATTCGTGGTGAAGGAGTACAACTTCACAGCTATCGTGATGTCTTCGGAGTTCGAGCAGATGGATCAACGACTTATGGTTGAAGTTATAAGACGAAGACAGCAGCCATTACATAAACTGACTGCCAATAACGAGCATGAGGAGGAGGTCGTCGGTATGTTTATATACAGGGTGATTCAAAACAAAAGACTACCATAAACAGGGTGTATTCAATTCATAATAGTTGAATGTATAGAAAGTCATACAGATTATATATATATTATATTATGTACATATGGATGAAATTATTATTATTTTATATCATATTTTAAATGAACATAAAATTTGGTGTTCTTTAAAGTTTAAAAAAAATTATCGTCACCGATATTGTTGTCAATATTTATTTCAGTTATGTATTGATTTTAGATTACAGTACTGTTTTATAGTTATATCCCATAAAACTGTATATATTTTTGTATTTCCAATTAAGTTAACCCCCCAAATAAGTATCAATTTTTCATACTTATAGGATAAAAATATATTAATTAAATTTCTTAAGATTATATTGTGTATTAACAGGTACAACATTGGAACAGGATATGTCTGTGTTAGTCAGCGGAGGCGGACACGAACTTGCTGATGTCAAGCTGAGGGTCGGCAGTGCTATGAGACCAGCGCATAGATCAATACTGGCCGCCAGGGCTTCCTACTTTGAAGCCATGTTCAGATCTTTTTCGCCACAAGATAATGTGGTTAACGTGAGTTTTGACAACCCTAATGTTATGTTCTTTATTCAAATGTTTTGATCTTCATTTGTTTTTGATTAAATTTTATCTCCCAGTATAGGAGCTTTAAGATTAATGAATTATTCTAAAGATTTTTCGTGTTAAATAAGCTTTTAAACCATAAGATAGGGATTTGTAATGTAGGGAGAGCAATTTATAATATCCCTGTTTTAATTAAATATCAATGACCTTACAACAAGTTTGCTCTGTCACAACACACAAGTATTTCATTCAGATGCAGACTTGTATTTATCTTACTTAAATTAATTCTTCAATGCTTTACTAGGTAAACGACTCTTATATTCATTTAAATTTATGTTATGGTACAAAAACTTGTTAAATGACATACGATTATTATATATGTATATATAATAAGTTATTTCTCGACAGATCCAAATATGTGATACGGTACCCTCAGAGGAAGCGTTCGATTCACTACTAAGGTACATCTACTACGGCGATACTAACATGCCCACAGAAGATTCACTCTATCTATTCCAAGCGCCGATATACTACGGTATGTAAAAATTACCAAACCTATAAAATATTATATATTTACTAGCTTTCCGCCCGCAGCCTCGCCCGCGTGGATTTCGGTTATATCGCGTTTCCAAGAGAACCTTTCAAAAGTCTGGGATAAAAACTATCCTATGTTCTTTCTCAAGGTCAACTCCATCTCTGTACCAAATTTTATTAAAATCAATTAGTTCAGTGGTTTAGGCGTGAAAGCGTATTTTCCATTGTTAACCCCTCGCAACCCCCTTGTGGGTGGAATTTCGCAAAATCCGTTCTTAGCTGACCTGTACTCGGCGAAAGGAATAATCCTACCAAATTTCAAGTCGCTACGCCGTATGGTTCCAGATATATCGTGAAGAGTCAATATATAGGTGGAAATCTCTTTTATATATATAGATTAATAATTTCTACAATATCCTTCCCAGGTTTCACAAACAACAGACTTCAAGTCTTCTGCAAACATAATCTGCAAAGCAATGTGACTCCCGAAAATGTAGTCGCCATCTTACAAGCGGCGGACAGAATGAGAGCAGCCGATATTAAGGAATACGCTCTAAAAATGATCGTACATCACTTCCAACAGGTACAACCTAACTTAAACCCTATTTTATCAAGATTAAAGATGATTTTTGATTACAGTAATAATTTCCAATGATAATAAAAAAATACCCAATTATCATCACGTCACGCTAAATTTGATACAATTTCATCGACTGTTAAATAAATAATGTTTTAAATTTTTCTCTATATTCGAGGCAGTCATTTATGTTATACTAGCTGCGCCCCGCGGTGTTACCAACGGATTTCCGGGATTTCCGAGATAAGGTACCCTATGTGTTATTCCTGGACGTCAGTTTCCTGTATACAAAATTTCATCAAAATCGGTTCAGCCGTTTGAGCGTGAAGAAGTAACAAACATACACACACACTCACAAACTTTCGCAATTATAATATTAGTGAGATTATAATGATAATATTAGAATAATGACCATTTATTTCAATTTCAATCAACTTGTTTATAAGCAGCCTTAGTAGGGGTAATATTAGACTTAAATCGCAATTCACAGGTGGCCCGTCAGGAGGTTATCAAGAATTTAGCTCAGCCCCTACTAGTGGACATTATCTGGGCTCTGGCCGAGGAGCCTAGGGCTGACACACCGCTGCCCCTACAACCACGATCGCTTCCATCATCATCGTCAGCAGACACACTCACTGACGACCCTGATTATATCAAGCACAAAAACAATAAATGAAGGTATATCCGGAAGAGGTCGGGAAGCGGGCAATGGATATAAAGAACTGCCCCACCGAGTCCTCAACCGTCAACATTCTAAAATATGATGAAAATATCATATAACCAATGGATTTTCTTATAACGTTTATCATTGTTATAAGAGTGTGATATATTTACAAGCAATTTTGTCTATTGACAATATCAGCTTATACAAAAGTTAATATCATCACGAACTATGCTTTTATAGTGTGCACATTATAAATGTGTGTACAATATAGTATGCTAAATATATTTAAGGAAAATGTGAGACGAAATTCTAAATTTACAACTTTATATTTATTTGTAGAATATTTAAAATTACCAAAGTAAATTAGTTCTAAATAAAATATGTTAAATTTAATAAATTATATACCTAGTGTAAGAAAAAAAGATTCTAAATTAGTATTAGGCTTTACAAATGAGAGATTCTAAATATTTATTAGTTAAATAATGACTCAAATAGTTATAAATTATTATAGAACATATTATATTAAGGCAATAATTTATTTATATAGAAACATAGTATTTCCCAATAAATATTTCTTTTACATTGTTAATAGGAGTAAAACTGAGCCATAATTAGTGTGAAATGTATGCTTTGAAGTTGCTTTTATACAATAAAATTGTTTATCTTTAGAAGACTTAAAAAGTATGTTTCTTAACAAAATGGTTGTTTAACTCAAAATCTAAACTTGTATGGAATTGCATTTAGTTTCTTTTGTTCTATCATAGTTTTACATGGATGTTATAGAATAATGTAATTTTGAAAATTGTACTTTCACAGTTAAATTCAGCTTGTATACAGATTGACAATAAAGCAAGGAATTAATGATACCTAATAGTTACTTGGCAATAATACAGAAACCTCAAAATATTAAAGAAAATGAAATGTAGTTTTTAAATAAAAGAGTATTGTAGATGTTAAGGAGATTTAATCAAATTAACATTAAAATTACTAATAAATTAAATTGCTATAACACATTTTGTATTCGTTTTATTCATACTTGTGTTTGATGTCCTTCCATAGTTTCTGAAAAAAAAAAAAAGCATTATGGTCAGAGATCACGATTTCGGTAGATTACGTAATAACGTAAGGCTAAAATTATTGTTAAACAGTTACATGCACTACTGTTTTCACAATGATCTGGAATACACTATTCTTATTATGCGCAGATAAAGTTGAAGGTTATATTTTCTCAATTTTACTTTTGTTTTATTAATAAAAGGCATGATCCGATGAAAAACCCTTAATTTTAATAATTATTCAATATACAAAAGTAAAACCAGACTACAATGAAATTTATTAAGCCATGGGAAATTACATAATACTTACGCCCTTGTTTATGTTCTCAAAGATGGATACCGATATTACTTCGAAAGATCTTTCGAAGAAAAAGGCTCCAGCCGTAACTGCTACAGCGAAAGTAGATGTTTTCTTAAAAACACTACGATTTAACGTGGCCCAAAGCGACATTTTGATGATTTTTCGAGAATCCGACTCTGATTCGATCGAAAGCAAGAGTGCAGTCCACAGATGTCAAAATGTAATGACAGTAAGGAAACGAAATTGCCATTGTAAAAAAAAATACACAATGCGATTTTTTATTTCTTCAATATATATTTTTTGTATATTAGAGAACAATATATATTAGACTTTTTTAAAAGGTAAAACAACAAACAAGAAAATACTACACGCTAAACACTATTGATTCAAACAATTGCAAAAAGCTATTAATGCAAACTACCAAAATTATTTTTTTTTAAAGCGTTTGCGATTATTTCAAAGATAAGTAAAATTAAAGATTCTAATAACTAACTTCAATAAGACTATTTTCAAACAACCAAGAACAAATATCGTAATGTCTTATTTTAATTCAAATATCAGTTTTGGGAATCTATAGAATTGATATGTAATATATGAAAATAAATTAATTTGTATAATTACATGATGTATGGAAATAGTAAATATTTCCGTTGCATTGATTAATATTATAACATTAAAATATATTATATACTCTATACTTTTAGAATCTGTGTTGTATATTTATTGATCTTTTCTTTTCCAACAACAGAATACCCATACACTATTTGATGAGTCTTATAAAAATGTACTAGGTGTGCATAAACAGCATGCTCAATTGACAAATCGTTGAAACAGTACTTTCCCAAATACTATTGTGCTCATTAAAAAAAATCAAAATACTAATTCATGTATGTAATAAAATAAACTAAATATATTATCTTATTACCGTGTTTCCCTGACGTGACGTCCACAAGTCTATCCCAATCTACGCCTCCTAACTGGCTGCTGCTTCATGCTTCTCGCACTTTCGATAACAATCGAAAGAATTCAAAAAAAGAACATATGATTACGAACAAAGTGTAGCAAACTATTATATTAAATAAAATGTGCTGTCTCAACGCTTCAGTCATACACCTCTATTTTCATCAACCTTTAATTGGCGGTTTTAAAATCAATGTTATGCTTAAATCAAGTGAGCCAAAAAATTTGAGCCAATATTATCGTCGTTAATCGGAAAGTCTTTAGTATTAATTTTTTCAATGATCATATATAAGAATTATAGACATTCGGCGAGATTTATACTAAATGCCTCTCTGCAATCTAACTTGGAGAAAGTAGAGAAAATAATGTTAGGAATAAAAAATAATGAACATATTGAAGAACAAAATACAAAATGAAATATATATTTAAAAATCACTTTACACTAAATAAACAAACAAGAGACCTAGACGAAATCAATAATAATTTCATTCAATCATCCTCACTAGCCGACATTTGTATGCCTCTTAGAATTTATGAGTAACACATTCAAATCGGAATCTATCCCATTCATAGACTGGTTTATTCATATGTACAATTCTTATATCATTGCATGACATTAAACTTTCCTACGGTGTTACGAAGGATGAAGTAACACAAAGTATAATCTATATTTCGCAAGAAAATGACATTCGCAATAAGCAGTAATGTAACAATTTTTGGCGCTTAAAAGATTTAATGATGAAGAGACAAACTCAATATATACTTTTGAGATTAGAAAAAAAGGTGTTTAGTATGAGCTAAGCCACAAACAGACAATATATAATTCACTTATAAATTATAATGTATTAAGCAGGTTTTTTCAAATTCGTTATAATTAAACTAAATACTCATTATTGTAGTTTATTTTTATTAGCTACTAAAAAGGGATATAGAAGATAATAAAATATGTATGGTTTAATAAAACACATGGTTAATTCTGGGCAAAATATATCATCTATTTACATTTTAAAATGCTCATAAGAACAATATACATAAATTATAATGAGTACCAAATCAAAACAAAATGCTGTGTACTATTAGACCGGCGGCTTATACTTGCAGGAAATTGAAAACTTTCAATATATGAAATAAAATTTGACATTGACCTCTACAGCCAGTCTAATAATAAAGTACAAGAATAAACGGAATGATGTAAATTTTTTAATAATAATCATATTAATTCATATCAATGAGTACACACATTTACATATACAAAATCAATTTATATCTAAACATCATCTCAATATTAAGACTATTTTGGTATTTCATACTACATGTTACCATAACTGAACAGAACAAATTTTATTATACTCACCATATATATGACTCCGATACAGTGCATATGTTCCCAAATTATTGTATTACACTATGGTTCAGTAATTAAATTGAGTGTTAACATAGCAGTGTAAAGTGTATATCGCTAGCAATATTGATAATGCAATTATTCCTAACAGTTTTCTACAGAAAAAACTATGTCAAGAAATATTTAAAAATGCTTTACCAAAATGCAGCATTAAATATAACTGATTTTGAATACCTCTATATCTATTAGAAAGTATATTCCATGTTACATTTGGAAATTTCATAATAAAATAAATCTCAAGCTCTTTCTAAAGAACACTGGTAATATGTATAAGACATAACTAAGTCAATAAAGAATCCAGCAAATGTATTAATTTATCATAAATCATAAGATATAATATGTTAATTAATTAATAAAATATAATACTTTTACATAAACACATTTATATAATACTACATACTCTCGTCATTAAAATCTGTGATGACATGACCCTAACATACATAGAGATGACAAAAAGGTATCTTATTAATATTAAACATAAAATGGTAATTATTTTGCTGTAATATTTTAACATTAATTCACTTAAGCAAGCTTCTGATCCATATTAATTTAGACTTTTTATTATTATTACGAGAGATATACATATATTGTTATGTCATAGAGCTTACAATTCCACATATTACAAAAAAAAAGAGTTATGGTATACATTTATATCTAGCAATATCCATATCTTACATCAAACCATCACATAAATTTTGATTATAAGATTACAATTATACACATAAACTATGCATCCATAATAGCCTAATTTAATTTTTGGAGTTAATTCATAATGCTCATTTGGGATTGTAGAAGCCAACGGCTCAACAAAGCAATGGGCTATGAACAGACAGTTATACTTAACGACACTGCCATGATAATATTCAATAGAGATCACTTACACACAAGGTACAAAAATTCAACTAATTGTAAGACTATTAAGATGTGAAAATACACTTTTGTACCTTACATCAACAGAAGAAGGGTTCTATATCATTGGTAATAAACAGTTTATGGCCAAGGTACCAGTCCTGCAAGGGTTGTGCAACTTTCTCTCAACATTTGAGCATTATATAAGTGACATCCCCGACTGCCATACTGTTAGGTCAGTGGCAACATTTTTTCTTCCCTTTGTGGCTCTTCTTTAGATTTACTGTGTCATTCGCTGTTACATTTTGCCTCTCCTTCATTTCCAACTTAGACCTTAGAACCTAGGATGAAATTATTAAATATTAACCAATTCTGCTTTTATTTAGCTTGTCTTATAAATAGTATGTAGAGTTCCTATGTGCAGAAGAAGTGAAACTTCCTAATTGTGAACAATTGTTATCCACCAAGTTTGAAAATGAAAATACTGCCCTATATTATGTGTATTAAATCAAACAAAAATATAATTAATATTATAATTATTTACATGGACAACTACATATATCAGTTAATTTTGTGATGCTCGCACTGTTTACTTCGTTTGTTTCCATAGAAATATTGAATACAATGTTATTTTATTTTAGTAAGATCAATTGACACTCAAGAATGAAGTTTTTATTTCTCAAGTGTGTAATGAATGATGCCCATTGATTGGGAATGAGAAGAATTGTATACAGGTGCATAAGTACCAACATCATACATTGTAAAAGCTTACATTGAGTAGGTCATACATAAAGTAACATTGTCAGATTTATTTAAAATAAAATTAGTTTAAAGAAGTCTTTAGTTTTCTTTCTCTCTCCTACTTTATATATTTGAGTATCTCTCTTTCAGCATAAAACATTGAACCCAACTTTGTTGGAAGTCGCATAAGAAGTTTCACTTCAACCTGTACTTATCAAAACACCACTTGAAATTTGACAAAATGTTTTTTTGATGCCAGTTAATTAAAGTAATATTACCTAGATGAATATCACAATAAAATTATTTTTTATTTTATTTCCTACAACTACTTAGCCTTACTGTAGTGAAAAAGACTTATTATTTTAGTTCATGTACATTAAAAGAATATATAGTTACATAATAATGTTATAAAGCAAACAATTTTTTATGTTCACACAAAACTTTGTATAAAAATGTTTCAATTCAAATCTCTCTATTTAGCAATCAACCTTAACAGCATGAGTCATACTTAAAATTTCATTATACAGTAAATTCGCTGAAGCATTATCAAGGGAATGGCATTTACTTCTTTATTGAATAAAATTAAATTGAATATAATTTAAAAGTCATTATATAATTTAAAATTCTGTAACTTAAACTCGTATGTGTTGCTATATAAAAAAATATTATAAGATATAATGTTGCTATGTCTAGATCCGGTGAAATATGATTATAAAAAGATACCTACCATTTTTGTTATAGTTAGAAACATTTCCTCTACATTGATGTTTTCTTTAGCACTCGTCTCAAACAATGGTATGTTCATTTGATTTGCAAATCTTTGAGCATCCTCCGTAACGACTACTTTCCTTGATGGACAGTCGTTTTTATTACCAACTAAAAACAAAAAAAAAATCATTATATGCCAAGGAACTAATGTTTAAAGGACAATGAATTTTCTACTATAGCAACAATATCTTCTATTGGTTTTAATTAACATGAGTGTTATTCAGGTAATTTTACCACCATGTTATAATGTTCTTGGCCTTCAATAAAAATTGAGTTTTATTTATAGAAGTGTATTGAAAATACGTTATTTCGTTATCAACACACAATCAACAATTTCTAAATAAATTACACTGAACAATACATGTAGCAATTTAATAAGCAATTTTGCCTATAAATAGAGTTAAAAGTACAAGCTTACCTAGTACTTTGTTGACGACATCGCAATTCTGTTCGATCTCGTGCAACCATCTCTTCACATTAGCAAACGACTCCCCATTAGTGACATCGTATACAACGATGACACCGTGAGTCCCTCTATAGTACGTGCTCGTGATCGTTCTAAACCTTTCCTGCCCGGCTGTATCCCATATCTGAAGTTTAACTCTTTCACCATTTATCTCTAAAGTTCTTATTTTGAAATCGACACCGATCGTCGTAATATAACTACCGGAGAAAGTGTTGTCCGCAAAACGTAGAAGGAGACAGCTTTTTCCTACACCTGTAATACAAGAACATCATTTCACACCCTGTTTGAACAGGAAAAGTAGTTGGCAAATCCCAAGATATCACTCGCGAACATAGGCCTCGCCCACTCACCACTGTCACCGATAATCAGCAGTTTAAAAAGATGATCAAACTCGCGGGCCATTTCTTATTATATATGTGTGACAACTCCCCTAACTGGTCATGTGTTTGATGATAATGGTAATACTTGATCAACAACTGCTAGTATTGAAAAAATAGATAAACGCATGCCGTAAAACGTTAGCTTGCGTCACTTTACAAAACGTTCGCCATCATTGTCTCTACACTCTTCAACGTTCCGTTTTAAGATTATTTTATCACAGATACAATAAAAGAAAAAAACATTAACGTTTAGGACAGTTTTAAAATAAAAATCTTATAATTTTTATTTTCATTGTAGTCATTAACAAGCATATATGAATAAATCACGTATTACAATAAATGGTTGCTATATGATTTTTCCATTCAGCATATTGAAAATTTTAAAGTATACCAAAATAATAAACTTTAATCGTCTTTTATGGTGAGAAAATTTAATAAAAATAGAATCACATATTTAATTCTCATTATGCGTACTTTGTATCTCTTTTGTCAAAAATGACGTTTAAAATACTGACTCATGATACAATCATCAATTTCTAGATTTGTCATTACCAAAGAGATAAGTTTAGGTGTGGTAAAACGAGAACAGATATAATTTTCCGAAATAATTATGTCGGCTACTCTAAAACCATATTTGACGGCGGTCCGCCATACTCTTACTTCCGCTATGTGCCTAGAACACTTTTCGTCCCAGGTTGTAGAAAGATACAATAAACCAGAAGTGGAAGTGGGAACAAGCAAAGAATTGTTATTAAATCCAGTGATCATTTCACGCAACGTTAATGAGAAAGTTTTGATTGAATCATCCATTAATTCAATTAGGATAAGTATTATGATAAAACAAGCCGATGAGATTGAAAAGATTCTGTGTAAAAAGTTCATGAGATTCATGATGATGCGAGCGGAAAACTTTATCGTGCTTCGGCGGAAGCCGGTTGATGGTTACCATATCAGTTTCCTGATAACAAATTTCCACACTGAACAAATGTATAAACACAAATTGGTTGATTTTGTTATTTACTTCATGGAAGAAATTGATAAAGAGATCAGTGAAATGAAATTAGCGGTCAATGCGCGTGCTAGAATTTGTTCAGAGGAATTTTTGAAAAGATTTTGAATATTTTTTCCAAAATCTTTACTGAATAATAATTCTCGTCATGTACTGTAGCCCTATTTCTTGTGCTGGATCTCTCTGCATGAAAGTGACAAGATATTCCATTTTAAGTGAGATAAGTTTTTTGCTTTATTATTCATTATGTTTCATGGGGGCCTATTTGGTGCCAAATCTATGGCTTCACATACAGAAGTATTATAAGCAACCCAAAGTCGGCTTCGGCAAAGTTAAAAATCTAATGTAACGCAATGCACTGACATAATAATGAACTATTGCATTTATGTGTTTAATTTAGTTGACTTTTTTAATCTTTTTTTTTAATAAGTTGAAATTTTTTAATTTATAACAGTAGAAGCAAATTATCTACTAGATAAAAGCGTATATACCATATAAATTGTGTGCAATTTGTTTAAAGATATGTCATATATTGTGATTTGTATCAACTAAAAAATATCGACTCATTGCCACACAACAGAACCAGCATTCTTATAATTATAACAATATTTGAAAATGTAAAACCATAATGTTATATGAGACTGTTGGTATATTATAGCATTTGTAATCAAAGTATTTGTAGTAAATCTGGTCTGATGAATGACCAAAATATTATGTTTCCATGTCCTTGGATGACAAGTTTGTATTCTACTGTAGTTTTGTTCATTGTAATCATAAAATATTTGCTAAGAACAATAAACATTGTATTATTAATCTTTTTTTATGAACAGTTATCCTAAAACCTAATAGGAAAATAATAAAGCCCCTCTTGTAAAACTGTTTTTTATTATTACCTTAAATGCTCCAACTAAAAGGTTATTTAACATTAAACACAGTGTATGCATGAATATATAAAATTGAATAAAGCTTTAAATTAATATACTTAATATTGAATAAATGCTTAACCTTTTGACTACTACATTTCATGTTAAAACGGGCCCTGTTTAAAATCAGCATCAATTTATATTTCTATGAATATGACCATCATTACATCATACATTAAAATAAGAAGTGGCACTTATATTATTATTATATACATTTAAAAGTCAAATAATTTTGATATCCTATCAATATTTCGATAACTTTGTGATTAAAAGTTGATGAATGACAAACCACAAATGTACACAGAAACGGTGACTGTATATGTTAAAATTTGAAGAAGTAATCTAGCATCTCAAGTCTTGGACGGAGTTGTACATATAAATAAATATTCACTCTCATATTTCGGTAATTAAAAACTTTTTTATTACATGGGCATACTTTAATTTCTATTGTGCAGCAGTCAAAAGGTTTAACAATTTTTTCAACATTTGTCAATGAATGTTAAAAATTTTCAACATATTTATTTGGTATTGAATATAATAGTGCAAAATATGTTACATATTAAAATTTTATTGAAAGGGTTCATGAGCTATTTTGTAAGTTGAATAGTAAAAAATCTATACAAAAGCTACTCAGTTCTTCGACTTGGCAGTACGCAGTGTGAAACCCTCCCCTTTAAAGGCTTGGAATGGTTCTGTTTGTACTTCTTCTTTAGCGCTCGGAGGCCTTGAATTTCTGATAAATCTGAGTGTACCAATAACGAAGTCGTAATCCGGTATTCCACGAACATATGGCTGTTGATAAATATTAGGTTTAGAGATCTTTATTTCCAAAAAGACAAAGTCACTTACATGGAAACAAAAAATTCAAGCAATATAAAATCTTGTTCTCAAGATATAATTACATAACGAGTTGTTTTACTCATTCAATGCATTCAATTTATATTGAATATTACATTTTTATTCCATCATTAGAGAACTACTAGTATTTTAATCACAAATTTTAGTATACTAATAGATCACTTATTAATTTCCTGTGATCATATTGTCTTACCTGTCTGGAATTGGATGCCTGTGGTTCGGATTCGCTTTCGCTGGTAAGCTTTTTCTTCTTACCATCAAGCCTGTTACCTTCACCTCTGAATGCCACAAAACCGCTCGGCTCCGGCATCATAGAAGCTGGATCTTCATCCATACCACCCATATCTGAGCTACCTTCACCTTTTGTTATATGATCTTCTTCTTTATACCCAACCGGTGGAGCAAATTCAACCTACATGTAAAAAATTTATAATTATTGCAATACCATAATATACAAAAACAATATGCATGTTACTTTTAACCAGTTTTTCTTTTCATTAACTAAAGTATATTAATCATATTTTAAATAAGCTGCAGAGTATTATTAGTTATTATCTTGTTAAAAAATATAAATGCATAATATTTAAATTATTATTCTTTTGTAGCTTAAAATCAATTTGTTTTGGTATATTAATGAGTAACCAAAAGAAAAGGTGAATTAATGATGAATATGTCTTCTAATGGATTCTATGAATCACTTTAATTTCGTTTTATGTTTTGTATATAACATAGTAAAGTAGACAAAATCTAAAAATTGGAATTCTATAAATCTATAAACACTGGAGCTTATTTATGTAACAAATGGCAGAAAAACTGCAAATCAAGTTTGTCATTGTTAATGTGAAGACAGTTTGCAAAACATATCAGAGGAAAAAGTATATGACAAATGGCAGATTAATTCAGAATACTTGTACATTAATTCCCTGGCTAAAGCTGGAATAATTGCTAAGAAGAAGAAGAAGACATTAAATTCATACAAATTCACAGAGTGGTATATTCACTACACCATTTGAGACAAAATAAATGAGCATTGTCAACTTTATTAAATTAGATTGAATCGGGAGTTAAATCAATTAGAAAAATATACAGAACTAAATCGCAGATTAAGTTTTCATGCTCCAAGTCAAAAATCATAAACTAGGGACATATGGTCACTGGCATAGTCCAGGACTGTTTTAAGAGGGTTACACAAATGCTTTGAAACAAGTTTGATGCACTCAAAATTCTGGTATAGGTATGTTTATATAGTGTAGACTAATCTTAAGATTATTGACTTAAAAGATTCATTGGTTATAGGATATTGGTGTGATAAAATGTTATAAGCAATCTTTTTACGTTTATCATAAACTAAATATCATATTATGTAAGAAATGAACATAGTTTTGTACCAAGCTGTAGCTGATTTTAAAGGGAGTATAAATGTACTTAACCACTTTGATAATTATCATTTGTCCTGTTGTGAATATTATAACAATGGTTCAAAATATATTAAATTTGATTTTCTTTTTTTCTCATTTCTCCATCTTAATTTTTTAGCTCTTTATAGATTCCAAGGAGATGAGAAATGGTCTATAAGTTGTTTGTATACATTTACATTTTGATATCCTAATCTAATAACTTACATTCATGTCGCATTCAATAATAATGACTGCATTCCCAGGTTTAGTCTCCAACACACATAGTTCATACACTTTAGAATTATACTTTATAGCTATGACATCCCCTGTAGTGAGACAGGAGAAGTTACGTAAACAGTTTTCCAACACTAGAACAAAAAATATATAAATAAAAATATTATCTAAAGTATTCAAAATAATTACAATTAATATTATGAAACATACATAATGTAGGCCACATATTCCATTGTTAAAAGTTTTTTAAATAATAATCTTACTAGAAAACTTATGTGTATAATAAATAATCAATATAATTTAAATATTTTATATTTGGTAATAACATTAAATAAAATGAAATTTGATGTGTGTTATCAAGATATAATTATAGATTGTACCTGCTTTCTGATTGGATATGTCAAGAAAGTCTTCTGAAAGTGGTTGAAACTTGGAGAATGTAGCAACTGGTAATGAGACACTCTCTACTTGCACCAGGGTACCTTCTTCTAGTACTAAATTAGCCATCATCTAAAGCAGAAAACTTTATATTTAAGACTAAATCACATCTTGAACAAGTATTATTTGTAAGTATGAACAATGAAACTAACCCAATGTGGCAAATACACCTTTCCCTCATCAGCAACAAACTCCAAAACACCACAATGTGTAATTCTTTTCGTCTTCTTATTCGTCAATTTGAATATCATTGGGTATTCGATGTTAAGACGAGTTAGCAGCTCCAAAGCTGATGGTGGCATAATAACTAAAAAAGTAATTTATAGATAAATCACTTGTCGTGCAGGCTGTAAATTAGGACTTTCCTTTATGATCACACTTACTTTTTCCTCCCCTTTCAACATCTTGCCTTTCATTTCCAGGTAACATAGAAACTGAGTAGCAACGATAGGTCACGTTAAAATTTCGTGCGATTTCATGAAACATATTGAACCCCAACTGAAACTAAATATATATATGTGATAAGTATTTATTCTTCAAATGCGTACTATTGTTAATACATATTTATTGCTTACCATTTTGGTATTCTTTATTCAAACAATTGACTATTAATAATTGCAAATCATCTGCTATAAAATATCAAAGAGCAGTCAAAACATCCAATTGTCAATGCCAAAAATTGGAAAATGTTACATTTTGGTCAATCGATGTTTTCAGGCTGTATCTGGCGTTAGTAGATAATATAAAAGATTGATAACATACATTGATGTGGATACTTAAATACAAAATATGTAGAGGAAGGTTCTTAATTTAAGAGCAATCTAATTAATAGGTTGAAAATATAAATTTATTTTAGATAATGTATCCGCTTATTTTATATCTTGAACGGGCAACGATTTTACATGATATGACTATCTCTTTTTGACCCGATGAATTCTAGTTCATTTCATTTCATTCATTTGTGTATGTGGCAGCCGCAGGTGCATTATTCGTCAATTCTTCATACGAATAAAAAAATATATTAACCGGGCAGTTTTTCTTCATGTTGGATAAAATTAAAAAAGTGAGTAAAACATTTGATTTTGTTACATTTACAATTTTTTGTGTTCCCGTTCGGTCTTAGTTTCCCTTCAAACATGAATGAACGCCATGTTGATTGTCAAAGGTGTTATTCGTATCGGATGAGGCACCAGTGACTTGGAATAATTGTGTTAAATTTTCAGAACGCAATACAAAGGGCTCGATCGTAAGCTATTTCGGTTTATAAAGAGCACGGAAGAACAGCAATCATGGCTCAGGTGTTGCCAATACGCTTCCAGGAGCATTTACAGGTGAGTACGCCCATCGGTTTTGTGATAGTTCTAGCGAAAGTAGAGTAATACGGGTGATGATATTATATCTGGTCGATATTCCTTAGTGTTTCATTATCATTTCGCTTATAATTAAGTGGCAGATAGTATTAGAAATGGCATTGCGCAATTATGTGAGATGACAGATACCACCCCCTACTATGAACGGAAGAGCCGGTATCGATTTGTTCTACATTCCCCCTGGATCATACAACACACTATACGGCTATATAACAAACTATGACGACATTGGCACGATTTACACGCCCTTTTTGAAAACTTTTCATAATTATGATTGAAATAATCTCATACAAAAATATCTTGCATACTTTATTGGAAAATAGTTTTTGTTAGGAGATAACAAAGTATAGATACTTGAATTAAAATGGTTTGACCTAAGTCAACAATAAAGAAAGGATAATATTATGGATATGTTTGTGTATTTAGTATGGAGTAACTGACATTTTTCATTTTTATTTATCTATTATTGATTTTACATGATTATTTTCTTTTTGTGGATCCTTTCAAAATAAAAGAAGAGTGATCAAAAAAATTGTTTTATTCAATCAATTTTTTTCATACCTTATAAAGTTGAAGGTTTCAACAATCCTTTTGTTATATAAGAAAATTACACAATGCCTGGAATGCTTTTGACACTTTGCCAATTAAATTGAGAAATAAGGAGGCTGCTGTGTCATCAAAATCTTTTGAACCCAACAATGGCTCTTATCCCATACAACTTAAACATTTATCAAACTATGTACATTTTGAAATAACTTTTTGTTACTAAAACAATAAAAATGAATTACTATCATGATGAAAAAGTTTATCATGTATTATATACCTACTACAAGTTTTTGAAAATTTAGACCATTGCATTAAAAATCAAAATAATATTTTGATTAAACAAATTAAAAATACTTTCAATTAATTTATTTGTACACTTCTTGTACATGTCTTTCCATTGTACTATTTATTTATATATAATCTTATTTTAATACAACATACAATAAATGTTTATTCCTTGACAGCTCACAAATATAGGGATAAATCCTGCTTCGATATCATTCAACACCCTGACCATGGAGTCGGATAAGTTCATCTGCGTCCGTGAGAAGGTCGGAGACACCTCGGAGGTCGTCATCATCGATATGGCAGATCCCACCAACCCAATAAGAAGACCAATAAGCGCTGACTCAGCAATCATGAACCCAGCCAGCAAAGTCATCGCTCTCAAGGGAAAGGCAGGAGTGGAAGGTGAGACAGAATTAAAGTTTATTAATTAAATATACATATTATATAAGTTGTTCTGTTTTAAAAATTAAAAAAAATATATATTCAGGCCAGGGATGGTTGGAATATTACCAAATTTGGATTCTATACTCAATTTAATATGTCGGCGTTGTGCCAAAATATACGGCGTTCTTATTAGATCGCCTTGACTTACGACCTGCTTTCTTTATATTATGATCATGGCCAATGTGAGGTTTTTTTTAAAATATGATCAAAGGTCAAAGTTCAAATGGTAATAAGTGAGATGTTTCAATTAATGTCCAGACATAATTAATCTAAATAGATAAAATACTTGCAAATACCAGACACGTAAACAAACTTCATATCATACAATGAATAAGCGCGCCACTAAGGGGCAGTTAATTCACATTAATTGGACATCCGTATACATGTTTTATTTCGGAAATATATACATATTTTTACTATAATAATTGCCTCAGATACAAGCTTATTGAGTTAGGTATTTTTAAATAAAATTATTCTAAGTTAGAAACACGATTTAATTTAATTTAGCATGTTAATTTTATTTTTATTATTTTAGTATTAAAATATTATTAATAAATATAGTATAGTACAATAAAAGCGCCATATTAACGTTGTGGTTACGTCACGCATCAAACCATCCGCACCGAGATCGCTATGAGTCATTGTTAATTTTTGTACGTTATATTAAAGTATTTATAATGGAAAATAGTATTGATGCTTTTCATAACTTCGTTCAAAGTTCTTTATTATAATGAGACGTAAACGGGAAAATTTAATAAGACAAAGAAGATACGTGAATTCATTATAGTATATTTTTATAACAAAATGAAATGTTCTCGTAAAGTCAACGCCCCTTATTATTTATTTATTATCTTATCGTAATATGTATGTTAAAATAATGTAAGAGATTAGTTGTGTTCAACTGTAGCGATGTATTTGCTATGTAATATTTCTGTTTTTGATAGACAATGTGGATGTTATCGCGTGATTCCAACCAATGTTATACAGATGTTTCATTATTAGCTACCTGACAATTTTTCAGGTGAAATTCAGCTAAAACTAATTTGAATTTAGTTTATAACGTCGATTACAGCAGTAAAATCTTTAATTATAAACTAAACACTAGTTCACACCCGCGACTTGGCTTTTTGAAAAGTAGGTCTTATTATTATTACGCAACTGAATAAATGAAAAATGTGAACCAGTTCTTAAAATGGTGTTTTTATTTTATCGTAACAAACATACGAACATGCTAACGGACTCGAATTTATAATGTTAAGATACCAGATATTGTTTAGATAAGAAATGATTCAGAGGCAATGACAATTATTGAAGGTCATTAATGTCGATGAGAATTATTTTGTTTACTTAAATACAATACTACGTATAAAGTATGTTAAAGTGTTGTTTTAATATTTTTGTGAAGCGATACTACAATATTAGATATTTATATCTTAGCAAGTAGTTACTGACATTGTAAGCGTTTATTACTCGAGTGTGTACTTCCTTTAGTTCGTTCAAGACTAATGCGACATGCGATAGACAATGTTTGGGTCCTGAGGGTTTTAAAAAGAAAATGAAATCGTTCTACATAAGAAGTTATCTATAAATCTTTTACTAGACTGTATGTTACTTAATATAAAACAAAAATTCAATCTTGAGGGAGATAGAGACGGAATATTATTTTTTTTCAGAAATATTGGACAGATTTTTTTAACCTCATATCCACGAAGGCGTAGAGTGCTGTATAATAAAATGTGTGCCGTTTATCGCTTACATAAAATGGGTTAATATAATTAGAAAAGAGCATAGTTTACGCCCGATTGCATAGAAAATGTCATGCGATATTATGTAAAGACGATATTATACGTTCCTATATTTACAAAGTTTTATTTTAATATTAAAATTTTGACTTGAATTCTTTATAACGTTTAATTTTAATTGAGTCTAATTTTACGATTTCGACTACCGTTTTTTTTATGTGAACGCAACGATCCCAATTCTGTAGACATATTGAGTTTTCCCCAAAATATAGGGTTTCCGATTTCCATGTAATTATATCGTCGTGTTATGCAGTATGTGTTTTAAGTCCCGTTTAAGTCGTTGGCACGTAAAGTATTTATTTCTATGGTTTCTTTAGTTTGAAAATGTAAGATAAGTCAGCTGTGTTTTCGTTGCGATAAATTTATATTATCAAAGGAATAGTATTTCACTGAATAATAAATCAGGGTTCTATTGAGGCGAATGACCTGAAAGTACGACCTGAGGTCATTGACTTGACATAGAGAGCACAATTTACGATGTTCGGACCAGTGATTCCATCAGGCTAGTCAGCTCAAGTTATCAGTATTATAATGAATAAAAACTACTACCTTTACTATATAATAGTATATTTAACATGAAAAAAATGTATATTCATATTATTTTCTGTCCCAGCAGCGCAAAAGACCCTCCAAATATTCAACATTGAAATGAAATCCAAGATGAAGGCGCATACTATGACCGAGGACGTAGTTTTCTGGAAGTGGATATCTCCCAACACTTTGGCTCTGGTGACCAAAATATCAGTGTACCACTGGTCCATGGAGGGTGATTCGACGCCGGTCAAGATGTTCGATAGACATTCATCTCTAGCTGAGTGTCAGATCATCAACTACAGGACCGATCCTAAACAGCAATGGTTGCTACTTGTGGGTTAGTATCAAGCTTTAACTTGCTTATACGCTCGCGTTTTGTTCTACTATAATACTTTCTTTCTTATGTTATTTTTACTCAAAACAAACATTATATAATTTGTTAGTTTTAATTTGCACAGCCAGCTTATATATTTTCATTCATCAATTATTTTAACATTTCCATAGTGTGTAATGAAAGTCGGTTGATATAGATGTCCTATGCAGCTAAGCGACGCGCCGCCATCTTGTTAAATGTCAATTTGCGAGGGTTATCATCGAGTTTATAAAAGAGTTTAAATGACAATTGATTGTTGATGTTTATTCTTAGATCCCGTTGGGATGTATAGTTTGATGTACTATGAAATAAATGTTTGTTTGTTTGTTTAAATAAACAAAATGTGTTACTACCATCTCTATAGAGAAAATGTTAAAGAAGTTACTGGGAATCTACATAATTTAGATTAGAGTCAAAAATAATAATAATTTGATCTACTCACAACTGAAAGTTTGATTTAAGTTTTGTATTTGTGTTTATACATATATTTAAAATCAACCCCGAAAACTTTGTCTTAGTTTCAATAAAAATGTCGAGGTATTTCAAACTTAGTAATCACAGCTTTCTATTAACATGACCGTTTATCGCAAAGCAAATATTTTTATATTATTACTGTTATTATAATAAAACAGTTCTATAATTATCTTGAGATAAACTTATTGAGACAGATGCAAAGAGCGAATGCTATTTATTTCTTGTGTTTGCGTATATTTTTCAGTTGCATGTTTTTATTTTTTTCGTACAAATTATTATTCCTGATATGTACACTTCATCCTCTCATAGTGTTATTCTTCTGAAAAAATCCTCATAAAAATAATCTAATATTGATACGTGAATCTTCTTGTCTTTAAAGAGACCTGTACGAACGGAGGAACGTGGAATATAATAAAGTCAAAGTTTATATAGAAAAAGTGGTCGAAGCTATTTTATATAAAATAAAATTATAAAAACAAAAATATTACACACTACCATGACTTACACACACATATAGTCAACTAGCTTTCCGCCCGCAGCTTCGCCCGTGGGGAGTTCGGTTATATCGCGTTTCCAAGAGTATTTTTCAAAAATCTGGGGTGAAAACTATCCTATGTTCTTTCTCAAGGTCAACTCTATCTCTGTACCAAAATTTCATTAAAATCAGTTTAGTGGTTTAGGCGTGAAAGCGTAACAAACAAACAGAGTTAATTTCGCATTTATAATATTAAGTAGGGGTGTGTGGGTATGTTGTCATAAAATGTCAAACAATGACATTTCTGCTCTACTGTTAAGGTTGATATAATCAATTAATATAGGTCAAGTATCGGTCGTTACTCGATATCTGGCATATTCTATAGAAATTTTGCTGTAGGGTAACAAGCTTCTAATTTTAGATGAATTTCGACTATTTCCATATCTATTGTATCTCATATTGTATGAGATATTCAGTCGTGCATTATTAACTGTTCAAATATTTATAGTACTATAAAAGGTTGACACAATTCTGTTCTTTAGCTGTTGTTGCGAATTATTTGCGAATTATCATCATCATTTGTCCTCATATCACATCATTGTACGCATTGCTTTTCATGTAAAGAAAAAATTAATTGACTGAAAACTCTGTTTTAATGAAGATCAAAACTTCGCATGCTTGCATCGCTTTTATACTGATCATGTTTCTTTTCATTTCACGTAGTAATCTATGCATAATCTATAAATAATGTTATACATTCTCATTCACCATTGTATAAAAGGTGAAATAAAATTAAATTGTCTTCGATTAATTAAAACTTCATTAATGTTTCTGTTCATATTAAATTGCAAAAGAGTATTTAAGTTCCAAACTTAAATGTATTTTCTTCTTAATCGATCCTGACCACGGCCGTTATGAATACCAAAAAAAAAAATAGAAACAAATTATACGGCCATAACAAATGTATGTATATTATAGGTATCTCGGCGCAACAGAATCGTGTTGTGGGCGCTATGCAGTTATACTCGGTTGAAAGGAAGTGTTCTCAGCCGATCGAAGGTCATGCTGCTTCCTTCGCGACCTTCAAGGCTGAGGGTAACGCTGAGCTGTCTACGCTGTTCTGTTTCGCTGTCAGGACAGCACAGGGCGGGAAGCTGCATATCATCGGTCAGTATTATATTAAAACTAGTGGTTGAATGTCGAATTGACTGTATCAAGTACGATAAATCAGCATTTTCATTCGTTAAAAATATATAGTTAATGTGATGGTAATTGACCGCTAATTGTATGAAGAATATATATGAAAATATTATTAATTCTCGTTGGACTATATCTCAGTAATATGAAATTTAATAATTGTTGTAGTTTTGTAATAGCAACATTTAAGTATCACCAGTAACGCTTTACATTGAAAAACAAAACTGAAATTACATCATTTGTTTACAGAGGTCGGTCAGACCCCGGCCGGTAATCAGCAGTTCCCTAAGAAAGCGGTGGATGTTTTCTTCCCGGCCGAAGCCCAGAACGATTTCCCGGTCGCCATGCAAGTGTCGCCCAAATATGACGTCATCTACCTGATAACCAAATACGGTTACATCCATATGTACGACATCGAAACTGGCACCTGCATTTATATGAATCGCATCTCCTCTGATACTATATTCGTGACAGCACCCCACGAATCCACCGGCGGAATTATTGGTGAGATATAATTTTTTAATACATATAAATCATTAGCAGAGTTACTATATATAATACTACACAGAAACTCGTATTTTAATTGAACAATGTATACATAAATTTAAGCTTTTATCGTCTATAAAAAATTGTAACAATCATTTAAGGGAAATATTGTTTTATAATATAAAATATTTGCTTATTATTCTTGTTTCATCACTGGTTATAGCTATACCCCAAAATGTAAACAAGAAAACAGAAAGCTTTAGTGGCTTTAATTCCACTAGTTTTTTCTGTTACATTGATTAATTAAACAAAATCTACAATAAACACACATTCAGTTGCGTGACCAAAATGTATCACAATACCCTGGTTCCGTGATAGCTGGCTGTAGCAGCATTAATAAAATTATTTCTAAGAACACTAACAAATGACTACACGATAAGTAAATGTTGTTTCATTCTAGGTCTGTTCCATTGATTAATAAAGCAAAACCTACAATACACACACATTACTCAGTTGCGTGACTGAAATGTGTCACATTATTTTGGTTCCGTGATAGTTGACTGTAGCAGAATTTTAATAAAACTAGATCTGAAAATACAAACAAATATTTATAGGACTAGAAGACCCGGCGAACTTCGTATCGCTCTATAATCAAGAAATAACTGTTACGTTTTTTTATTTATATTTTTGGAGTTTACCTTTAAGCTATAAATCTCCGTGTTTTGAAGTGCGACAGAATGATTGACATATTAGTTAGTTGTCAAATCTAATGTAAAAAAAAAACGTTTGTATCAACAACTACCAATAAATTAAAAATTAATTAAAAAAACATTGTTCAGCGGACAAAATTGTGAATCTAAACCATTCCCAGATCCCCTTGAACACACACAAAAATTTCATCAAAATCGGTCCAGTCGTTTGAGAGAAGTTCAGTGACATACACACTCACAGAAGAATTATATATATAAAGATAAGTAAATAATGTTCTATTGTAGGTGTGAACCGCAAGGGTCAAGTTCTATCTGTGACCGTGGAAGAGGAGTCCATAGTTCCATACATCAACACGGTACTGCAAAACCCTGAACTGGCGCTCCGGCTGGCTGTGAGGAATAACCTCGCTGGTGCTGAGGAATTGTTTGTCAGGAAATTCAACATGCTGTTCACCAACGGACAATATGGAGAGGCAGCTAAGGTCAGCTATAGCTTGAACTGTTACTTGAACCATTAAATTATATAGTCATTATGGAAAAATTCTGTGATGTATGTAAGGAAAGGAATAAATGTATAACTTTCTAGATAATAATGTATCAGAAATAATTTTAATGGCTTTTATTAGTGTCTGACAAGAAAATACCACAAAATAAATTTTAAAAATATATATTTATGGTATTAAAAATAACGCCAGTGTTATTTCATATTTCGTATCCCATCGTATGAAGTAATAATGACCAGAACATTGAAAGATTTCATTTAACACAGGAATTTTGTCATACGAGTATCATAATGGCAATTTAATTGCATAAGAAACTTTCCTCACGCTATTCACAAGATTTCACATGCTTTAAGTGTTCATTAAAGTTGATGCATAAATTATATACATCTCACCTAAATAAAATACTACATATTGTCAATATTATACACATTATTTCTCAAAATTGGTTTGTCATTTTATAATAAATCTACATACACACATTCAAAACTACATTTTTATAGTATCTAGATTATATCAATCATATTAGAAGGAATTGTGAGTAGACCTTGCAACACAACCATTCTATAAATAAACTAGTGTTAAGACGTAGCTCGATTTATGACTTTATCCTGTCACGTGTATTTATAGATGTGTATGGGAAACAAGGAATTATGACGGAATAGACTGTCAATAGAACTTGTGATCATGAGAAAAATTCTAGAAAATGGACTTTGGAGACAAAAAACTTGTTATATGAAATTAGTTTAGAGTGATTTTGTTTATAATATAATATTTAGGATTTCATCCCTACTTATATTATAAATGCGAAAGTAACTCTGTCTGTTAGTTACGCGTTCACGCCTAAACCACTGAACTGATTTTAATGAAATTTGGTACGGAGATAGAGTTGACCTTGAGAAAGAACATAGGATAGTTTTTATCCCACACTTTTGAAAAGTTCTCTTGGAAACGCGATATAACCGAACTCCACGCGGGCGAAGCTGCGGGCGGAAAGTTAGTTATTAGTAAAGCCTCTTTTTAGCGAGTTAGTGTTGTCATATTAGTCTAATTATAATATAATAATGTATGCCACATGTAGGTAGCAGCTATGGCTCCCCGCGGTATTCTCCGCACGCCGCAGACGATCCAGCGGTTCCAGCAAGTGCCCACCCAGCCAGGGCAGACCTCCCCACTGTTGCAGTACTTCGGCATACTGCTCGACCAAGCGCAGCTCAACAAGTTTGAATCGCTGGAATTATGCCGACCTGTACTGCTGCAAGGTCCAAAACTAAATATATTACTATAATAATATGGTTGATTATATTAATATTCATCCATTATGTGTATAATGAAATTAAATAAATACTATACATTTTTTATAGGTCGCAAGCAACTATTGGAGAAATGGCTGAAAGAAGAGAAATTGGAATGTTCAGAGGAACTGGGAGATCTTGTGAAGCAGGTCGATCCTACTCTGGCGCTGTCAGTGTATTTGAGGGCGAACGTAGCTGCTAAAGTGATCCAATGTTTCGCTGAAACCGGCCAGTTTCAGAAAATCGTGTTATATGCTAAGAAGGTATAAACTATAAACAATTTATTCCACTATGAGAGGTCTAATTATATTGGCGAGTAGTTTGAAAGCTAATTCAATCAATTTTTCCATAGGTGGGTTATACCCCGGATTACATCTATCTCCTGAGATCTGTGATGCGTACTAATCCCGAGCAAGGAGCGGGTTTCGCTGGTATGCTGGTCGCCGAAGACCCGCCGCTGGCTGACATAAACCAGATCGTGGATGTGTTCATGGAACAGAACATGGTACAGCAATGCACCGCCTTCTTACTCGATGCCTTGAAGAATAACCGCCCCGAGGAAGGAGCTTTACAGACCAGGTCACTTTTAATACTTATTCCATCAACTCTCATACATTATTGATAATTAATACTCAAGTATTTTATATATTAATATGATTTTTTTTATTCGTAGGTTGTTAGAGATGAATCTAATGTCAGCGCCTCAAGTGGCCGATGCTATCCTCGGCAATGGTATGTTCACGCACTACGACCGCGCCCACGTCGCTCAGCTCTGCGAGAAGGCTGGCCTACTTCAACGAGCTCTAGAACATTACACAGACTTGTATGACATTAAGAGAGCCGTGGTGTGTATTATATGAACTTATTCAACCATATTACATCACAGTACAGACATTACTATATAAATAAGCATATAAACTGTATATAGATAAACCCTTCAAGATTATATCATGCTATCATTGTTGAAAGTGTGTTGGCGAAATACAGATGAATCGAATGCTGTTATAGACATGTTTTTTGTATTTATTTGTATGAATTATAAATACTTTGTATGGATAAAACATAAATTGTGATATATGTTTATGCACTCGATAATTATTTATGAAAAAACTACACTATATCTGGAATTTATGTTTAAGGAATTTATTCATTAAAGGATTTTTAAGATCTAGAAGTATTTGTATGATTGGTGGGTGAGTTATAACAACGTTATGTAATGTTGAATTTTATTTGCTGAAATTGATACTTCATGAATTTGGATAATCGTTTTCATCGTGGATTTTGTGATGTTTTTCGATGACATTAAAAAAATGGGTTGATTTATATTCAGTTTTCGTTTAGTTTCAGTTATATAGAACATTGAATGGAAAACCATTTAGAGCATGCCAATTATTTGTAGTATTGGTGCTCAAATAAATATAGTATTGTTGCATGAAGATCTATATACATTCAGAAATGTGTATTCATCTTATATGATTTGATAATTAAATTTTTATTTAATCATTTAGGTCTCTCTCCTGTCGCTTCATTTTTTCTAATTTTGGTGATACCGTATTTAGTATATTCAATGTTTTTTATTTATTATGAAATTTTATATACATAGATAATATAAATACTACTAAAACACTTTTAGACAATATATAAATGTCCTTAAAAAATACTTGTTGTAAATGTCAATTTGAATAATAAAATAGAAGTGACTGTAAGTGATTTGAGCCTCAGTTTATATAATTCTGATGTCTTGATAATAATAAAGAAATTTAACATGTGCTGTTGCGATAAAAATGTTCTATTTGCATTGATTTTAAAAGATTTTAATATGTATGTATATTACTAGGTACACACGCACTTGTTGTCCGCCGATTGGTTGGTGAGTTATTTCGGTACTCTATCAGTCGAAGACTCCCTTGAATGTCTAAAGGCGATGCTGCAAGCGAACATTCGTCAGAATCTTCAGATCTGCGTACAGATCGCAACCAAATATCACGAACAACTAACAACAAAGGCTCTTATTGAATTGTTCGAGAGTTTCAAGACTTATGAAGGTCTATTCTACTTCCTCGGCTCCATTGTGAACTTCAGTCAGGATTCTGAAGTACATTTCAAGTATATCCAGGTAAATTATCTCGTTTGTAACTATTTATATTATATGAAAGTAGTTTATATGCTTTAATATTTTATTTTCTGTTATCAGGCTGCATGCAAGACTGGTCAGATCAAAGAAGTGGAACGCATCTGTCGCGAGTCCAATTGCTACAACGCCGAACGTGTGAAAAATTTCCTTAAGGAAGCCAAACTTCCCGACCAACTGCCTCTCATCATCGTGTGTGATAGATTCGACTTCGTGCACGACCTCGTATTGTATTTGTATAGGAACAGCCTGCAAAAGTACATCGAGATTTACGTACAGAAGGTAAGTTATACTTATTATATCATTTACATTCACTGTATAGACAATATAAAAAGTGATTTTGGCTTTTACCTTAATGTAACGAGCTATTATATATGAGTCAATATTTATAAAATTCTTCATTAATCAAGAAGATAAATAGTATGATAGAAGTTTCTTCTTATACTTATTTCCATATGTCCAGGTAAACCCATCAAGGCTGCCTGTAGTAGTCGGTGGTCTGTTGGATGTAGACTGCGCTGAGGATATTATCAAAAACCTCATTCTCGTAGTGCGAGGACAATTCTCCACAGACGAACTAGTAGCTGAGGTTGAGAAGAGAAACAGGTATATAACCTTCCTTTGCATTTTTAATACATGAACTGATTTTATTAAGCCTAAATTGTATGGTTGTGTTTTTAGACTAAAGTTGCTCCTACCATGGTTGGAGACGCGAGTCCACGAGGGATGCAACGAACCAGCGACGCACAACGCTCTAGCCAAGATTTACATTGATTCTAACAATAATCCCGAGAGATTCTTGAAGGAGAACCAATGGTAGGTTACTCGTCTGAAATTATATTCTAACTAGCTATCCGCCTTATATTCTAACTAGCTATCCGCCGCTTTCAAAAGTCTGGGATAAAAACTATCCTATGTTCTTTCACAAGGTCATCTCTATCTCTGTACCAAATTTCATAAAATCAGTTCAGTTCAGAGTTACTTGCGCATTTATAATATTAGTAGAGACTAGTAATAATGTATATATTACTAAATATTCATATCAATATTATTAATCGTTTTTAATAGGTACGATTCCCGTGTTGTTGGTCGTTATTGTGAGAAGCGTGATCCCCACCTCGCTTGTGTGGCGTACGAGCGTGGTCAATGTGACCGTGAGCTGATCGCCGTATGCAATGATAACTCGCTGTTCAAGACTCAAGCTCGCTACCTCGTTAGGAGACGAGATCAGGATCTTTGGCTTGAAGTACTGGCTGAGTCGAATCCTTACAAGAGGCAGCTTATAGATCAGGTTAGAAAAGCATACACAATATATCAGTTAGTACTTAGACTGTCAAATCTATGAATAAACTATGCTGTTAGGTCAGACAGTTCTCATAACTTGATAAATGTGAATATAATCGGAATACTCAGCACATTTTTTTAACTACATGTGAATTCATTTCTCGTCTGCCCGTGATCACTGTTGCTGTAAAGTGTAAAATATCCTAAACGTCGGGAGTATGTATTAAAAATAATAAAATATGTGCAGTAATTAGAAAATATTAATTTCATTTAAATGAATACTCGTGCAAATCTTAGTCTTTAACTTGTTAATTTTTTCTAAGAGTAAATATTAAACAGAAAAATATTTTTAGGTTGTACAAACGGCTCTGTCGGAAACCCAAGACCCTGAGGATATTTCTGTAACGGTGAAGGCATTCATGACAGCTGACTTGCCGAATGAATTGATCGAGTTATTAGAGAAGATTGTTCTAGATAACTCCGTGTTTTCTGATCACAGGAACTTACAGAATCTGCTTATTTTGACAGGTTCGTAATATAATTAATAATTAACTAGTCTTTTCTACACAAAATTTATTAAACAATATATCTCCAGCCATCAAGGCCGATCGCACTCGTGTTATGGAATACATCAATCGTCTGGACAACTACGACGCACCGGACATCGCTAACATCGCAATCAATAATGAATTATATGAGGAAGCTTTTGCTATCTTCAAAAAGTTTGATGTCAATACATCAGCCATTCAAGTAAGGATCGCATGATTTCTCCTATTATTATTTTTGTCTAAGAAATATGTATGAAACTATAAACAAGATTGTATTTTCGACTGGTATATATAATTAATTCAAAATATTTTAGGTGTTGATCGACCAAGTAAAAGATCTGCAACGTGCTTATGAATTCGCCGAGCGTTGCAACGAACCGGGCGTTTGGTCTCAGCTTGCCAAGGCTCAGTTACAACAGGGATTGGTTAAAGAAGCCATCGATTCCTACATCAAGGCAGACGATCCATCCGCATATATGGACGTAGTTGATACAGCAACCAAACAACAGTCATGGGAAGATCTTGTTAGATACCTACAGGTTAGTTCTAGACTATTTATACAAGATATACATCGTTTAATAGCAATATTAGTGATGACAGATATTCTGATGGAAAAAAAATTAAACCTTCAAAGAGGTTTTACTTTTGTGTTTCTTTATAACCGAAAAGATCGGTCCTGGAAAGCTAACTTGTAAAATATGCTTTAAATTAAAAAATATATATTTCGACCAATACATGTATATAATGCAGACTTTCATAAGTGAATATTCAAAATATTTAAATATTCTAAAGATATACATACTATCATCTCAATAGTTAATTATAATATGCTAAACTAAAAATTTATTGATTCAGATGGCCCGCAAGAAGGCACGTGAGTCTTACATAGAATCGGAATTGATTTACGCCTACGCTCGCACTGGGAGGTTGGCTGATCTCGAAGAATTCATCTCTGGTCCGAACCACGCTGACATACAGAAGATAGGAGACCGATGCTTCGACGATAAGATGTACAACGCTGCTAAACTGCTATACAATAACGTTAGCAACTTTGCCCGTTTGGCAATCACTCTGGTGCATCTCAAAGAATTCCAAGGTACATACAAGATTAACGATCGCATACGAATCGCTTTTCATCTAATTTTATTAAAATAACCCAATATAAAGACTAAATAAAGTAGTGTTGATATAAAATTTGAATAAAAACTAACTAATATTCGCAGTTAGGTATTGTTGCTCTCTATTTATATCAGATACAATATAACTTAATAACAAATCAATAAATATAATATCTATAGATTTAAGTCAATTGAGAGTCTATACTCATTTTTTCATTATAAAATTATCTTTTAGTTTAGTTTAAACGTTTTTTTTTCTACCAGGCGCTGTGGACAGTGCCCGCAAAGCCAACTCCACTCGTACATGGAAGGAGGTTTGCTTCGCATGTGTCGACGCCGGTGAATTCCGCCTAGCTCAGATGTGCGGACTACATATAGTTGTTCACGCTGACGAGTTGGAAGATCTTATTAATTACTACCAGGTATATATAATATATAACAATAACTTAATTTATGTAGTACTTACCTGATAGCGATGTTTATGCTCATAGAATACGTTATATGTATCTGTGATGAATTATTTTTATATCAATCATGTATTTAATTTTCTTATAGGATCGCGGTCATTTCGACGAGCTCATCAGTCTACTTGAAGCTGCTCTCGGTCTAGAACGTGCTCATATGGGAATGTTCACTGAACTTGCCATACTGTACTCCAAGTACAAGCCAGCTAAGATGCGCGAACATTTGGAATTATTCTGGTCTCGCGTTAACATTCCGAAGGTTAGTACGACGAAGAAAGTATTTCAATTCAATATGTTTTATGTATTTACTTGTAATATATATAAATTTTTATCTTATATATGTATATGAACTAAAAATGATATAGAACAGTAAATTTATTTCATATAATTTAAGGTTCTTCGCGCCGCCGAACAAGCTCATCTATGGTCCGAGCTAGTGTTCCTGTACGATAAATACGAGGAGTATGACAACGCTGCTCTCACCATGATGCAACATCCCACAGAGGCATGGCGAGAGGGCCACTTCAAAGATATTATCACTAAGGTATGCCTATTAAAATTGTACAAACTACGTGGTATTTAATTCAAGTAATAATTAATATATGTATATTGTTTTTATAGGTGGCGAATATGGAGCTGTACTATAAAGCTATCCAGTTTTACTTGGACTACAAACCTCTGCTTCTGAATGATCTTCTGCTAGTATTAGCTCCTCGTATGGATCACACTCGTGCTGTGGGTTTCTTCACCAAGGCCGGTCACTTGCAACTTGTTAAAGCCTACCTGAGATCCGTACAGAGCCTCAACAATAAAGCCGTCAATGAAGCTCTCAATTCCCTGCTCATTGATGAAGAGGATTATCAGGTATGTTAGATGTATTACAATAAAGGGGACCTTACTTATTCGTTTATTTATCGAAGATTGTTTTCTTCTTCATCTTCTTCCTGGCAATTTCCCAGCTTTAGCCAGGGTCTGAACAGTTACGGGGATTGTTTTCAATGTTTGATAATTGTTTACAGGGCTTGAGGACATCGATTGATGCTTTCGATAACTTTGACACGATCGCACTGGCTCAGCAACTGGAGAAACACGAACTCACCGAGTTTAGGAGAATTGCTGCCTATTTGTACAAAGGTTTGTTGACACTATTAATTTAATGGTCATAAAGAACAAGTCCTTAACAATATTCTATACTAAATGCATCTTAAATTCACATATATGTCATTTGTTAAGCAACTTTTTGATCAATGGTACTAAATTATTTGAGACATTCAAAATCTATTAATACGAATCCAATTAGAAGTCTCATTGGCAGTTTTTGCAACACTTTCATTAATTAATGGGTAACCTACTTAATAAAACACTTGTTTATAAATTTTTGTTACATTTAGGCAACAATAGATGGAAACAGAGCGTCGAACTTTGCAAGAAGGATGCTTTGTACGCCGATGCCATGGAATACGCCGCTGAGTCACGTCAGGCAGATGTCGCTGAGGAACTTTTGGACTGGTTCCTTGAGAGACGCAACTACGAATGCTTCTCAGCTACTTTATACCAGGTAAATAAAATATACTATATAACATATACAAATAACGAATGCACTTTGTATTGATGACTGAAGAAATGTATATAAATATAAATACTTTAATTATTGTTCAATATTTCTCAAACATGATTTTAGATTTTATACGTTAATTGATTTTGTATTACAGTGCTACGACCTCTTGAAACCCGATGTAGTTATTGAACTGGCGTGGAGACATAACATCATGGACTTTGCCATGCCGTATCTCATCCAAGTAAGTAAATCGAAAAGTAACGTTAGCAAAAAAATATATCAAATAATATATAGAACTTTGTGATGATATAAATTATATTGCAGACCGTACGCGAACTTACAACTAAAGTTGAAAAATTGGAGGAAGCTGATGCCAAACGTAGCACAGAGAGTGCTGAACAAGAAGCCAAACCAGCGATGATTATGGAACCACAGCTTATGCTTACTGCCGGTAAGATGAATAAAAAAAGATTTACTACTATAATCAGACGTTATGTAACTTTATATTATACTGCTTACGATTTTTCTTTAACAATTGCTGTATTTTAACGTGATATCATTAAATTTTCTATTTCAATCACAAACTGAATTTAAAAGAATACAATATCACTTCCTTTGTGAGCAACTAAAAAAAACATGGCAACATTTTCTACAGTTAAAGTTACATATTTAATCATTTATATAAATTGGTGTAACAGTTGATAAGCTTGATGCTTTATATTTGTCATTTACAATGCAAAACAAAATGACAGAAACCACTATTCTCAACTTCAAAATACAAATAGTTTTAACATTATAATCAATTACGACACAATAATTTATAATTTAAACCTAATATTTGCATGCCTTATGGTAGGATGTACCTGGAACTTATACTAAAATCTATTTGTACACCTATATTCTGTACCTACAGGCTACATTCAGAGCAAATAAATATTATTATTATTAGGTGTACAACTTTGCTTCCGCCGTTTTTTTCCGAAATTTGAGGCTTTATTGTAAAAAACTGGTTATACATTTATGATTGAAAGTATTGTCCATCGCTGGCCACTACTTTCTCCCATCTTTCGGGCAGCATACGAATTCCGCGTTGAAAAAACTGGTCATCTTTTGAAGCGATCCACAAATAGATCCAATTTTTAACTTCTTCATAAGACCGGAAGTGCTGGTCAGCCAGGCCGTGTGCCATTGATCGAAACAAGTGATCCGAAGTCCGAGCGAGCAACGTCTGGAGAATACGGCGGGTGGGGTAGGACTTCCCATTTCAACGTTTCTAAGTATGTCTTGACCACTTTCGCAACATGGGGTCGAGCATTGTCGTGCTGTAAAATCACTTTATCATGTATCTCGTTGTATTGCGGCCGTTTGTCTTTCAATGCTCGGCTTAAAACCATTAATTGCGTTCGATTACTATCGCCTGTGATTGTTTCAGTCGGTTTTAACGACTCATGCACTACGCCGAGCTGGTCCCACCAAATACAGAGCATACCTTGGAACCGTGAATATTCGGTTTGGCCGTCGACGTGGAAGCATGGCCGGGATATCCCCATAATTTTCTGCGCTTGGGATTATCGTAATGAACCCATTTTTCGTCCCCAGTCACAATGCGATGCAGAAATCCTTTCCGTCTTTGCCTTGCAAGCAGCTATTCACAAGCAAACAAACGCCGTTCAACATCTCTCGGCTTCAACTCGTACGGCATCCAATTTCCTTGTTTCTGAATCATTCCCATGACTTTCAGGCGTTTTGAAATGGCTTGTTGCATCACTCCTAATGATCCTGCCACTTCTTGTTGAGTTTGACACGAGTCTTGATCAAGTAATGCCTCCAATTCTGCATCTACGAAAACCTTCTCTCTTCCACCGCCTTGCCGGTCTTTGACGTCAAAATCAAAGTTCTTGAAGCGTTAAAACCACTCTCGGCACGTTCTTTCACTAATAGCGGCCTCTCCACAGGTATTTGAGAGCATTCGATGAACCACAGCCGCAGATTTCTTCATATTAAAGCAGAAAATTAAAACCTCCCGCAAATGACAAGAATTTGGCTCGTAAGCTGACATGTTTAATCGAGAATAACTTTATGGTGCAGACACAAATCGACTAATATTTCGATGGCGTTATGTTTACAAATGCCTAAGCTTATTGTATGACATCTACGATCTATTTATTTCGACTACCACTTACCGCTACAACCATCTATTGCAAAACGGCGGAAGCAAAGTTGTACACCTATGTATTATAATCTTATTATGAGTTTTATGTATATGTGTTTAATTTTATCATAAAATTTAATTTCCAGGTCCTTCGATGGCTTATCCAGGTGTGCCAGCGCAGTCTCCTTATGCTTACGCCGCGCAGGCTCCGTCCCCGGCGCCCTACCACGGCTACGGCATGTAGGGAACCGCCCGGCCCTCGTGGGGCTCCTTCGCGCACTTCTAGCGCGCCATCATAACACGCCTTAACGTATAGGATAGCTCTGGAATACATCGATGCTAATACCGTCCATGTATTCCACAGATGGAGGGCGTGTTATAATAAAATCGGATCGTAAAATGTCAGTCTCTTCGCAATTTTGACAACAGTCTCACCTAATACCGTTCACGTTAAACTATACATAGATTTTCTACAAAACGGGTTTAATATAAGCGCTAAGCGAAAAGGCCTAATGTAGCTTGACATAACAACTAAATCAGAAATGCGAAGAGACTCGTTTAGTTTGAATGTCCTAGCCACAGACGAACTGTTGGATGCAGCATGTACTCTATACCTCTAAAATATATTACGTACCTTCAATGAGTAGTGAATTGTTCTAAAATTAACTTTAATCGTTGTTATTAGTAGGAGTTTGACAGCCTTAAAAAAATATATAAAGTCTGCTTTACCCAATCAATATTTAGAAATTTTACGCATACATGATGTATTTTTGAATATCTTATTGAATCTGTAGTTAGTAGAGATCGCGTGCTCAAACCTGTAACCATTTGAACCAATCGAATATTCATATTAAATATTAAGACTAAAATATACAAAAGATTAGAGAAATTTATTATATTTAAAAAAAAAAGTTAATTAGGCGTTTTGCTACATTCTGAGCAGCTATAACCAAATTTTAGATCTGCCAGAGCTTAATTGTAACACTGAGTGCATAGACATAAATGTTTATGTAACGTTGTGCTTGAACGGTGACACATTTATGGCCAAGTAGCATTTAGATGACACACGAGAAAATTATTCGAAATTATTGATTCATATATAATAGTTAAGAAGTAATTACAGATATTGTTCACTAGTTAATTTATTTAATAAATATTTGAAGGGCATGTTCAGGTATATTCAGAATATTATTGAAACTAATAATTGAGTTAAATAGTGCAATAAACCATAACGAATTGTGTTGCTTTCAAATTTAAAAGGAGAACAACTGATAAACAACATTGTTTGATGTACAAAAATCAATTCGTTTAAATTGTTATATGTATATAATGCTTGAAGAAATGTCTAGTATGTGGGGGACCTTTGAGAACAGCTTTTAATATTTATGGTTTATAAGTAAAGTAAACAGTAGGTACGTTTAGTAATAGTATAGGCTGCGTTAGTGGTGATGTTATATTATTTGATTTAATATTGTTTGCGAGCGTGCAATGTTTGTATTGGACACGCGTGTAGCTTGCGTTGCGTCTTATCACACCTTGATATGCCTTCATAGTTGATGTTAAGATTATTGATTATTGTAGTTGAACCGATTGTCCTCCGGGACGTTTTGTTATTGATTGTCAGTGTAACATTCTTTACATACAAGCTTACGATATTATATAATACCCAAAATTTATTTAAGCATATTAAGTTAATAGCGTTTTTTATTATGTTTATAATAAATTAAATGAATCATCTCAATCATTCCCTTCATTGAATCACCGTAACTAATGTTTATTAATTATTATTATTAATATTATTTTTTTTGTAATAGAGCTAATAATATTATAAGACAGAAATTCATTGTTTAATTAATACATTATTAGTATTGTATTTATTCGTGTATGATACTATTCCCCTGAATTTTATTGTAAGATTATATTATATGAATAAATGGAAGTTTTATTTATTAATCCATGACTACCTTTCGACATTTTTCCTATTTCACCATCAATGTAACATCTCAGATATTGTTGTATTTAGAGAGTAAGTGGGGTTTTTGTCTCCGAATTGAATTCGTTATTTTTGCTTTTGGAATGTAAAATAAATACGTTACATTACTATATTAATACAAAATACCGCTTTAAAGAAGTTGTTATGTAAAACATTTTTAAGATTTTTATATTAACTGCTTCAAGATATGTACCTATATGTAATTGATATGTATTCCGCCTTTTACAAATGGCCCGTGACATCCATTTATAAATGGTATAATCAACACTAACCTCAACTAGTATTTTTTATTCGACATCTATTAAGAGTCATGAAATTTAACATTTAAATTATCTTTAACAATCCATAAAATTTCATGAAATCGTGACATACCATTTTTTCTATACCTTTTCCCCTTATACTGAAGTGTCAGTCACTCACACTATTTATCATTCATAAATCTTTGCACATGCTAGCTTCAACGTAGATTTACAAATGAAAAGCCGGGAAATGTTCTCTTTTAGTGTAAAGATTGATGAGGCAATCTTATGGAACGGGCGCTGCTCAAGTAAAATACAGTAAATCCAGAAAAATAGATAAGGTTGTATTCTGCTCATAATAGGTATTACGTTTTTTATTTACTGATTATAGAACTGTAATCTATAGAAAGACTAGTATACATGGAAATAATAATTACCTTCAAGAGACTTCGTTTTTATTTGCTTCTTCAATCCTTAATGCTTTTACATATTTTTAATTCCTTATGCATCGTATAAAAGGAAAAGGAATAGGTATATGAAAAAAAGCCCTATAATTAATTAGATCTATAATCAAAATAGTATATATTTGCTTAAATTAAAAAACACTGTAGTTTTATAATATGTAACACCATTAAGTAAATAGAATGTTTTACCGTAGTTCATTGATTAAAAATTTTTAGTTCTTCGTTATACCACATACATATTTAATTATCTGAAATAATAAACCGAAAAGGGGTTTTATCATTACCTAATTACAAGGCTTCCTGACTCGGAAATTGAGAAAAGGTACTTAAAAACGAAGTTGTTCATAACTTTTTTAAATAAAATTTTCTTTTACATTAGGTTCATTTTGCAATTAGTATCAATCTAAAAAGTGATATTAAGTACTCCTAAAGAAAATTTATTAAGTTTTATTAAAATTTTTCCTAAGTCTATCAAATTTTAAAATAACCACAGCTTAAATAGACGTCAAAGTAAACACAAAAAATATTTTTTTTATAGTCATTATCTTGAAACTTCAAGACTTGACTTCACTCGTGTGACGTTTGTGTAGTGTGCGATTATTTAATTTTGAAATATATAATGCCATACAAACGAAAGAAATATCATGTCGGAGATACCCATTTAAAAAAACGCTGGCGAGTGCGCAATAGGAAGAAGGATTTAGACCAAATAGACGTAGATTTGAAAGAAGGTTAGTGTGAAACGTATGGTTACTCTAAACACATGCTATTTAAGAGGTTTAGGTTATAATTTTTTATAAATCTTATTTTTACAGAAAATGCAGACAAGTTATTGAATCAAAGCGTCGATCTCGACTTACCTGGTGCTGCTCAATATTACTGCCTACATTGTGCTCGCTACTTTATCCATCAACACGCTCTTGCCGACCATTTTAAAACGAAGGTACACAAAAGGAGATTAAAGGCATTGGAGCTCGAACCATACTCCATAGAAGAATCTGAGAGAGCCGCGGGGCATGGAAACTTCAAGCTACCTAATAAACGTAAAATTGTCACACAAGAAACTAAAAACATAGAAAACGAAGACATAACAGAGAGGGATTCAGAGGAAGTTATTCCAAACAAAAAGAAAAAAACTGAAGAAAATGATACATAAAATATATAAGCTCATTCTTAGTACTAAGGTCTACGAGTTTAATAAAATCAATAAAAGATCCTCAGCCCTGTTTATCAATAGTCTTAAAGCAACAGATAATTTTGCTTATATAACACCACACATAGATTATCAGGAAAGAATTAAGAACAAAGAACTGCTGCAAAATAATTTGGATAAAAGAAAGTCAAAAATTGTTCTGAATAAAATAGAAAATCTTTGGTCTGTTTATGAAGACTTAAAAACTAGAAAATTACAATTGGAGGAAAGGAAAAGTGTTGTATCCAAGGAATTAGGAGTTCTGATTAAAGCTGAACAACAAGGCAACCATGTTGAAAAATTGAAAATCCAAAATAGTCTTTTAAAAGAAAACATTAACAAACTAAAAATTCCATTGTGGTCAGCAGAGGAGGCAGCTGTTGTGGAAGCTTTAAAACTACCAAATGAATTACACTCTTTAACTCCATGTACTAATAAAAATATAATCTATGAATATGGATCCAAACCATCAAATAACAAAAATCATAGAGATATTGGTGAAAAACTAAATATATTACAACATACACAAAATGGAAATTATTATCTAAAAAGTGATGCAGCATTATTTGAATTGGGGGCCAAGTTTTACTTCAGCGGTAAATTAAAACAAAATAATTACACACAGTTCTCAAATCCAGATTTTTCCAAGAGTCTCATTATAGAAGGATGTGGGGTGGATCATACCGATCCAAATGCAACATTTATTTTACACCACAATGAAGACAGTAAAATCAATATTGATAATCGCCTGCATTTGACGGGTGCTGGGTCTTTATTTTCTTTCCTGGCATACTATGCTAAAAACATTTTGCATGGTAAATCATTGCCATTGAAATACTTTTCTTTGGGGAGACAGTACATACCTTCTAATCCAAATGAGACCAGCTTACTACACACTAGTCAAAGTTCAGTTGTTCAATTATTTGGTATAACAAAAAATAGCACAGATGCTGATATAATGTTGCAGGAAACTATTGAGATTGTTAAAAAACTTTATGGTGAACTTGGTTATCATTTCCGTTTGAGCTATGTACCTGCATGCGAGTTAAATATGTGGGAATCTTTAAGGTTGGCAATAGAAATGTACTCCAGTTCTCTACAAAGTTATGTAGAGATTGGAAATATATCAATAAGTGATGACTTTATTAGTAAGAGACTAATGATTATGTATGATCACGAGAAGCAACATAAATTCCCTCATTTAATATCTGGTACAGTTCTCAATATACCCAAGTTTTTGGCATGTGCTTTAGAACAAGACGGAGATTTCATTTTGCCTGAACAATTTAAGGTGGAAAATTGGATTAAATAAGAGATACTACTAAAGTATAAATATTTATTTCATATAATTTCATTTGTAATCACAGATGGTTTTGGTTATTCAAATCAAATTGATATTCTTTCCTTTCCCAGTATGGATCTTCAACATTTATAGGTGATTTCATGCTTACTTCAATTAAATCAACATAACCTGATTTTGTGACAAGTAAAATTGTGTGAGCTCTGAAAATTAAATATTAATCAAAAATGTATAACAAAATGTGAAACATATATAAAATGGGTTCTCAAATACCTTGTACCATATTTTGCTTTTGGTATGCTTACAAAAATGGAGCTCAATTCTTTGTAAATATTCGGCTGTCTGTTTTCCAATTGAGAGTCAGGCAGATTCCTGGAATAATTGATTTAGTAAGTAACACCAAATGTCTGATTTTTTGTAGTATTTAATAAAATATAAACCAACCTCTCTGTATTTTTTAAAAACCTTGTCAATTCCTCGATTAACTCTGCTTTGTCAGTGATTTTACTATATTTATTGCATATATTCCTTAATTGTTCTTTACCGGCTTCCACCTTCTTCAAAGGTTTGTCAGGAAGACTGTTTCCAAAACCTAAGTAAGTTTCATTCCATTGTTCCAATTTATCAGTTACATTTGTATAACTATTAACTGTAGGTTCAGAACCTCTGTAATTTAAAGTTGTTACTTGTTTATATTTTTTTCTATTAAAATAAAATATAATGTATGTTGAGTATTATTACCCATATTCTAAAGAGATAAATATAAAGTCATTGCACTCATTTGCATAATCTCTGATGATTTCTACATATTCTTTTGTATCATATTGGCTTTTGACAAAATCAGCCACAATTCTTCCTCTGGCTGTAATAAAAAAATATATTAAAAAAAAAACAATAATATAATTCATATGTTAGTTTCATTGACTTTTCATATACTTACATTGCACATTTCCTTTTTTGGATCCAGGTAAATTGAGCAATAATCCTAATTTCTTCAGTACTGGATTTATTGCCATCCATGTTCCATTACCACTTCCCGGTTGTAAGTCACGTCCTGTGGAAGAAAATGTTATTAAAATTTGTTAAACTATTTTAAAATAGTTAAATTAGCTAACGGAACTGACAAACCCATACCTCCATATACATTAGGATTTTCCGTCCAAGGGTGTATAGGTTGTGCTGGCCGATTATAATATTCATCTCTATTTGCTACTAAAATAAATCTGTAGTCACTCTTGACGTCCTCTGTTCCATTATATATGAAAACTATGCACATATTTTTGTGTAAAAAGTTGTTGTAAAATACTCTTGCAGTCTTTTTAATAAATAGATAAATTTTATGTTTATCACAGCAATGATTGTCTAATAAATTAAATTAAGGATATCTCTAAAATAAACTTTAACTCAAATAAAAGAAATTAATATCAAATTATGCAATTGCCTAATATCAGGTATTTATTTATAACTTAATTATAATATCATTTTTTAAATAAATGTGTCACAGATTTATGTCAGTCACATGATTTCTTCTTTGTAATTTATACGCTAAAAAAACAAGTTTTCATTCAGTACCTATACGATACCTGCTCATGGTAAATCATTCGCATAAAATGTTGATAGAATCGATTTCTTAACTATAAATGTTAATGTTATGATTTATGCCTCAACTTGATAAATATCACAAATATTTCAATAATTTGTAATTAAAATGTGATTTTGAGGAGTAAATTTAATTAGGATTAATGAGTATTACATTTCTCATTTGTTGTTGAACTAACAACTTTACTTGATTGTATAATTCAAACACTACTGTGTCTACCATTTGCTTGTGACGTCTGTCAAAACTTTGACTTTTGTGCCTTGAGAAAATAACAATCCTTAACAATTGTACCACGGTACAAATTTTAGTGTTAATAAGATGTATTCTAACGTAGAATGTATTAGACTGTTTTATGTATAAATCATAACATTTGTACGTAGGAGAAAGTGTAAATAATATGCCATGGAACCCAACATGTCATTCTTCAGTCTTCCAGTAAGTATCTTTACTTCTTTTTGCAAACAATTATCAGTTTAATATTAACAAAATACTAAAAACGTTTCAGTTTGTGGATTCCGAAGCCACTGATTTGGTTTTGAAGAAGAATCAAGAATGCGAATATGACTTCACAAATGACCTGCCTTCTCATGGGTCATTATTGGGCACTGACGATGTTTTGGCTCAGTTTTTGTCCGCTGATGGACCTCTCGAGGAACCCGACCTTAACGGGCCTACAACATTGCACTGCGAGATATGTAGCAAGAAGTTTGATAATGCCAAGAAGTATTATGGTCACTTGAGAGTACATTCTAAGGATAATCTTTGGATATGTGGTAAAACGATTGTAACATTATACATATAAATTATATCTACACATAGAGTGGGCATATGTTTTGTAGGTTTCGAAAGGAGCCTCAATTTATGTGTGTTTATGTGTATAACTATTGATGCTCATTGTTTATTGTTTCAGACAAGTGTCCAGATCAGAAATTTGCTGTTAAACAACAGCTGATGAAGCACAGCTTAATACACAAGCCGCTTGCTAGAGTTTGGAAGTGTCCACAGTGCTCTATGGCATTTGAGGCTTTGTGGCGTTTGCAGCAACATTTGTTTGCTAAGCATTTAGATTATAGGTAATGCTAACATAACAGAAGCAAATTTAATTATGGTTACTCTTAATATACATTTCTTCACTTTTTAATCTGTAATAACTTTTTCATTTAATATATTTTAGGCCCCATAAGTGTGAGCAATGTGACAAATGCTTTCACAAACCATCAGATTTAAGAGAACATTTGGACACTCATAAAGGTAGGATTTTTTTTTTAAAAACAGCATAGCAGTTCTTATTTGTTAAAGTACAATGTTTTGATGGTTATTTAATAGATATTTTGTAGTACTTTTATAAAATGCATTGATTACATAACTTAAATATCTTACAGTGAATATTGGCAATGTTAAAATTAAAACAAAAAATGAGTAATAATTGTATGTATTATAGATATTAAAGCACATGTCTGTCCGAACTGCGGAAGGCGTTTCAGTCATAAATCGAATCTGAAAAGACATATGATATTGCACGGAAAGGAGAAACCTTTCAGTTGTATGGGATGTCAAACGAGGTTCACACAGGTGTGTATTTGTCATTTTAATAAAAATTATATGTAAAAAAAGGTTTTATTTGTACATGTTGGACTTATGATGTTAAGCAAAATGTATCTTTAAAAATTGAACACTAAGTAATTAAGATTTTTGAACCGTTTTTTTCTGTAATTTTTTTCAGGTAGCATCATTGAGACGTCATCAGAAAAATTGCTCTCAATTCAAATCACAGAATCCTGTTCAATCACAGGACAAAACTAGGAAGAATTACTGCAGGGTTTGTGGAGCTACTTTTCAATATAAAAGTTCCTTGCTAGAACATTGTATAAGGTAAATTATTCATAGAATTTGATAAAGTTGATTAATATTAAACTTATTATTTCTCACATATAAATGTTGATTTGATAATATAAAATTTAAATATAACATTTGTGTATAATATGTCTCTGATCCAAGTTAATACTGAAACAGTTACAGTTAGTAACTTGATTTTTTATGTTAAAAAGGCATATAACTCGGTTTTTATGAATAAAACTGTAAAATTTTTCGTTCCATCTGTAATTTCCGCGAATATAACTTCAAAAGTTTTGCTGTACAAATTAATATGTAAGCTTACAATTAATTTCAGACAACACACACCTCATAAAGAAGAGAAAGAAAAGAATACTCGTAGTAAAGACGCAACAAGAACCGAAGATAATATTGTTGATGATATATTATCTGTAGAAGATGACTATATGACTATGTCAAATGATCAAAGCGGTCTAACAAGTTACAATCATCAAGTAACGAACGATTCTGCCTCATACGACAACTTAATGCAAATAGAATTCCTTAAAGAAATGAATCAATTACACATATTGGACGACGAATTGCTCTACAACGATATAGATTTTGATAGTTTCCAAAATAATCAGATATTTAACATAAACCCTGGCGATATAGATTGTAATGATAAAAGTGAAGTTATGTTCGATTTCACCGATACAAACAAAAGTGAGGATCAAGATATAATGAACGCGATATATCAAGTCAAAGCGGAACTATTACCAGATGAGCTCTTAAACGTGGAGACTATAAACGCTAATAAACATCAAGAATTAGAGAACACTCAAGTCACTGTCAACGAATGTGCCACAATATTCGAGAGTGACGTAGATTTAGAGGCGAGTAGTAATCTGGCTGCGAATTTAAATCAGCTGATAGGTGAAAACAGTGTTCAGTATATATCCACAGAGGACGACGATATGTTCATCATAAGTCTAAACAGTGAAATCGATGCTGAACAGTTAACAGACATGTTGAATATAGGCGTCGGTGTAGTGAGTAAAGTGGAGGAAGCGACTGAGATAAAAAATAAAGAATTAGACAAAAGCAAAAGTCTGTTAGACAACATACAACCGATCATATTGAAGATCGAACAATCACAAGCTTCTAACACTAGTGACGTAGATACAAACGAAAAGGAGAACAAACAAAGTAGAAAGTTGAAGCGGAAACGGGTGCTATATGTTTGCTCAACCTGCGACAAAGTGTTCAAGAGACGAGACAACTTTAGATCTCACATAGGTATATAGAGACATTCAGAGCAATCTTGAATAATATCTCATTTAAATACATAGTGTGATATATTATAGTGAAGTAATCCCCCCTCCTCCCCCCTCCAGGTACTCACGAGGCGTCCCTCCGCCGTCACGTGTGTTCCGTGTGCGGTGAAAGGTTCAGTTATCGTTCAACCCTCAACAAACACAGACGAGCCACGCACACACCGCACGTAGCTGAGAGGCACGAATGTACGCGGTGTGAACGAGCATTCACCGCGGCTTGGATGGTTAGGATATATAGCACACACACACATACAAACAACTACACACACACACACGCATACTAAGAACTACAAATGAGTACACACACAAATACACATGCATGTATAAACAAACACACTCAAACAGATATGCATTCCATTACGTAAGAACAGAGGTACATTGCCATCTATGTATAATTATATATTGTTTCAGTTGAAAAATCACATTAAACGTGACCACGATCGTCTAACTCCGTACACTTGTGATTATAAAGAATGTGATAGGAAATTTTTCAAAAAATGCGATCTGGTTGTACATAAGAGGTGGGATATATTAATATATGTATATACTTTATATTATAATTTTAAGTTTAAATGATGATTATATATTGTTAGGCAACACACGGGCGAGAGACCATATTCTTGTGAGATCTGCAAACAGAAGTTTCTTCACAGTTCTCATCTCAAAAGACACGAGCGTGGAGTTGACTGCGCTAAAAGGTTACACATTAACATCTGCTTTTTATTCAATTAACCATACATAATAAAAAAATAATATTAATTTATTTTGTTGCAGGCGAAAAAGATAACTTTCAAGAACCTATGTCAATTTGTATTGGAATATAGAAAAATGTGTTATGAAGCTTTGTCGTTTGAGTAAATTGAATATTTAATGAATATAATCTGTGAAATTTATTCAGTCTGTTACTGTTTAAAATAAAGATAAAAATATCTGATAGTATTCAATTATATTTATAATTTTTATAGTTAATTTTCATTAGGACATTTATATTCTACTGTATTTGTAAAAATGTTGAAATAAACAATTCGTTGAAGTTACCTTGCTTTTTTTAATTACAATTGGAGTCTTAATAACTTTATCACTATAAAAACAATATAAATTAACACATTATAAAACAATATGTAATAAATATATATTATGTTATATTATTCAGAACATGATTTACAATAAATGACTGTATAACTTTTGTTATAATTTACTGATTATTTACAAGTTCGTATCTTTTATTTAAACGTAATAAGTAATATGTAATTTTTTTCAGAAGTAATTTTAATTATTATTTGGCTCCAAACATCTAATTAAGATATCCCTTATGCAAATATTTAAAAAAAATATTTTATCTATATAAATATAATAGTCATGATATGTATTAAAGAGAATCATAAGAAGATTTATTTAATTTTTTTAATTAATTTATTATTTACTATATTTCATTGATTTTAAAAGACAACACAAAACGGTACACTTAAAACTGAAAATAAATTAATAAAATTCATATGTCTTCATTCTTCATTCTTTCCATGAACGCTCTTAAACCGGCGTCGCTTGTGAACAAAGAGTTGAAGTCGTGGTGGTTTTCACCTAACTGAAAATAAATATTATATAATAATAATATTCCATACAATAAAAAATATAAATAATAATGAATATTTTTAGGTGGACTGATAGATTTTATACAATTGTCTTTTTTTTTGGCGCCAAATTCAAGGTAAATGACAACTAAGTCGCCGTACAGATTAAATAAGTTGAAGAATGTAGATTACAGTTATTGTGTCAGCATAATATAGATACGGATTTTATAAACTAGCCTAATTTGAATCCAGCAATGAGCATAACTTGATTGTTTATTATATATCTTTATAGCGATTACAATAATTATAACAATAATATATTTTGTTCTTTTTTTTTAGATAGCAGCCATATTTATATTAGCTTAGTGTAAGTATATAATAAAATATTTAACTTAATATCTGACTCACAATTTCCTTGACCCACTTAGCAAGATGCTCACTGTACTCTGGTTCTTGGTAACGAGAATCAACCAGTAGGACTCCGCCCCAGTCGCCGATATGACGTACAACCCTGCCCACGGCTTGGTTCAAAGCCCTGATATTATTATAAAGGAGTACATTATTTATTATTTTTGTATCAAGGAAACCGTATGACGTCATTGAAGTGTAATTAATTTACGCCCGTACATATATCGTCTATATATATGGACACACACACACACATATATATATCACACACACACGTATATCGTCATTAGCCTATCAGAGCCCTCTGCTGAGCAAAGGCTTCTTCACATAGAGAAAATTTGAACATTAATCACCACGCTTGTTCAAAACGGGTTGATGATTTCAAACTTATAATTGTGAAATTATAAGTCCAGGTTTTCTCGCGATGTTTTCCTTCATCTGTCAGTGGTGTGTAAATACTCTTAGAAAATACATATGATTGAAAAATCCCAATGGTACTTGCCAGGTTTCGAACCTGTGCCCTCATGGCGAGGCTTAACCTCTGGGCAACCACTGACCATATTTCGTATTGCTTGAAAAGTTCAAGTAAATATATTTTTTTAATGATAAATACCTATAAGCCTGTATTTTCAACCATTCCCGTCCATTCAACAGATTCCTTTTTTTCGAATATTTGTCGTTGTACTTCATTTTTTCATCTACAGCCGTGTCTTTATTGGGGTATGGAACACCTACCTTCAATGGAAAGCACAATATTTACATTAACAACAATAGTACATAGCATATGTTAAATTATTCAGATTCTTGTGAAATTTTTAACCTATTTCGTGACAATTATTTGATTTAATTTTGAATATATATTATTGAAAGCCGTTTCATTGATTAAATATAGGAAAGTGTTTATGCAAAATATAATTTGGTCTTTTCATAAATTACCAATATAATGATAACCAGTATATCTTGATCCCTGTATAGTATAATTATATATAGTTATATACTCACAGCTATAACAGCTCTAGCCTGGTGATCTTTGAAGTCCATGCCTTCAGCTACCTTACCGCGGTACACAGCCAGTAGTAACGCCCCTCTATCTGTTCCCACGCAATTATCGAATTCCTGTAGTAATTATTTATAATAAAATATATAACATATGAATAATGACTTGAAGTATTAAATCAAATGTTATTGGCTATCGCTAATATTGGATATTTTAAATGTATGAATTGCTTTCTATATTTTAGTTATATGTCATGTAAATAGAATATCATTATTTTATTTCTATTTATTCATTCATTTTACAAATTAATAATTTTGGAAATAATGTATTGAGAGGGACTAATCCGGAACAGATTACTTTATCTAGTAGTATACAATAAACGAAATTTTTATGATACTGTTATTAAAAGTGTATTTTATTCACCTTCATTATTTGCATGTGAGTCTTCATGTTATTACTCTCAATGAAGACATGTTTCTTTGCCTTCAATCTCTCCAATAAACGCGAACTACGCCACCTGAAAAGCGATATATTGATTTAAATAACAAATTTACATTAATAATATACATTTTTATAGACGTTATTAACCTTTTAAGAAGCAGGTTCATTACACGGTAGGAGGGTAGGAAGCAAAGTACACCGTGCGGCGTGACGTCACACACATCGTACACCGCCTCACCCAAGTCGTCTTGTACGTTTGATATGCTCGTATACTTACTGGTGCAACATATCTGCTCTCCCGACTTACCAGACTTGAGTGATCCTACCCACACCTGCATATAAAAAATATATATTTATATATGTATGTATATAAAAAAAGGCGTGTTAGTTACACTATTTATAACTTAATATTTGCTATACGGATATGGTTGAAAATTGGCGTAAACATAGTTTAGAACTACAAAAAGGACTTAGGATACTTTTCATCCTATGGAAAAAAAAATACAAAATTTTCTTTTCCACTGTCTTTTTCTAATACATTTCTAATTCTGACAATTTCCCAGCTTTAGCCAGGGTCTGTCTATGTGAGGCGGGCCTTTTAGCCACTAGAATATCACTGACTTTTAACTAACACGGACGAAGTCGCAGGCAAAAACTAGTCTATATTTGCACTCACTCGATCCCTAGGTATGACGTGTGGCGGGCTCACGGTGTGTGTGAACCGCGTGCCGAGTTCCGAGTGTAAACTGGTCATAGGTGTGAGTGTACCAGAAGCGAGGACCACACAACGTGATGATAACACCGAAGAAAATAACACCGCTGGGTTTAAACAGCATAGAGTCAATGATATGGACTCGGGTAGAACTTTCTGGAACATTCAAACAAAAACCATGAGAAAATTTCTTAATTAGCTATATGATTCCTAACAAATAACAAGATCAACTGACAGACATTTTCATCTAGTCTGGGAAGTAAAAAACCTTGGGAGTATGTTGTCAAAAATAATTATAAATTATATAATGAAATTGGATTATATTATATCTCATATCTGTATCATATACTTAAGTATTGTCGACTATTTTAAACTTCAAAGAAACTCGATTTTCATTTCAATAAACATTTAATAGCCTTTAAAGTTTTTATTATTATATTTATAATTTAATACATTTATAACGATTTCATAAAAAAAAATCCTCTAAATCCTGACTTTTTCAATACATTTCTTATATCATTATAACTCTATCATCAATATATATTATTTATGTATAAACCTGTTCAAAATTAGATTTCCTCCAATTTTGGTTGTAGTTGGCGTCATATGTTTCTATTTTGCGCACCAAAATGGGTTTGTAGTCGTCCATGCATGTACCGGAATTACGAAACAAATAACCTGGGAACATTATAGTAAGGATAATGTTAGTATCTCGTTATTTGTGAGTATGTCGGGTATTTGCGAGTATCTCGGGTGTTTGGGAGTATTTTGTGTATTTGTGAGTATCTCGTGTAATTGGGAGTATCTTGTGTATTTGGGAGTATGTCGTGTATATGTGAGTATCTTGTGTATTTGGGAGTATGTCGTGTATCTGTGAGTATCTCTTGTATTTATGAGTATCTTGAGTATTTGGGAGTAGGTATCTCTTGTATTTGTGAGTATCTCGTGTAATTGGGAGTATCTTGTGTATTTGGGAGTATGTCGTGTATATGTGAGTATCTTGTGCATTTGGGAGTACATCGTGTATCTGTGAGTATCTCTTGTATTTATGAGTATCTTGAGTATTTGGGAGTAGGTATCTCGTGTATTTGTGAGTATCTCGTGTATATGTGAGTATCTCTTGTATTTGTGAGTATCTCGTGTATTTGTGAGTATCTCGTGTATATGTGAGTATCTTTTGTAGTTGTGAGTATCTCGTGTATTTGTGAGTATCTCGTGTATATGTGAGTATCTTTTGTAGTTGTGAGTATCTCGTGTATTTGTGAGTATCTCGTGTATATGTGAGTATCTCGTGTATTTGTGAGTATCTCGTGTATATGTGAGTATCTCGTGTATTTGTGAGTATCTCGTGTATATGTGAGTATCTCTTGTATTTGTGAGTATCTCGTGTATTTGTGAGTATCTCGTGTATATGTGAGTATCTTTTGTAGTTGTGAGTATCTCGTGTATTTGTGAGTATCTCGTGTATATGTGAGTATCTTTTGTAGTTGTGAGTATCTCGTGTATTTGTGAGTATCTCGTGTATATGTGAGTATCTCGTGTATTTGTGAGTATCTCGTGTATATGTGAGTATCTCGTGTATTTGTGAGTATCTCGTGTATATGTGAGTATCTCTTGTATTTGTGAGTATTTCGTGTATTTGGGAGTATCTCGTGTGTATGTGAGTATCTCGTGTATTTGTTAGTATCTTGTGTGATTTTGAGTATCTGGTGTATTTGGAATTATCCATTTTAATTGGTAATAAAAGACTTATTAATAGAGTGTGATTAGCATTTGATGATTATACACGTATCTTTTATCATCTCGAGTATTTGCTAGTATTTCAAGTATTTGTCCTTTATACAACTATGAAAAACTTGTATTTCATAGTATGATGTAACTTATTCATCCTTTAGTATTAACAAATATGTTTGTGATATGAGTATTGCAATAAATATTTACAGTTTATGATACATAATTCTAATTTTATATTTTTAAGGAATATTTTATATGTATTTAAATAAATTTGATATTACCCAGGACTGTGTCTAAGTTTTCTATGACGGTGTTTGTACTTTGAGTGATTCCAACAAGGAGGCGAGGATCATCACGAAACTTCTTACAGAATATACCAGCGTGTTTGTTGAATTCTGCGAAAAATTAATATAATATATAAAAGTACTAGAGCGAGTCACATATAATTCAATAAATCATGACAGATCTTTAATTAATGAATGGTGTATCATATATCAAACATGGTATTATTTTACAAAAAATTAAAACACTAAATTTAATACAAAAATTTGGGGATACCGTCTTTTAAAATGTTAAAATTTTTATATAACATATTATAAAAAATACCATGGTTTATTTTTATTGTGTTTAATATAGAGTATGAGTGAATTATTTTAAGTTTAATCAAATACTTACCAGGATATTGTGTTTGGCCTATATTGTGATTGTTCAGAGTTTCTACGAACCGATCAACGTCCCAAGCGTATTCCGACACAGCTTCGTTTCTAGGTTGGTTGTCTAACAACGGCTTCTGATTTGCAAACCTTTGTAACATATATTTATATAACCAAAAACGATATTTCTTTTGTCCTATAAATAGAAATTGTTATAAATCTTAACTGACCATAAACACCATTCTTCTAGAGATGTTTGTAAGTACGTTATGTAGTCTATGGCATCGTTGTTTGCGAAACGGAAGCTGGACGCCGCTTTCATCTCCTGGAATCATTTTTTTCATGCACAATAAGGAAAGACAGCAAAATAATTAAATACAAATTTAATAATATTCTATTTGTTTTCATAAAATATATTTAATATTTTATTCATTTAGTAGCTGCGACTCGCGGTGTTACCCGCGGATTTCCGGGATTTCCGGGAGGTAAGGTAGCCTATATGTTATTCCTGGACGTCAGCTTCCTGTATACAAAATTTTATCAAAATCGGTTCAGCCGTTTGAGCGTGAAGAAGTAACAAACATACACACACACTCACAAACTTTCGCAATTATAATATTAGTAGGGTCAACGGATAATTCTTTAAAAAAATCTCCTTTATTGAGTGGGCGTCTCATTAGTGACGTCATTGTTATTAGTTTTATATGACGTCACAAGGGGTCCCAACTATAGTATATGCAGACAAACCTTAAGTGCATTTTCCATTTGTAACTTAGTGAATGTGAAGCTAGCCGCCTCACGGCACATATCCTCTATATTATGACCTTCGTCTATTATGACGACATTGTTCTCAAGATTTATTTGCATCTGGAATATATCAATTAATATATATATTATAAATCCTTTTTTATTTTTCGTGTGCTGTTTATAAAATTTTTGTAATAATATTTGATACATTCATAATTTTGTCATCGAAGTCAATAATCGATTTTATTTCATATCATACAAATGTTATTCGCGATTATAGAGCCTTTTATAAGCAAATTGCAAGTTTGACTAAAATGTGGTACTAGTTTGTAAAAAAAGTTGCATGAATGTGAAGACGTATCGAATATAGCTGTTTTTTATAAGTCTTACACTTTTCCTAATCGCAGGTTCAATCAAGTAGCTGTAAGGGCAGAACACGATGTGGGCAACTGAAGCCATTTTTCTTGCTGCGTAGTAGGGGCACGCTTTTTTCTTTCTACCCACAGAAACCAGAGTGTCTAGACTAAAAGCTTTTGGCAATGTACTGTGCTTGAGTATTTTGTGGTTGTCGTAGTAAACGCAGCTTGTTTCGCTATCACTGCTATTCTGGTTCTGAAATAGTTTTTCACCTGATGATTCTGTTAGATAAATTGTTTGTGACTTTGTTCTTGGTTCATAACATACCTTGGTGCAGCCTCGGCACATGTCGTTTTTCGACGGCCATCTGCTGCTATCAAAGTCTTTAATACAGCTGTGCTCTCTGCTCGATAGTATAGTCATTAATGCGTTCTCAGCGTAAACAGTCTTTGAGAATTCTTGGACCACTTGTTCCAGCTGTTTGTGTGTTCTGGCTCCGTAGTATATAATGGGAAGACTGCAATCAACCATCATCGATACTTGCACTTGGAGGTTCTCTAGCATCTCCTTATCACTGAAACCATCACCCAAACTACTGCTAACTACATACTACATACATTTATATACACACACATATACTATTAAACAACAAACATATAGTCTAAATACGTGCTCATAGAAATAAATATACTTCTTGATATAGGACAAAATATCTAAACGTAAATACCCTTTTCAAATATATTATTACATAATTAATATTTACAAATAGAACATGCATTATGATATCTCGATCTAATTGCACGACAAACAATATATACTAGAAGCAAACATAACATAGTCTATTCAATCATACGGAAATTTTACAATAAATCTTTATTTACATATTATATCCAAACTTACCTGTTACATTGTACGTCTTTGGTTACTGTCATTTGATTCTCACAGTGTGATTCGGTTACAACGCCGACCACAGCTTCAGATACATCTAGTTTCAATTTCTTTTCATTTCCAACTATTCGATCAGATTCTGGAAATTATATTCAATAGTAACATGTATGCCATCACGACATACAGTTGATATGAACAGTTTTTTTTTAATTGTGTGACTACCCTCATAATCTTGAAATATTCTTTTTAAAATTATTTGATAAAAAAACAGGTTTAAAGTTAACCTTCCAATATATAAACGTGTAAGCGAAAATAATTAATGTCAATTAATATTTTAAAAAAGCTAATAAAACGTCATTTTCGATGATTTATACATATATGACCGATAATATGTTATGACTTAGTAAATACAATATTAAACATAAATTTTTTATAATTTCTTAAGATTTTTTTTTACTAATGAGTAGTATTAGCCTCTATTAAGTGAACAATATTTTAGAAAAAATATAGGTTCATATTTTATATAAGAATGTCTTCGGAGTAGTTGTTAAGGAGATTTTCTTGTCGGCCTTACTCCTTAATTATACTTCAACAAAGGCAGCGTCTTAAGAACAAACTTATGATACAAGAATATACCGCTAACTACTAACAATTCAATGTTTAACTTAACTAATTGATTATAAAGTTGAAAGTTAATACAAATATATATAGTGGGATCGGCGAGTGTTCAGTCGGATGCGTTTAATGATTATGTAAAATTATTTAGGAGCAAGGTTTCTGGTGCGCGCATTTCAATGGGCTGACATTGAAAGGGGACGGTTTCAATACTTCAGACAAGACTGCTATTCCGGTAATGGCGTCATTGTTACGGGGGAGCCATTTTGAATTATCACAGAGATGTTACGTCATGTAAAAATTAAAATTTCCGCCGTCCGTTGTTGTGAGAATGAATTGAAACAATATGAAAATTACTTTCTTCTGCCTATATTTTTTTCTACTTTAATATTTTTACTTACCTTTAGAGTCGTCCAGAATTTCTTTTCTTTTTTTGGAAAGTGTGACGTAACAGTCTTCTACGTCTACAGTTGGTGTATCGTAAATGCTCTTTTGTCCTAAAAAACATAAATATTTAATTAAAAACTATATGAACTAATAATAATTACAAATTAAATATTATATTTAAAACGATAAAAATCTCCTAAAAATCAAACCTACAAGTTTAGAAACATAATAGACGTTAGATCAAATAATCATTAAGTTTGTAATTCATTTGTTGTTATAAATACATTAAAAAACGAAAATCCCAAAAAAACCAAGGCCAACAAGGTAATTTACTTTTTTTTATAATAATCATACATCCGCAGTAAATTTACTAACAAAACAATTGTGCCCCTATCATGAGTTTCACATCTAAATGATTTTCGAAAGTAATTTACGGAAAAACCATTAAAATTCCTAATTTGAAGGAGATCATATAAATAGCAATCGCGTACTGTATTCACGTTTTCGAATTGAGATAGATACATTGTCTAGTAATAAATAAAAATCGCTTCCAATCGACAAATAAATATAAATATTTATTGGAAACATCTAGTAGGGGTTTTCGTAAAATAGCGTTGGATTTAATGACGTGTCTCGAAGTACGATAGTATTTGATATAGGTGTTATCTGTAGATAAGGTAGTGAGTGAGGTGCAACAAGACGAACTGAAATGGACAATATCCTGGGCAAGGAATACGTCATGGTGTCTCAGGAGAACTTTGACGAATATCTAGTATTCATGGGTAAATATAATACGAATGTTTAATATCTTCAAATCATTTTTGTAGTTTATCTTTAAAACGTTTTTAGGGAGCTGGCGTTCAAATAAACAATATTACACTATTAATAGTAATAAAGATATTCATTTATTATGTTGCTTAATGAAATTATAGGAGGGATTTATTAGTATTTTTTTAATATTATATATTCTTCATATTATTATAAATGTACAATAGATATGGATTGCCAAAAGGCAATAAAATATTTACTTAACAAAATAAGACATAAATCTTATTTTGTTTTGTAAATAGTTTGTTGAGGAACTATATATTTATAATTTATAGATATTTACAACACTGCAGAAATTTTCAAATTGTTTAAAAAACTAAATTTTATTTTTTGTATTTCATAATAAAAATAATAACATTTATAATTGGGATAATCGATTTACAACCGCACATAGTCCGAGTATCGCTTGTGTGTTTTGAGTACACTATTTTATTTTTTGTATTTAATAATAAAAATAATAACATTTATAATTGGGATAATCGATTTACAACCGCACTTAGTCCGAGTATCGCTTGTGTGTTTAGAGTACACTATTTTAAATAATGTTAATCTATGCTTCTCGTGTATAACAATTTTTAGTGGCAGCATTTGTATCAATGTCCAACTGAAAAGCAAATATGTATAATCTGAGTCTACTTCTTTTTTCCTACAATCCTAAATTATTTTAACTCTTGTTTTGGTTACTATTATTTTTAGTGAAATTTGATCAATGAATAAATGTCTCGTTATTAGAGTATGAATGATATAATTTCATTTCTTTCAACATTACAAAAATTAACGGTGATTTGATAAAAACGTATGGCTATTTATTTAATTAATTATTATAGAATTGTGATATTTTTTTATTATAGTACATTTTATTTGCTGAAGACAATTAAGGTGATTTTAAAGAAATATATTTAACGCTCTATGTTACTGGAATAAAACCTTGTTTTATAAATTAATCAAATATTTACTGACTTATTAGAGATACTTTAATAAACATTACAGTATACATAGTATGCATGCCTAGATTTCTGTTTTACAACCAAGTTTCAAATGACACTGACGATAAGTAATTCTTATTATAACTTTATGTCAAGTTAAAATTATATTTTTAAAGATGTTATGATTTTAAATACGTCATTAGATAAAGCAGTATTAATGGTTTTGCGAATGTGTGGATGTTATTGTCTTTTCATGCAAAAAATATTCTAGAGATTATTTAAGATATAAGAAAAAGAAATAGACTTTAATTTATTCTACAATGCCTACTAATATTATATTAATATAAATACGAAAGTAACTCTGTCTGTCTGTCTGTTACGCTTTCAGGCCTAAACCACTCAACTGATTTTAATGAAATTTGGTACAGAGATGGAGTTGGCATTGAGAAAGAACATAAGATAGTTTTCATCCCAAATTTTTGAAAGGTTCTCTTGGAAACGCGATATAATCGAACTCCACGCGGGCGAAGCTGCGGGCGGAAAGCTAGTACCATATAATTACCAGAGAATTAGTGCTTAAAATTTGTATTCTGAATAATAGTTGTATAGTCAGTGAAATATTCTCTAGATATCGTTAACCTTTGGATAACATATCTATTGTTTTTACATACATAACGCATTTTTCTCTGATCCTAAATTCAAATTGCATCCGAACAAAGTCGCGGACATATACTAGTGAGCTATGTTCATTCAAGCTACCGTCGTTAGTGATAGCATTATTATTCGGGTTAATGGAAGGCATCTTGCATAATCCATTATGTTATGAGTTTCCATAGATTTATTTTGCACTATATTATTATTTAAGTATACATGTATTTAATTAAATTATTTGTTTGTATAGAATACTTGTATTTCGATCTAATGAGATGATGTGGTTTGCATTTCATCAATAATCCAAATGTATAGTTTTCATAAAAATAGCATGAAGAATATTTTATTATATTAAAATATTTAATGTACCCAGTAAGATATGTTTAGATTTCAAAAAATAAATAAGTTGATGGTTATTTAAATAACTTAAAAACAGACATTATCGTAAACATTACAAATATATCTGAGTTTGATGAAAATTTCCAAAGGTTTTATTTAATTGATTGTATAATAATATATTTGTTTCAGGTGTGAGTTACCTTAATAGAAAATTAGCTTTTTCTATCAAATCTATAGTGTGCTTGATTAAAAACGAGGATGGGACGTATTCTTTCATATTCAAATGTAAATTAGCAACATCAAACGCTAAGTTCGTACCAGGAGAGAAATTTATTGAGACAAAGGCTGACGGGAGTAAGGTAAAAATTATTTTGAAAATTTTAACTATGGGATCGAGTCTGCGGTTTGATAAACGAGATTTGTTCCAATTATTTCCAATTATCAATTTCTCATTAATTCACAGTACTATCTCAAGTAAATAAAATTATTTTCTAAATACTCGTATTATCCAAATGTAATTTCTATTTGTATAATTATTTTCAGTTTATTCCCATTTCTATTACGTTATAACTCTTTGAGGTATTAAGATGATATTTTAGTTCAGTATATATGTTAGAATTATACAGTGTGTAATTTGTGGGAATATGTATGTACATATGACCATAATCTCCCAGTGCACAGAATCCGCCGCTGGCATCTGTACATCTAGTATTCAATTCATCGTAATTAATATTGGAAATACAATTTAATATCAATGAGATTATTTACTATATCTAGTATTTTTGAAATAAACTTATATTTATTATGGTGATTTAAAATGGTTAAATTGTTTTTTTATTATTTTGATATTGTACTGATTTTTAAATCAACATAACATAACACAACTAACACAACTAACGAATTTAGGAAAATGGAACTTTTGCGACGTTTTTTTAAGCTATGGCTTCATTCACACTGGTATTTTGTAATATGTATTTTGCCAAAGTCAATGCTTTTATCCATTGAATGATATATTTTTTCGATTTAGACATCTATTCAGAGTATGTAATAACGATACGGCAATTTAAGACGAAAGAAAATAAAAAGTGCTAGCGGTACGCCTAAATGATAAGTTTTAAAATGCACGAAGGTTTTTTTATAGTTACTTAACTATTTACATTTGATTGATTGCCTTCAAAAATAACTTCAATTGCTATTTAAATAATATTTATAATCGGATAGTAATGAAACAGTGGCTTAAAATAAATACAGCCAATCGTATACGCTAAACAAATTTAAGGAAAAATAATGATGATAATTTTTTTTAATTATATTTGATAGTTAATTATATATTGAAATCGATTTCTCAGATTGATTTCAGAGAACGTTTTAAATGATGACGCAGGTTTGTAAGAAATATGCACGCAGATTTAGTAGCGGAGTCACAAAAAAGGAAATTATTATTATTAAGTATATTTAACTAAATAAATAAAAACATATATTCCTTAGGTTGCGATTTAGTGAGTTGAATTCAAACCTCGCCTATATTCTCTAGATCTTTAACTTAGTCACTTTTATGTTCGTCTAGGTTTTCAGACGGGTGAAGATTCTGGGAAATCTGAATCTTTTAGGATAAAAACCTTGCGTTCTTTAAAGTAACTGCCGATATTTTACTACTACATATTTTCTATCATATTAACACTCCAAAAACGAATAGAGACAAAAGTTTACTGTATATAAGAACTATATAAGAATTGTGAATGTTAGTGTTTTTTTTTTAATTCCTATAATTTCCAGGTGGAAGCATTGATAACGCTTGAAGGGAACAAGATGACACACATACAGATAGAAAGCAACGGCAGAACTTCGACACATGTACGCGAATTCTTCCCGGATAGACTTATTGTGGTTGGTAAATTAATTAGTACTTTCAACTACAGAAGTATATTTTAATATAGTTAGAATTATTGCTTAGTCTAAAATTAACAGCTGGTGAATTAAAATTGGAAATGTAGTATATAAGCGTAACTGAAGTTTATAAAGAACCAAACATTTTCAGTTAAAGGTCGAAATTATATATGAAAAATTATAATTTAAAAAGTAAATAATATATAGCAAAATAAGCTTGTACGTATGTGTGTAAACAATTTGTTATTGTTCTATAACGATGTAAGTACAACACAAGTGTCCTGGGGTGTTTTAATTGCATTTCAATTTAGTTCAAAGGATTCTCAGTTCCAATCAATTTTCGATAGGATTCCATGACGATTCTGAACGTTTTTGCGCCCTTTGATCTTTGAATGTTTGTGTTTCAGACAACCACGGCTAAAGGATTTGATAAAATCGTTACCAGGAAATTTGAACTGGTCAAGTAATTGAAACGAAGATTTCGATTTATTAATGGATCTTCCAAAAAAGCTGATCGAAAAATGTTTTCGCTGATGAGTTATAAATATTTTTGTAAATAAATTGGTTTATTTTGTTCGATTAGAACTATAGTTTTAATGAAATAATTGCAACTGATTTATATACGTGTAAAATGTTTCTCATATAACAAATAAGCCGGACGAATCTATTTTCGGCCACAGGCAAATCAATTTGTCTCTGATTTAAATAACAAAGTGTACCATTCGAACGGATCTCCACTAAGGAGCTATTACTTGAACGTGAATAATCAAATTTCCGACGTAATCCCCTATCGACTTTCACTTAACATGGCAGGGTTGGCTAACAACCGGGAACATTCTCCGGGGCACTTTCCAAAACACGATTCCCTATTCCATTAGACCCTCTCGAAGTTATCTCGCGTTATTTACATCGCCTGACCGTACCGTGTCTTATGTAACGTTGGTATATAAGTGAGCAATCGTGGGCCGTGTGTCGTTGTTTATAAGGGTGGTTTCGGGTGGGGGTGTTTGGGGGGGAAGGGTCGGTGGCTGTGGGAGGGGGGGCGAGAGGAGGGCTGGTGTCGTTGTCATGGCAACGCGGCGCCCGGACGCCAGATCCCGACGCCCGCAGTGTCGGTCCCAGCCGCCCGCAGCCCCCACCCCCGCCGCACAAGTGACAAGCGCTGCGAAAAAGCACAACCGCCCTGTGTAAGGGGACTATGATTTTTGGGAAACACGAATTTTGTAACAATATACGTACATTATATAACAGACTATCGAAATCCAAAATTATATGTCTAATATAATAGTGTGTGTTGTGAAAGTTTATGATTATAAAAATTGTAATGTTTCTTTCCATGTATTTCGTAAAAAATATTATTCACTTCGCAGTCATAAATTGCCAGAATAAATAAAAAAACAGAGTAGGTTCTAGTTTTATGTCGATGATGAAAATATTTACAGAGTAGTTTGTTTTGGTACCACGTGTAATATGAGTGGGTGAGCCAAGGAACGTCTAATCTCAAGATATAATAGTAAGATGTAGATATCTTGGTTGTACATGATGGTCACAGTACTAGCCACCCTACAGGTCGGGTCGATGTGGCCGGGTGGGGGAGCACCTTTTGTTTAGGACCCCTCCCCATATTCATTTACCCGTGCTCTCAATGTTGTTTGCAAAAGGTTTAGGTGCCTAAATGTTGAGGGAAATGTCACGGTTTCACTTTTTAAGAAACCCTTGTAATAAAATATCGCATGCGATACCCGCTATTGTTGTTTTGTTCTATTTGTTACCGATAACTACAGTTGTATAAGCTTGCTTTAAATGAACGTTTTCAATTAATTCCGGATTCCGGATTGGAATGTTTCTGTATTTATGATTTTATTTCTCCGATTACTTTCACTGATATTAAGAATTTTAATTGTGTGTTCGTTGGAAGGTTCTTATGACGTATAAAGGACTTGTTTTTTTTTAAATTTATGCATTGGAATTGCGTCTATGTAGGTATGTATGAAGAGTTACTGAAGGTTATAAAAAAGAAAGTTCAACGTTCATATACATATATAAATATATTTCCTATTTTAATAAAGAATATTTTTAATCAAAAATATAAGAATTTAGTAATTGTATCATTCATACAATTCTACTACTTAATTCTACAATTCATGAGCAGTAATTGATTTTTATGAAATGTTATACTTATATATTCGATATATAAGAAAAAGACATACAAAAATAGAGATCGATTTAGTAATATCACCCCAGTTTGATTTCGACATTTCGGGAAACTGATAGTATTAAAATATACAGGGTGACTGGTGAATTGCTATCAATATTTAAGGAGCATACTCGGTACATGATTCTCATTCGAATTATGTAAAAAAAATAGGCACTTAATTTTTGACAAAATTTCCGTATAAATAAGTAAAGTGTTGACACGTTCCAAGTGTTCAAGTGTGGACGCGTGCGGCGACGTGTTGATACAACACCACGTCACGACATGCGTATGTGTGAGTGTGTGTGTATACCTAATCTGTAGGGTGTTCACACGATGCGTAATTAATTTCATAACTTTTGGTTAACTTTACTTAGAAGTTTATTAATATTTATGTTATATTAATTTTTATTTTGTCATATATGATCGTCAAATATCACGTCCTCAAATATTGATAGTAATTCACCAGTCACCCTGTATATACTTATTTGAAAAAGAAATTTGATCTCATCGCCTCAATTCCGTTCGGACTTATACATACATAGATACGTATCAGAACATATACGAAGTAAAACGAAATTGTAATAGATTTTTAGTAAATACACTGTATTTTGATATCTTCTTTACTTATTTATTAAATATATAACATAAATATATTTGAAAGAAATGCTTTTAGTATTTTTTTAAGTTGTCTTGAATAACTATCGTATACTCGTATTTTATTTACTATACACATTTATATTTTTTTTTTTAATATTATTTCTTTTGCCATTTTCATAGCTTCATTTAATTCCAAAGTATTATAAACCAAATGTCATAACATTAATCGTTACATATATATATGTATATTAAAATATTCCTTAATTTGATTTTAAATAGGTACGTACGTACTGAAATTATAATAACATTATTCAGATACTAACAAGGAATCTTAGCGTATCTGAATTATAGAGTGAGTCGAGTCGTTCTGAAGCTATTGTGTACAGAGTGACAGATGTCGTATTTCTTTATATAAATGTTGGATGGAAAAAATATATATCCGTGGATGATCGATATCTGGATCGGGTCTGGTGTGAGACCACGCCTTCATTTCACACGAGAGGTGATGATTGGCCGAGCTGAACACTCACACTACGGGAATCTCAAGATGCTACAGCTTTTGGGGCTACTGGCGACCGGATTTTTGTTATTCTTATTATATATCCGTTATCGTCTTTTGTTATTGCTCATGAATTTCAAATTATGCTGGGATGACGTGTATGTGAATGTATATGAAACTTTCACAGATTTTTTTATGGATAGAATGAATTAGGTAACGTTAGAAATTGTATTAATAGGGCTTTGTGGACATATTTATATGGAAATCAGTCGTTATTACTGTGACGTATGGAGTCAGTTCAAACTAATCAGATGTACCTATAGGTAACAATATTATTACCCGTCAAAAATTGGTAAAGCATTTTTTATTGAGGCTTCATTCGCACTGGAATCTTAGATTTTATTTATTGGACGAATAGTAATCTCGAGTACCGTGTGGAGAAAACACGAAAAAATAAAAGCTTTTATTTAATAATAATAATATTAAGACCTATTTTACTTATATATGTATGTGGAATTATATATCACCAACGAATAATTATATATCCCTTAAATGAGCCATGTACATATTTGAAACCATAAAATAATATTGTATGTATATTACCATATTATTATATTTTATTTTGACAATATTTTGATATTTAGTTGAATTCGGTCACATATATTATCACATATATTATCATATAAAATAAGGTATATGGTATATAATTGTGAGCGGATCATGGCTAAGTATTGGATAGATTAGGCACATAAATATTTTTTTTGTGTTAAAATAGAATAGAAAAAGAAATATGAGTTATCTCAATGTGTTATCTCACAATAAAAGTGTTGTTGAATATAAAATGATGTGGACTAGTCGCGGTCATCAGGTAGTTTTAAAATATTATTGAATTCCAGAAATACAATTACGAATTCACCGATTAAGGAATGTTATAAATTAAATAAATTTTTCTATGTTTGATATTTTGGTTTAAAAAATAATAATTATTCACTTATCAGGTGATTAACAGAAATATAGATATAAAGAGGAAGAACAAAAAAATGTATGTCTCAAATAAAATAATTTTCGATTTGCAATGAATTTGTTGAAACATCCAATAAAATAAAGCACATTAAAGTATTACACCAACCAGAGGTCACCAAATCACACACAGCATAAACAAATCGTATATTAAACAAAGCATATATTTTGTAATCAATAGAAGAAATCAAACAGACAAAACATCACACAACTGGCTGCCGTTGACGCGAGTAACAAAAAAAAACACTTGAAATCCAATGCCGGCCTTACAATAAGGCAGATGCGCATACGCATTGAACAATGGAACATTTGTAAGCATTTGTAATACATCTAATTTTACAGCGCAAAACCATTGTATAATGCTTGTTGCGTTTTGTTAGTCCTGATCGACGTATCTGATAATTTGAATATGGTAAGGCATCCAGGCGTGCGGAGTGGTTCTAAGTTATGAATAGATTTGACCGTTTTTCTCATGTATGTTGTAATTATGATTATTTCGGTTATGATTTTTGATATATTTCTACTTATTCTCTATTATTATAATACTTATATTGTAAATGAGAAGGTATACTATTTATGGGTTTTGTTAGTTTTAATATATAAATCTAAGTTAGCTTAGAAAGTAGATATTAGTTGTGTAGAATGTTATAAGCTCGAATTAGGTGGAAATACTGAGTTTTGATTGAGAAGACAATTTTTATTTTTCTGTCAATTATCAAGGACTGATTTAAGATTATAATATACTAGCTCTCCGCCCGCAGCTTCGCCCGCGTGGAATTCGGTTATATCGCGTTTCCAAGAGAACCTTTCAAAAATCTCCGATAAAAACTATCCTATGTTCTTTCTCATGATCAACTCTATGTCTGTACCAAATTTAATTAAAATCATTTCAGTGGTTTAGACGTGAAACAGGACAGACTGACAGACAGAGTTACTTTCGCATTTATAATATTAGTAGGGATGTATATTTTTTTAATGTTGACATGTGTTTGCGACGGTAGAAACTTTTGAAATAGCTTGAAGTATTTTCATATGACTCACCGTGAATAGGTCTGACGAATGTTATTTCACTTGTGTTCTCGTCTTTCCGAGTAGTGGCAATGAAGTCCTCAGCGCCCTGAATATCCTTTAATTGTGGATTTCTGGAGTACAAATCTTTTGCTCTCTCTTTTCTAATGCGTTCTGAAATAAATTTTAAATTTTACGTAAATGTCGCATGAGTTGTATTACACGAAATATAAAATATACCTACTAGGATTAATAATGAGTAGTATAATAAAATAAAACTTAATTTCTATATATGCAAATATAAGTCACATACTCGGAAAGTAAACCTTGTGAACAAGTAGGCGTAAGTACTAACTTCTTTAGTATTGTGTTAAAATATTTTAGTTAACGAAGCTGTTTTAAAAAATTGTTGATATCAAAAGTTACGGTTCACGTCTACGACAAAAACTTTTAACGAACGACTCTACGTATGCCTTATTTTCAAGTGAAAGTTATTTCCTTTTGACGTACAATTTTGAATACAAATTAATAAAATTTTTGCTACTATACGTTTTTATTGTAAGTACACTTAGTTTTGGGACTGGGTATCTAATTGCTTTCGACGCTAGAACATAGAATGATGAATAAAAATAAAAAAAACGTCATATTTCCTAAAGCCGGCCAGCCGACGGAAACTGCTAACCCCTCCTTTAACAAAGAGCTGTAAAGTCTCTGCAATTTGTACCCTCTTAGCATCTACCTATATACTTATCGATTTATCGCAAACACAAGTTCGTGTTTTAAAAAGTCAAGTCGTCGTATGGTATTCGATTTTGATATCTATATAAAGCGGCTAAGATTTATATTCGTTCGGTGTTTTTGCGGTGTATAAGCCTCTCCGTTTCGGGAGGCGTGTGTAAAAATGCCGTCTTGTAGGCATGCCGCCCCTCGGCCAGGCGACATTTTTACGAGAGGTGGGGTGAAGCCACCCGGACTCTCTCGTCATTTCGTTGTCATCCAGGGGCTCCTTTTTGCGCGGTCACGGCGCGAGCGTCGGCGACAATACTGTTCAGTATTTTTATTCTTTTCGAAAAGAAAATGCGAAAAAAAATACCGCAGAAAATCATGAACAATGGCGCCCTTGGGCGAGATTACCGCCATCAGAAAATGAATGCTTTGTTAGATCCGTCCACTGGGATGTTTTCAGTTGTTACATTAGACTTGTCATTTCCATTAGAGGGCTGAGCCGACGCGAGATGTCGCCGAACCCGCCTACGTCTTTATTTGCGTTTCAATTATGAAAGTGCCTTGTTAGAATCAATTTTGAAAAAAATATACAGACAGTTCCACTTATACAAATTAATATGAAACATTACATTTCTCATTGAATGCGCAACTTGAATGAAATGTCAAGGCTTTTGAAGCTATATTCTAAACTAGTTAATTTACAATATTATATACATATATAAATTGTATTGCTCGTCCATCATAAGTGTAATATGTATGTAAAACGAAAGAAAATTACTACAACAGCAGCATATGTAAAATTTTAATTGGTTGGTTTCAGACTACGATTTTAACTGGAGATTAACGTTCTGAAATCTGCGTTATACATATATGGTTGAGAGTGACGGAAAAAAATCGAAAGTATCTATGTACCTCGGCTTGTAAGAAAAGCCAAGAGCCTAAACCTAGCGGATAATTAATAAATGACAAAAATCTATATTGAATTACATCAATTTAGAATGTCGTGTTTCATCTTACATTAGTAGCATAACTCTGTACCTTCTTGTCTAAGCTCTAGAGATAAAACACAAAGATATATCCCATCACATTTAACAGTGCGATACCCACATGCCAACCCTCATAGAGTCGACAAAAGAGCACCATCCAGCGACAATAAGAGCACGTCATATGCCGAAGAGGTTGATTAAAAAAAACATAAATAATAAAACAAGTCATAGCGGCTAACTCAAAGTGAAGGCTTTTAAAGGAGGTCGCGCGATTAAAACCGTCGAAGTAATGCGATCCTCATACAAATCGGTGGCCGCAAAGCTTTGTCTTGGACGCACATCACTATTTATAATGTCAATATGGTGAAAAGGTGTTCAATACTGCTGGTTTCGGCCTCTCTGATGTTTTGCTATCAAATTTAACGTCGAATACAACTATGTATGAGGGTACAGAAACATTGTTCAATCTATCGCGTTTCTCTTTAAATATTTTTATATATATCCGTTCAGCAAAAACAAATTATGATTAAAGTTTATGCAAATAACTTTATTACAAATACGTCATGTTTTATATTCTCTGGGAATTTAAAATCTCCCGGATTCTATATAACATGTAGACAGAATAAAAAATATATTAAATATTATAACTAATGTATTGGATTTTCATTCATAGTTCGAACAGCAATAAATGACTGAAGATTTAGTGTCACTATTACATTTTGATGTCACAACACGCGAATTTACAATGACGTAATAAATTATTCCCATTGCAACGCGACTGTGATGAATATAATAAAAAATAATTCTCACATATAAAATTAAGCCGCAAAATAAATTTACATAGTTATAAAATACGGAACATATTTCTTCCCGCATCATACTTTTATTTTCACATGTATCGAATTTCGGTCAGATTGTTCTGATTGAGTTTTTTATTTATTTCTTTAAAATCGGTCAGTGTGCTGGTTCTGTATTTTGAAACTATTTCAAATTTCAGTCGTATGTACCGATTAGAATTTTTCGATAAAACAAGTGTTACATAAATGACAATATGATAGAACAACCTAATCTATATTTATCATTAACATCTGATTAGAATCTTTAAGAAATAGTATTGAAATTTTATTTTAGCGTAATCTTCTATATATATAAAAATGGATTGCTGTTCCTTAGTCTCGCTAAAACTCGAGAACGGCTGAACCGATTTATCTTATCATAGTCTTGAAATGTGTGTGGAGGTTCAGGGAAGGTATAAAAGCTGAAAAAAAATTGATCTATTACTAGGAAAACCATAAAAACAGCCCTTTTCTATTTCCCATACAAACGTTTTTTTTGACATTGGATTTGACAACTAACTATGTAATATGTCAATCTTTCAGTCGCACTTCAAAACACGGAGATTAACACGGCTTTAATAGGTAAACTCCAAAAATATAAATAAAAAAACTTAATAGATATTTCTTGGTTTAAATCATAACAGTGAAGCTATAAATCCGGAATGGGAATGAATTTTCGTGTTTAATAAACGTTATCGAAAATTCTACCGATCGTGGTATCGTGACGTTTGCGATAAACCCTTTATCAGATAGCGGTAGGAAGTGATGTCGCCGGAACGCATTTCATTACGAAGCACTAGACTATCTCAGTACGACATTCTTACATTACTCATGTTTATACCACATATAACAAATATATATATATCGATGTTACGGTAATTAATGCAATCTGTACGAATATAACGTGATTAGAATGCAGCCAGGCTTCGTACTATGTGTTTCCACCACGGCATTCCCTTTGATGATAGCCGTGTCTAAGAACCTATCATCCTTCATTTCAATGCACATATGATCGCTAGCACGAAGTAATGGCATTACTAATGAGTTTATAAATACATAGATTTTATCGACGCTTCAACAGAAATATGAAGATATTATACATATATAAAAAAAAGGATCTCGGCTTCCCGAAGGCCATCAATAATTCATAAACACTTCCTAATGGATAATATAAGTAACGTTCTTTTTTATACGAGTACCTACCATTAATGCTGTAGAAAGTATAAAACATTTTTACCTATATATATATTATTTTTATATGAAAAACGATCAATGGTAATTGATAACCAGTAATTAGCTAACAAATATTAAGGGCAGGGAATTGTAGTGAGAACAATAATCGACGTATCTACCTAAAATAGCACAAAGGTAAGGAAATAGCCAGTTTCAGCGAATAAAGGGAAGTTCAGGCCACAATGGGGCATTGGAGCCGGGAGAGGATAAAAAACGGATGTGTCAATAATTAAGTGTGTGATTCGGGAGTAGACGCCGGCGGCCATCGATTGAGGCTGGTTTTTTAATAATGTGCACGCATTGTACAGGACAAAAGGGGCGATGCTGTGTTTTCATATGAAGCTGGGGTGAAAAATATTACACCCCCGGGCGGCTATATGGGAACAGGGATCTAACTCGCATCTGCTAAATGTTGGCTTAAATTTGAATTGCTCATTGCTATTACCGTATAATTAACATTATAAATTCACTCCCGGCGTTTGTGATGTCGTATTAGCTATGAAAGCCTCATTAATATTTTGTTGTTATCAAATGTCTTGTATTAGGTACGTGCTGTCAATTTAGTGCATAAATGTATTGTTAGTTTACTTTGTCGGGTCTAAACCGAATCCTAGTTACTATTAATTTATATAGTACACCACGTACATTCATATTTAATACCTATGAATATTTAATGATATATTAAGATCCCAATGCGAGTATCATAACGGGGATAATTAAAACACCCTGTATTTTTGTACATAATAGACGTTAGGGATGTAGGTACAATTGTGACGCAATCGCAGCAAAATCCTCACCAGTGATCCCCCACGCACAATCTGAACCCCAGGAGGATCAGGAAATTCATCTCGCTAATCTACCCGGCCGCTGTGAATAGTAAAAGTGATGGCTCTATTCATCGAGGGGGCCACCACCCTATGGTGGGTGTGCTGGGAGGGGGGCGAGAGCGCTAAAATTTAATAAAGCCGGTCTCGACGGAGCCATGGACAACCCTTGCGATTAATTACGCACAAGATGATGGTGATGATACCTACATTATGGAAATCTCACCGAGGGTAGTTTGTTATTTATTATTCACGGCGTAATCTCCGTGTTTATAATGATTTTTAATTATTAAAATAGCCAATTAGGGCGAGCGTGATACATGTGATGAATACACGTTAACAGATTTACGATACTTCTGATATCTAAGTCCGATCACTCAATATTAATTGTACTAGATGTTTGTTATCAATTCATTATTATCTCATAAACCTTCACTTAATTCTTTGCACAAATGAGAGCCGTTATTACGTATTTTTCTTTATTTGCAGTGTTTCAATTTCAAAACTACAATACTAGTATTTTAATATTAAAGAGAAGAAAAACATTTTAAATAAACCATGTCACAGATAACCGAACAATGGTAGGAATGCTTCTTTATTTCTCTTATTTCAGCTTAACTATCTAATATTTTAATGCATTCTATCATATAATAATCTTTCTGTGGTATTAAAATTAATATTATTATAATAATTGCGGCAGTAGAAACATATAAGCAGTTTTATTACCATATATATAAAATATAGTATGTAGGTATATAAAAGAAAAAAATGTTATACAATAGTAGAGCGTCGTTCACAATGCATTTGATTATATTCGGAAGAATCTATGGTATTATTTTAAATAGAATTTTTTCGTACATATATTTCTAGCACTCGTCACGAGTAAGGCGGATGGTACCTCGAACTCGTTTTCAAGTACGTGGTGGTATGTTCACGTGGCCACCCTAGCCACAGCCAGCTCTCCTTCTAGTATATAGCTGAGTAACGACATCTTTTGTTGGCTCCGTCAAGCGTAATCCGCGCTAGCTTGAGTGTTTCACATTCGCTGGCTCTCCATTCGTCGCGAAAGCGTCACACTTCAAAACGTATATACAACACAGTGATAAGCGACAGCGTTTTTTTAATATTGCAACATAATACTTTATATTGCAGTACAACATAATAGATAATATATAGGTTTATAAAAAGAACTGAGGTATGACTAGTCGGTTACTAAGGTTATGTATACCAAAGTTGTACATGACATCTTTTATCCGCTTTAACCAAATCTGCGACCGAAGCCTAAACGTATTCGTGAGGGGTCGTATCGTCGTAATTGGCGCTCGAGTGGCAATTAGCAGGCACTTGCCTATGTCACAGCTCGACCCGTTCTGCTTTACTTATATATACCGCATACTATTCTTTAAGTATTAAGTCATATGATTTGTTGAAAAAAAAATGGTATATGACTAACGTGCATCACTAATGTATAAGCAAGCGAAACTTAAGGCGACCCTTGAATATTACTAATGACGTCAAGTTGATACTTACCTACCTAGCTTTTTAATGTGCATTCGTGTTGTTATGGATTCGACATTTATATAACATAATTAAAGAATTGTTGATAAGTTTATTCTTATATACAAAATGATTAATTTAGTACGTACTATTCGATATTATAATACACATTACAGCTAATTGAAGAGCTTGTGAAATTCAGTAACATCGGTTAAATTCGTAACTAGATCGTCATATTAAATTCTAAGTTGTATTTCAACAACAAACATATGTATATGAAGACAACATTTATTATTAAAAGCTTTGCCCGAATCGTGTTGTGCTGAGTTAGGTCGTTGGTATCAATAATTGAATTTTGGTATTGGGGATTCATGCTTGGGGGATAACTTGGAGTCAACCTAAACCCTCTATTAATTGCTAGAATTAATTCGGCCACTTAGTATGTAAGGGAGCTCGCACATTACACTGTAATAATGTTTATATATACACTGAATTATTTATTTACTTGTTCGAATACATGAAATACGTTTAGTAAATGAAGAAGCTGATTATCTAGGAAGTAGATTTATATACACTGAATCATAGAATTAAAATTCTATAGGAAAGTTTCTTCTAAGGTTGTTGTATACAATATTATAGGTACATAACAAAAAGGCTAGTATAAGAATGTTTATTTCATGAAAAATATTTAAAGTTATAATAGTTAAACTGGTTTCAATTAACAGAAGATTATCTGTATTAAATTATAATAAATTATATAATATTTGTATCGTTGTTATGTAAACTCATATTTTATAGTTACTATTTGTTCTATGAAAACGTTAAAAATTATTGAATAGTATAATAGTGTTAAAAGTCATATATATTTCTCGTAATACATAATAGTATAAGGGCTAAGGAGCAGAATCTATGTTGTAGTGAACGGTGCTCTTTATTTTGACCCTCCGAGGATGGAGGGGGTCTAATCGCAATCAATACCGGCTCCCTGATGATGCTGACTCAATACCGCTCATCTATACAACAGTATACGGAGATAACATAAATAAATAATGACAACGGATCATACGTTGAATAATAAATCGAACTACGACAAAACGTTATAATAACATCACACGTTATGCTCCAAAAAGTAAAGTCAAATAGATTAAATGAAAAATGTTAACGAATTGAAAATAAAGGTATCAACGGAATCCGACTCTGTACTGTGAAAATAAAAATTCATTAACAGCTACAGCCGACAAACAAAACTACTATCATGAACTCGCTATCACTTTCAGTATCACGTTGCATATCCATTTCACATATGCTATTGCGTCGCACGATCGTGACACCGACACCCCTAACCCACACCCCTATGTCAGATACACACACCTAGACCAACTTGCGTTTTCATTCCAATCAATCATCTGCAAGCTATTAACGTCCTTATTGTATATATGTAAGGTTGAAGTTCGTGTTCGTGACTTGGACCTGGGTTATATCAGGGTTGTCGCTGTGTACATAGAGGGCGCGCCCCGCTGTCGCCGAACAAACATGGCCGCGGCTAACGAGGTTTTTGCGAGCGGCTCTCGTGAGCGATTTCGCGCCTAATTTGGATGTACGATACACGGAGTGTTTTATTTTATTTGGAATTTCACGTGATTCTGACCTGAGTATTTCAGCTATTCGAGTTTTGTATTGAGGCGAGGTTTATCGAATATGCATTGTTGCTTCTGGTTGAGAGCACTCCTATATCAGATGATGGCAAATACATCTAATTTCACGAAACTACAATAAATTTTTTTATGAATCTATAATTTGATATACGAACATCGATATTTATATTATATTCATAAATAAAATTCCAAAGAATAGTTTAAAAGATATTTTTAATCCACCACTAACTGTATATAATTTATCGGTTAAGTCTTAGTCTAAGTCACGGTTGCGGACACAGTGTATGTGTGATTTGTAATACTTTTTGTCCCATTAGAATTACATAAAGAGCAGTGTAAGCAAGCTCACAGATACTGTAAGCCGTGGGTGGTAGTCCTCCTCACTGAAATAGCCTTCGGCTCCAATATCCCAGAAACGGATGTACAATGTTTTCTTACATTCCAGTTTACTTGTTATTCGGGCAGAATTCGATTTGGACATTGCCGTGTTTGTTTTTTTTTCTTCGCAGTAACGTATTTCGTAACAATTATTATGTATATATAAGGGAATTATTATTTAGAAGAGTCAGCCAAACCAAAAAGGTTTAGTTTTAGAAGTATCGAATGCTATCAATATAATATGATCTTTGGAGAACATCAACTGAAAAGTTTGTTCTTTTAATAGATATATAACTGAAACTAATCAATATAAAAGAGTGTAAATGTTATAAGATATTACATGGATTTTAAGACTGCTTGTATGATCTTATAACCAGAAATAAATATACGTTTTGAGATATATTTTTTTAGAAATATATAAGCAAATATTGTATCATTTATTTAAAAT